ACTTGAAATTCGGGCTGTCATACGCAAGAACTTGCACTCTTCATGGCTTTCACGGCCCGCCGCCAAAATGCAAATTTATTTATAGTTTCTGCGGAAAACGCTCCACTGGCAGTGCACTGGCACCATGCGGCATGCCCCACACCGGTCCCCACTCCCAGCCCACACTCACTCGTTGTGACAGCCAGCAGGAACAGGTCAAATATTTCCCTCGTATTTATTTTTGATGTTTTCTGGCTTTGTGTCTGTTTTGCCACGCCCGACTCCTGCCTGCCTGCCCGGCTGCCTGGCTGCCACAGGCCCCTGCCACGCTGTTTCGCTGTGGCAGTAAAATCGAAGAAATATAAACAAACTGGGGCGGGGTTTGGACTGGCGCAGGAGGGGCCGGAGGAGGAGTGACTGCAGGAGGAGTGACATGTGGCAGGAGATATAGAACGATATGAAGTGCAGGGATTCATTCCACCATTTCACCATTTCACCATTCCGCCTTCCTGTGTGCCAAGTGTTCTGATTTATGCCCCGTCGCAGGAGTACACTGAGCGAAAAGGGGGGCAGCTAACTGGTTGAAAATGCCCTGGCTTCTGGCCAAAATAATATCCAAAATAGAGATCCATGGAAGGGGAAGCATCGCTCACTGCAATGGGATTTTCTATCAGCACGAAGGACACCCGCACGGTGTCAGGGGGGAGGAGGCAGAGAATCCTGACCCTGGGGCCCGGCGGGCGGAAGGTGCGACTCGGACTGGAAACTCCGACTCGTTCTCGGGGAGATAATAGAATTTTCGGATTCATTTTCGGGTGAATGGTGGCAGGTTACAACCCAACAAAAAAAAAGCCATGCCACACACCAGCCACACACCTCCCTCCCCCCCCAGCCACACAGCCACACAGTTGTTGCAACCGCACGTGGCAGGGAAACATTTATGAGCAATTTATGCAGGACTATAAAATGTGAAAAGGAGCTCCTTTCGCAGCGCAGATTCCTGTGCGAATCGATAAAGTGACATAAATTATGCGAGAGTCCTTTGGTCCTTTGTCCCGCTCCCCCCCCCTTAGGTCCCTCTATTCATAGCCAAATTACACAGTGGCTGCAATATTTATACCCACACATATCCTTGATATCCTTCGGTAAAGTTGTTAGTTTCCCGCACTCCCTGCGGCGGGGGAGCGTGTCTACGAGTCTGCGAATTTGTATTTCATATTTCATGTATCTATGTATGTCCTGGCAGTCCTGTCCGCTGTCCTCTGTCCGCTTGCCAAAAATTTGTGTCCTGCGGACAGAGACACAGAAACCAATTCGCTGGCCTGTGTTTCTGGCCAAACTATAAACATTGATTAGCCATCAGGGGGACCAGGCAGCACTTCAAAATAAATGGCGCATACGTCATGTAGGCCGGACAGGATGAGGGGCTGGGAGCCGTAGGCCAGTGAGTAAGGACATGACTCAATCGGGAGAGACACGCATTAGACGCATGACGCATGTCCTGCCCCGGGGCTGACGCAATTCTTCACTTAAACGGCCCCAAAATTAAAGCCCCGATTGATTAATTGATTAGCCAGGAGCCAGGACCTGGCCACACGGTCGGTATGAATTGATTGAAGGTCCTGGCCTCGAAGGACACTGCCGCTGTCTGGCAGGCTCTCCAATTAATTACAATTCATATCAGAAATTATGTATCGCCTGTGCTCGCCATAACAGCAATGTCAACACAGTGTCCTGTCCTGTGTCCTTGTGTGTCTTGGCTCATCAGCCAGAGATCCTATCCGGGCAGAGAGCATTGTTTTCGTTGGCCCCATCCCAGGTTATCCTTTCGGCCAATTCCTTGTAGTCCCAACAAAGGACTCTGATCGGTGGGGTCTTAATGGCTGCTCCTTACTGGAGCTCCTAGCCGGTATGTCCTTCAGCCTGTGCAGCATCCTCTTCGCCATTCATCGCCGCCTCTTGAGCTTCCCCCGCCCCCTCACTCCCCGCCATCCACTTGACTCAATACGCAATTAATAAGAGCAAGTGTTTAATTTCTTTTTAATGTGTTTATTTATGCATTTTCAAACATTTAGTCCTCCTTTCCCTCCCTCCTCCCCCCTCCTCAGTTGCCAGCAGTTGCGCTTTCTCTTCCGGGGGATGCTCGAGAAGAAGTGCATTCATTTGGCTATGCAAACTTTTTCAACGCGCTTTTCTGGCTTCAAGGGCTTCCCAGCCAACCCGAGAACGAGAACGAGCCAACAACGACAAGTGGCTTTTTAGCTACATCCAAATCAACACGCCCACCATGCCCACCCCCCAGCCTCTGCCTCTGCCTCAGTGGGCGGAGTGGGCGCGGAATTATGCAACTATTTTGTGCAAACAAGTGCGGTGGAGGGGCGGACATGCAGGCAGTGCTTGTGCCACTGCCACTACTGCCTATCAGTAATCATCCATGGCGAGCGGAAACAGAATCACGGCTTCCAGCCCAGGTAGGGGTGCTATCAGTGGGAGAGAGCGGGTAAAGGGGAGGCGCGGCGGAAACAGGAAGCAGGAAACAGGTGTCTGTCTGACACGTCGGCTGCATTCGATTACCTTGCCTGTCGGCGTCGGATCAGGTGGAGCGGCGGGTGGCGGGAGAAGCCATGTAAAAAAGGAGAATCACATCGGTTACATGATAGCCCGAGGCACTGGCAGGATGCCGCAGGACGAGGCACGAGGCACGAGTGAGCACTGTATCCTTATACGAACAAAGGCCGCAAATTAACCCCGAAATGGTGGAGACTTGGCTTCATAAATTTTAAAGAAAGAGTTCCATTCCAGATCTTATCGAACTCTGGGAACAGGTTTGTTGTCCTTTAAGGATGCAGGCTCTCCTATTGGAGGACCAGGCTTGTGGGAAGACATGTTTATGGCCAACCAAGAATTCCGACTTTGGTCTAATAGACGCCATCCGCAACTAGCTGTCGTTTTTGGTCGAGGAGCAGGGTGGAGGAGAGACTGGAGGCCCTCAAAGAACTGGAGGAGCAGGCGACCTGGCATGGGGGCAGTGGAGCTCAAATTAAATATAAATAAATAAGCGGAGCACGAAAAAGCGCCGACTCTGGGCCTGGCACTGGCACTGGCCAAATTGAAGTCTCACTCACAGATATCAACGCATAAATATTAAATGAGTGAGGGGGGGGGAGAGGGGTATCCGAGTCGCAGGGACTTGGATTCGGTTTCTGTAGCCACCTTTCACCTTTCACCTCCCCTTAGCCGACAATCCATCCATCCGTGCAACGACGTCTGAGTGGCTTCATTCGTTTTGCCAGAGAGCTGAGCTGAGCTGCCTGGAAGAAGAAGGCGGGAGGGAGAGGTCCTTCCACACACACACACACACACACACTTATGTGTGGTGTATATCCTTATGGTTGGATATATATATATATATATATATATATACAGACTCTGGCGTCGCATATCCTGGGCTCTTCCTCATTATTTTTGTGCAATCGCTGGAGGCGCTTTTGACTGCCGACCCCTCCTCCTCTCGTCTCCTGTCCTTATTGTTGCCTCCGCTATATTCTTCTCCTGTGTGCGCCTCCTTTTTGTTTGGCCACACAATGTCCTGGTCCTGATCCTGGCCGAGTCTCGCCGGTGTGTGAGGGCTAAAAAAAAAAAAGTGTTAAGATTTTACATTTTTATGCCCCGAGTTTGGTGCTTTTTTTTCGGGCTGGCAGCCATTTGTGCAAATTGCCGCAGTGAGCGGTGAAAGGAGAAAGTAGAAAGTAGAAAGTAGAAAGTAGAAAGAAGAAAGCAGAAAGAGGGGCAGCGGAGGGGTAATATTGTTCTTCCAAGCCCACGGTTTCCGAGGCCCAAACAAAGCCACGCATCCGTAAAGAACTGATGATGATAACCTTCTGCCATTGAACGATATTGCATCGTTTCCCGGCTCCTCCCATGGTGGGAGGATGGGAGGATGGGAGGAGCCCCCCCCCCCTTCATTTGCATTCAACGGTGACGGCATAAAAATGAAAATTAAGCACTCATTAAGGCGTCGTTTGAATAAGTTATTAAAGGCAAAAAACAGGACGACAGGACGAGCATCCTGGAGGCCGGGTTCATTAAATTTCGCAACTCAGACAACTCCAGGGGCTTAGAGATAATTTACAATCTGTCAGATACCAGAGAGCTCCTCGGCTCGGGCACCTGGCTTCTTGAGCTCCTTGGGCTCCTTTCAACCTGTCACGTAGGGCTTAAAGCCGGGCCCCTTTAAAGTGGCTCGAAAGTAATTCGATTAATTCACCTGCACACACTTTTTGGGGCCAGGAGCACCACTCCTGTCCAAGCCGCCAGCCACCAGCTCCTGCTAAACTCTCACGCCACGTTGCATTCCCATAAAGGACTAACAGGCGGGCACTGCGAGAAATGGGCTTCAAGTTCTGGTAGAGTTTATACTAAAATATATTCTATATATTTTTTTCTGTGTAGCCACGCCCTCTGGCAAACAGCTCGCACTTGCGGCTGTGGGTTTTACATTGCAGGAGAGCTCCTTTCCGTATTTTTCATTGGCAAATACCTACGTTTGTGGTCATTTGGAAGTTGGTTTGGGTTTGGGTCTGGGTCTGGGAATAGGAATAGGTACCCAGGTAGCTAGGTGGACTGGCTCTGGTGGACTGCTGACTTAATTTGTTGACTAAATGACATAATACACCAGCTAGAGGAGCGGGCCAAAACAAATATCAAAAGGCGGCCGGCCAGCGTCGGGGTGCGTCCACCATGGCGTATGCGTAATGCGACCTCGATGCCCTCACAGTTGGCTGACCATTTATGGCAGCTGAAATAGATCCCCCTTAGCCCCGCCGTTGTGCATAATTATATAGCCATGATATGGCCAGGACAGGATGATGAATAGTTCCCATGGCCATCACAGATGCCATTTAAAATTTCCTGGGCTCTGGGCTGGGCTCTGGCTCTCTAGAAGATCCCCGAAGATACTCTGATACTCTGAATAAATCATCAATTCTCGCATCTAATTAATCTTGTACCTTATTTTGCAGGTTTCCTCTCCTGGGACGTCTCCGATTGCCACGTCGACTTGGAGGAGGAGCTCAACACAATAACACAGCATGCGCCCGAGGGCGAGGAGGCTCGTCATGGTAAGTCTGGGTCAAATCAGTAACTGGGCCAAAGAGCAAGGGTCATCCAACATCCGGCGATGATCGAACCGAACCGAGGGGCAGAACAACAAAGGAGCCGTGTGGCAAATTACAAAAGTTATCCTAACGAATTATTATGACAATTGTCTCCGTCGAAAGGATTCAGGAGCTGTAACTGGGGATGGGAACGGGGGGGCTGGGACTTGGATGAACAACAATTGAGTGCACAAAGCCGAAAGCCCAACGCTGGCAGGCATTGTCGTCCTGTTGTGTTGTTCTGGCTTTTGTGAGGATAAAGCCAGAGCCAGTGCTGGAGTGCATCGGGCGGGAAAAGCTGCAGCTATTGGGGCTACACGGGAGCATCATCATCATCATAATCGGCAGCACCAACAATGAGCTGTTGTCTTTGCGGATTAGGCTTAAACGCTTCAGCAGTCGGAGGAGGATGAGCTCCTGTTCACTTCGGTGACTGCGCTTTGGGGCGGTGATTAGGCTCTGGCGGAGATTGGATTGCAGGATTGCAGGATTTCGGATTGTAAGTGAATTTTGAAGCTCGCTCTGAGATGTAGAACCATTAAACGGCACTGACTGTTCGCGTTTGATGCCGGGATGGATGTCCTTGGAGGACACGCTAAGTGCAACACCTGCGCTCAATGCATTCGGGCCGCCATTCAGCCATTGTCCGGATCTGTTGGGCAAAGGAAAAGTTCCATTTTCCATTTGCATTCGCAATCGCAAACAGCCTCCTCCACCAACTCGAAACTACTCAAACAAAATTCTCAAGTAGCGCCGGCTCTGCGGTCCGCAGCCCAATAATGATGCCCGGCCGGGTTGGTGGATCCTGCTAGGGTGGCGGTGGTGGCAGGAAGTGGTGGCTTTCGAAGGACACTTGAGGCGCAATCGAGAATTCACAGAATGCACTCGCTTCGCCGGTCGCTTTGTGCTCGCGTGCGATCTCCTTGGCGCACTTGGGGGGAAAAAACTAAAGACGCCAGTGTCCACCTCTCCCAAGTCGTCCTTTTGGGCGTCCATCCTGGATGGAGATGGAGATGGATGGACTTGTCGAATATAAGGAGCAAGCTGCTGAAAAGTTGCTGCAATTACAAACATTCGTTAACAAGCGCATAATTCATGTTTTATGGCTCGCGTCCTGCCCAGCTGTCCTGGCAAAGTTTCTAAGGACTGGCAGGCAGTCCTGACACCGAGCCAGTCCTTGTCCTTGTCCTTGTCCAGCTTCAAATTGAGTTTGATGCAGTTTGCTTTAGTTTCTGCGACAGGATCTCAGGTGTGGCTGCTCTCCAAACAAGAAGCGGAAAAAGGATACCGTCTTCCAAGGTGCCTTTCGGGAATTCTAGCTTGCATTTTATTTGTGGAATGCCCAAGGACCCTTTTCCGCAATAATCGAAGGGATTTGGACACATGCTTAACGGGCCTTAGCCGAAGGGGCGTGGCAGGGGCGCAGGATAACCTCAAAAGCCATACAAATTCTTGAGATAAAACGCATGCAAAATTGATAGAAAGATAGAGAGGAGCTCGCCGCCCACGCGTGTCTGATATATGCGAAATATGGCGATGTCTATACGGATGGATGGATGGATGGGTAGGGTGAGCGAGTGGGTGGTTGGGTGAGTGGGTGGGTGGCTACAAGGCCGTATTGACAATGCCTCCGACTGCGTGGGTGTGTGCGAGCCACACTCATGCATAATTCAGGCAAAGGCAGAGACAGCTAGAGAGGCGGAGAGAGAGAGAGCCAGCAATAGAGAGGACGAAAGAGACGGCAGGACTCTGGAGACAAAAGATAGGCAAATAGCAAATAGCGAAGGCAGACAGGGCGGACAGGCGGACTGACACTCCTGGACATGATTTGCATACGAGGAGGAGCCCAAGGAGGCATCTGGTCCACTAGCGATAAGCAAATAAACTATGGCAGGATGTCAGGATGGGCGCTGGGTCCTTGCCAGCACGATGAAAAGATGCAGATGCCCCACCACCCAGCCCACAGCCCACAGCCCACAGCCGCACAAAAGTTTTAGGATGTTTGTATCGCGCAGATACCAGATACCAGATACGAGATACCTATCTGGCAGATAACATGTTGACAGGGCATCAATTAATATCAGCTGACGTCTGTCATTCTCGCCGCGCCGCATCCTTTTAATTACGAGCCGGCAGGACGAAGGCTACGAGGACGATGGAGCGAGAACACACCGCTTGACGTTCGTTGCATGTCATTGGCTTTGTTGAACAGAATCCGGCAGTGGGTCCACGCCGTGTTCGTAACCGGAGAAGATTCCTGTGTATTATGTAGTCTGATTAATGATGCGATGCTGCCCGCTGCCGGCTATTGATAAACGCCACCACCCACCCACCTCATCCTCATCCTCATCCACGTCGGCCTCCTCGTGAAATAAAACCGCTAATTAAACTATCATCATCATCATAATTCCGGGGGATTAGTGCATCACCGAGCTATATATGCAAGGCAGCACATACATAATTCATCGAAATTGATGGTGACCCCGGCCGGCCACAGAGTCCTGTTTACAGGACTGAAAACCTGGTTAATTGGGTAATCATCAGTGATGAAGGGATTGTGGTTCCTTCTCGTGCCTCTCGGGGATCTTTTTTTTTTGAAAATAATTATGAATGAGGACGAGACGCCACGGGTCATTGGAGGAAAGTTTCCCAACACGTGCGCGTTGGTTTGACAGGAAACTTTCTCGCAGCTGCGGTGGTCAGCATAATCAGTGGACCAGGGGGCAGTGGAGGAAGAGGACAAGGACTGCAGGACTGAAGGACCTTCGCGGTAATTACTTTGCAGTGAAAAATACAAGAGAAGTCATCACCACGAAGACCCCAATACTCTCCATCGCCTAATGAGCTACATGATGAGGGGGTTATCCTTGTGCTTATCCTCAAGGATACCCAGGACTAACCATAACCGAAAACTGATTAGAGGCGTTTTTGAAAACTATTACTAGCATAGTTTTCTACGAAAGGGCATCCACAGATACTTGAAATACAGTCGTAAAACACAAAAAGTTTCCGCCGGCTGTTATGCAAATTTTTTCCCCACTGGCCCCTCTACTGCCCCCTGCCCCCCTGCTGCCAACAAAAAAAAGTTGCAGAAGCCGTCTGGCGTTATTAACGGTTAATCCGACGCCATGTTGGCCACTTGGCACGAGGTGTGGAAGGCTTTTAGCCTTCCCAGCCATCCCCGCCGGCTATTATTTCTCGAGTGGGACTAACTTTTTATTGTGTGTGGGCTTTTGGAACTTTGGCGACTCTTCAAGTGGTGCCTGGCAACTTTTATTATTAAATCCCTGTCCCATCTGATAGATTTCTGTACTTCTTGGCTCTAAATATGATGGGCTAGCTGGGCTAGTGGCTTGAACTCGGCATTAAACTGACAGTTCGAATGGAAATTACGACAACCTGCAGAGGAGCCTCGCAAGATGGCAGCGCCTCAAGGCCCCTGAGAAACCATTCCTCATGGCCTGCTCCCGCCTCCTGCCACTCGGATCCCTTCAGCCTAGTTGTAAACTATACATTCTTACGATTATGTCCTGTGCAGGAGACAGCCAGCAGCAGTGGCTGGAAAGTGGCAGTTGGCAACCTAAATTCACAAAATTGCGTATACGCACTGGCTGCCAGTTCAGTTACACACCCAGGCGCACACACTCACCCACACTGTTGGACATAAACATGTCACTGTGTATTCCGTGTCCCGTGTCCCGTGCAATATATATATTTAAGCCGGGCTGGGTCGGAGGGCGGGGGGCGGTGGGAGGAGCAGGCCCAGGCCACACACGTGGGTCGGGTGGGGTCGTAGAGATTATCATTTATAAAAAGCACCAGGGATACACACTCGCCGGTGGGCCATCCGATGGCGAGGGCGAGGGCGGGCGGACCAGCTGGACGAAGCCATAGGAAGCCCTAGTCCGGCCCACGCCACCCCCTCGATGCTCTTGTCTTGTATTTTTTACGCGTACGTGAGCACATTTGACTGCACTGAGAGAAATCGACTTGGATTCTTTGAGAATCACTTGAGAAGAGCCCACTATTTCTAGTGGTTTGTTCTTTCGGTGGCCCTTCTGCGGTGGACCTGTGACCCAAAGACTCTGGACACGGCGCGGCTGCCTCCCCCGTCGGTTTTGTCAACGACTATTTAGTGCGGAAAATGGATGAATTATTAACGTACGCACGTACATGGCCACAGAACCATTCCGTTCGGGCCAGAGAGCAACCGAAAAAGCCGCCTCATCATCGCCCTCATCGGCCTCATCTTTGCAGCGTCATTGCGGGCGTGGGCCAGGTCGTGGGCGTGGCTGCAGCAAGGTCGCCGCCAAGGTCGCATCAACCTGACTACCAGTCCACACGACTTAATTAAAGCATTAAAATTAAAGATTCATTAAATAATTCGTTCATCTATCCGGAGGACGATGAGCGGAGGACGAGGAGGGGGGGAACTACTAACTGACTTTCCGCCAGGGAGTGCTGATGGGGTCCTGATGGGGTGCGGGGCTATCGGAAGTCCCTGTCGGAGACAATAAAGCCAAAGCTTGACAATCAAAGTCCACTTGATGCGCCGTGCGTGCTCGAGTCCGAGTCAGGGCAGCTCTCGGGCCAGGAGACTGTGGGAGAGGGCCTGTGTGACCGCAGACGGGGCTGGGAACGAGGTCACCTCCCCCACACGGAAAAGGGGTTTGGAGATCCTAAGCTCTGGGCGACAGATAATGACGGACTTTAGAGCATTCCTTACTTACTGGACTCTGATCCCGACTCTGATTCCAGGCGAACGACTCATACAGTATGCCAGCGAGAACCTGGTCACGGAGGTGCTCATCCATCCGCAGTACAACACCCTCATCCAGTGCATGCGCAACCTCTTGAGCAGCTTCACCCGCCACCGGCACATCATCCACGCCGGCTACACCTTCAGCGGCAACGGTTCCTGGATCCTGCAGGACGGAACCTTCTCGGTGGCCGATTTCTCGGAGGCCTTCCAGGAGCACGACGTACAAAGGGTGATCCGAGCCTACGCGGACACCATCACCATGAACATCCACTGCGCGGACGCGGGTCTCTGGCACACACTGCCGGAGAAGCCCTTCGCCCGCCAGTGCCGCATCCGGATCAACCCGGTGGATGTCCTGGACACGAGCAGCGAGAGCATCAACGGGTTCATAGGTAAGTCCACATGAAGTATTCACCCAGATTCCAATCTAACCTGGCCCATCTTGCAGACTACCTGGCGCCCATGGTGATGCCCACGTCGCTGAGGGAACTGCTGGAGACCTCGGACGTGGTCGGCAACATCCGCTTCACGCATCCCACTCTCTACGTCTTTCCCGGCGGGCAGGGCGACGCGGCTCTGTTCGGCATCAACGGATTCAACATGCTGGGTGGGTATTCCCCTTAGAGCTCTGTAAAGGGCTGGATCTCTTACTGACTATTGTCCATTCCTTTCCAGTGGACGGCGGCTTCAACCGGAAGGCCTGCTTCTGGGACTTTGCCCGCCACCTGGACCGCCTGGACGCCGTGCTGATGACCCGGCTGAACAACAGCAACATCCAGGGCCTGGGAGCCGTGGTGGCCCGCAAGAGGGACTCGCACGTCTACCCCCAGATTGGACACTTCTTCGGAAACGTACCTGACCGCCGGGGACTGCCCAGCCCGGACGGCGACAAGGACAAGGACCCGCTGCTGATCGATCTCTTCGAGCGCGGCCACGGCATCGTCAATGACCTCAAGTCGCTCGACCTGAAGCCGCAGGCCTGCTACCGCAACCAGGAGCCGGTGAATCTCTACCACAAGGTGGGCCACGGCACCCTCGACATGTATGTGATAAGTCCGGCCCGCGACTCCAAGGAGGTGAAGGAGTTCCTCCAGAAGTGGCACGCCGGCGACCAGCGGCTCTTCGCGAGTCGCGAGTCCAAGGACTTTAACTTCCCGCTCCAGAACCTGGTCTCCATCTGCGCCCTGCTGGTCTGGCAGCCCGCCAACCCGGACGACACCATCACGCGCATCCTCTTCCCCGGCAGCACCCCCGACTACAAGATCCAGGAGGGCCTGGAGAAGCTGAAGCACCTGGAGTTCATGAAGCACTCCACGTGCACGGCCAAGTCGATCGCCCCGGCCATCCAGACGGTGGCCGCGGCCACCCGGAAGAGTCTCAAGTCCGCCATCGAGTCCACCCCGGCCCCGCCCAGCGCCAGCCACCACAAGGTCTCCAAGTTCGGCCCCGTGGCCAGTGCCGCGGTGGCGGTCCAGCACCCCCATCCTCAGCAGCAGCAGGATAACAAGGCCAAGGAGGCAGCAGCCGCAGCAGCAGCGGCAGCGGCGGCAGCAGCAGCAGCAACTGCCTCGCGCGCCAAGGCCGACTCCCTGGACACCGATGCCGAGCAGGAGGCAGAGCCGGAAGCAGAGCCCGAAGCCGAACCGGAGGCAGAGCCGGCAGCCGACACCGGAGACGAGGCTGTGGCCGCGGAGCAGCCGGAGCCAGAGGGAGCCGAGACCGAACCGGAGCCGGAGGCGGAGACGAAGCAGTTGGACAACAAGGATGCCGTCGCCGCCGCGGAGGAGAAGAAGGTGGTGCTCCCACCGGTCACCGGCAAGGAGGCTAAGGGAGATGCAGTGGATGCTGCCGCTCCGGCGGACAGTGCCACGCCCTCCAGCAAGTCCGCCAAAACCCTGTCGGCCGGCAAGGGCAAGGAGAAGCCGGACAAGCCGCGGGCCGAGGTGAAGCCTGTGGTGCGCTCCCGGATCGACACGAAGCCACCCAAGTCCATGGACCGCAAGATGGTGAAGCGGGTGGAGGACAAGAAGAGCTCGCCCACGGCTACGCCTGCCGTCCGGGCCGCCGCCGCCCAGAAGCCCAAGGTGCCGCTGAGCCGACCCGTGACCAAGTCCAGTCCCAGCAGCACGCCCGCCAAGAGCGCCAAGGAGGCCAACAACCGCAAGGTCCTGGAGTCGAAGCAGCAGGCGGCCCGCAGCCAGGTGACCACCAGCACCGCTAGGACCAGGCTGGTGAAGACCCAGCAGCAGCAGCAGCAGGCGGAGAGCAAGACCTCGACCGGGGTGCAGCAGCGGAAGCCCATTTCCCGGAGACCTCGCGGCGTTTCGCCCTCCAAACGGGCTCCGGCTCCGGGAAGCCCTGTGAAGCAGGCCAAGCCCAAGGTGGCGGAGCTGAAGAAGACGCGCCTGGACAAGGGCGGCACCACCGACTCCAGCTTGGTGTCCACGCCCTCTGCCGACGAGGCGACAGCCGCCAAGAAACTGCAGGAGCTGACGGCTTCGCAGGAACTGGACGCGGAGGAGAAGCAGCGCGAGCTGGATGACCTTAAGGAGGAGCAGGAGGTGGTGCGCGAGATCGAGGCCGTATTCAGCCGGGACGAGATGAAGCGCCAGCAGCACCAGCAGATCAAGGCGGAGCTGCGGGAGATGCCCAAGGGCGAGGGCGGCGAGGATGAGGCTGAAGAGGACGAGGAGTACCTGATCATCGAGAAGGAGGAGGTGGAGCAATACACCGAGGACTCGATCGTGGAGCAGGAGAGCAGCATTACCAAGGAGGAGGAGATCCAGAAGCACCAGCGCGACTCACAGGAGTCCGAGAAGAAGCGCAAGAAGAGCGCCGAGGAGGAGATCGAGGCGGCCATCGCCAAGGCGGAGGCGGTCGAGCGGCAGGAGCAGCTCTCCAAGGAGGAGCAGAAGCAGGACCAGGCCGAGCTCCAGCTGGAGGAGGAGGAGATCAAGGACGAGGTGCAGGAGATTATTGCCACGGCCAAGGTGGTGGCCAAGTCGCGCACGGAGGAGCAGCTGGCCAAGCGCGGTCAGGACGACTTGGAGTACTCTTCGCCCACGCCCGAGGAGAAGCTGAGCAAGAAGACCTCGGACACGAAGGACGAGCCTGTGGAGGCGCCGGCGGACCTGCCCGTGAATCTGCAGGAGAGCCTGCCGGAGGAAAAGTTCTCGGCCACGATCGAGTCCGGAGCCACCACGGCGCCCACGCTGCCCGAGGACGAACGCATCCCCCTGGACCAGATCAAGGAGGACCTCGTGATCGAGGAGAAGTACGTCAAGGAGGAGACCAAGGAAATCGAGGCCATGATAGTTACCACGTTGCAGGCGGCAGTGCCCGAGACGGCGGCGGCCGCCATCGATACTATCCTGGCCCTTGCCACCAAGGACGCCCCCCAGGCAGCCGCCCAGGTGGAGGTCACCGGAGAGCAGGCCGACTCTGCCGGGGAGCGGATAATGCCCATGAAGATGACCTTCGAGGCGCAGCAGAACCTCCTGAGGGATGTCATCAAAACACCCGACGAGGTGGCCGATCTGCCCGTGCATGAGGAGGCCGATCTCGGCTTGTACGAAAAGGACGACAAGGATGCGGGCGCCAAGAGCATCTCGCACAAGGAGGAGTCCGCCAAGGAGGAGAAGGAATCCGCCGACGGAGACAAGGAAGACAAGGAAGCGGAAGCCGCAGCCGCAGTGGAAGCGGAGAAGAAGTCCAAGGAGTCTTCGCCCAAAGAAGAGGCTCCAAAAGCTCTTCCAGCAGCCGCCGAGGAGAAGAAACCGGAGGCAGAGCCAGAGCAAAAGAGCCCGGAGAAGGAGCCGGAGGCGGGTCTGGAGAAGCAGGAGGCGGAGACCCAGCCTGAGGCAGCCATCATCACCGAGAAGGAGGCCAAGAAATCAGCCAGCACTCCAGAGGAAAAGGAGACCAGCGACATTACGTCGGAGGACGAGCTGCCGGCCCAGCTAGCGGAGCCCTCCTCCGTTCCGGCAAAGCCCACAAAGGACCGTGAGGACACCATCTCCATGGAAAGCCCCGCCACCATCGAGGAAGCCATCGAAGTGGAGGTGCAGACGAAGCAGGAAGCTGCCAAGGAGCCCTCTCGTCCCGTGTCCGCGGTGGGCAGTGCCAAGGACGAAACCGAGCCGCCGGAAGCCGACAAGTCCAAGGAGCCATCTCGCCGCGAATCCGTGGCGGAGAGCATCAAGCCAGATAGTGTGAAGGACGAGAAATCGGCAGCTGCTTCCAAGGAGCCTTCCCGCCCAGAATCGGTGGCCGAAAGTGTGAAAGACGACGCTGAAAAGTCCAAAGAGCCTTCCCGACGTGAGTCCGTGGCGGAGAGCATCAAGCCGGAGAGTGTGAAGGATGAGAAGTCCCCTCTGGCCTCCAAGGAACCTTCCCGTCCAGGATCCGTAGTGGAAAGTGTCAAGGACGATGCAGAACAGTCCAAGGAACCATCGCGACGCGAATCCGTTGCGGAGAGCATCAAGCCGGAGAGTGTGAAGGACGAGAAATCGGCGGCTGCTTCCAAGGAGCCTTCCCGGCCAGAATCTGTAGCGGCGAGCATCAAGGATGATGCGGAAGCCTCCAAGGAACCATCCCGTCGCGAATCCGTGGCGGAGAGCATCAAGCCGGAGAGTGTGAAGGACGAGAAGTCCCCTCTGGCTTCCAAAGAGCCCTCCCGGCCAGGATCGGTGGTGGAAAGTGTCAAGGACGAAGCAGAGAAATCCAAAGACCCATCTCGACGAGAATCTGTTGCGGAGAGCATCAAGCCGGAGAGTGTGAAGGACGAGAAGTCCCCTCTGGCCTCCAAAGAACCTTCCCGGCCAGGATCGGTGGTGGAAAGTGTCAAGGACGAGGCTGAAAAGTCCAAGGAACCATCCCGTCGGGAATCTGTGGCTGAAAGCATCAAGCCGGAGAGTGTGAAGGACGAGAAGTCCCCGTTGGCGTCCAAGGAGCCTTCCCGCCCTGGATCCGTAGTGGAGAGCGTCAAGGACGAAGGTGAGCAGCCTGAGAGCCGTAAGGAATCCATCGCTGAGAGTACAAAGCCGGAAGAGAAATCGCCGCTAGCCTCCAAGGAAGCGTCCCGACCGGAGTCGGTGGCTGCTTTGTCCAAGGATCCATCCGGACGCGAATCAGTCGCCGAAAGCATCAAGGATGCTGCCAAGGACGAGGAGAAGTCGCCCCTGGCTTCCAAGGAAGTCTCCAGACCCGCATCCGTGGTGGAAAGCGTCAAGGACGAAGGTGAGAAGCCCGAAAGCCGCAGGGAGTCCGCCAAGCCGGAGAGCGACAAGGATGAAAAGTCAGTTCCCGCCTCCAAAGAGCCTTCCCGGCCAGAATCGGTGGCCGAAAGCACCAAGGACGAAGCCGAGAAGTCGAAGGAGCCATCCCGTCCGGAGTCCGTGGCTGAAAGCATCAAGGCAGAGAGCACCAAGGCGGAGGAGAAGTCCGCAGAGGCCTCCAAGGAAGCTTCCCGACCCGCGTCCGTGGCTGAAAGCGTGAAGGATGAAGCCGAGAAGACCAAGGATCCGCTGGCTTCAAAGGAAGCCTCTCGACCTGCCTCTGCCGTGGACAGCGTCAAGGACGAGGCAGAGAGCCGGCGGGAGTCCGTGGCCGAGAGTGCCAAGGCAGAGAAGTCCGCCGAGGCCTCCAATGAGGCTTCCAGGCCAGCATCCGTCGTGGAGAGCGTCCAGGACGAAGCCGAGAAGTCCAAGGAGCCATCGAGACGCGAGTCTGTGGCCGAAAGTATCAAGGCGGAGAGCACCAAGGCGGACGAGAAGTCCGCAGAGGCCTCCAAGGAAGCTTCCCGACCCGCGTCCGTGGCGGAAAGTGTGAAGGGTGAGCCGGAGAAGTCCAAGGACCCCTCTCGTAGAGAATCCGTGGCAGAAAGCATCAAGGCAGAGAGTACAAAGGACGAGAAGTCTCCACTGGCATCCAAGGATGCGTCCCGTCCCGCATCGGTGGCCGAGAGTGCCAAGGATGGAGCCACTCCGCCCAAGGATGCCACGTCTCGCCCGGAATCTGTTGCGGAGAGCCCGGCTGCAAAGTCTCCGGCTCCATCCCGGCCAGAATCCGTGGTGGAAAGTGTCAAGGATGAGCCCATCCAATCCAAGGAGCCATCGCGACGAGAGTCCGCTGTCGAGAGCATTAAGGCGGAAAGTGTAAAGGACGAGAAGTCTCCGCCTGCCTCCAAGGATGTTTCACGTCCCGAATCGGTTGCTGGAGGACTGAAGATCGAAGGAGCCCTGAAATCAAAGGAGTCCTCTCGACCAGAGTCGGTGGCTGAGAGCGCCAAGGACGAGCAGTCACCTATTCCCTCCAGGGACATTTCCCGGCCAGAATCGGTGGCGGAAAGCGAGCAAGAAGAGGATTCCTTCAGGGTGAAGCCTCCCGCGGAGGAGAAGCTCATCTCTACGGTGGTTACCAAACTGGAATCCGCTGCAGAGGCGAAGCCGGAGCCACAAGCTGCCAGTGAGAAGGATGAGAAGTCCCCTATCGCCTCCAAGGAAGCCTCCCGACCAGCCTCTGCGATCGAGAGCGTAAAGGACGAAACTGAGAAACCAGAAAGTCGCCGTGAGTCCCTGGCGGAGAGCCTTAAGCCAGAGAGCTCGGCCGAAAAGTCTCCAGAAACTGCCTCCAAGGAAGCCTCGCGTCCCGAGTCGAAGGCGGAAGACGCCAAGGACGAAGCTGACAAGTCGAAGGAACCATCCCGGAGGGAATCGGTCGCCGAAAGCGCGAAGGCTTCTGAGGGCTCTGTGGGTGACAAGTCGAAGGAACCATCCCGCCCAGAGTCCGTTGCGGCAAGTGTCAAGGACGAGGTGGAAAGTCTCAAGGACCAAAAATCGCCACTTGCTTCCAAGGATGTTTCCCGCCCGGAGTCGGTGGCAGACAAGGATGACGTCAAGGACAAGGAGCCCTCGCGACCAGAATCCGTTGCAGAGAGCCTCAAGCCAGACAGCCTCAAGGACGAGAAGTCGTCATTGCCCGCTTCCAAGGAGCCGTCTCGCCCAGGATCTGTGGCAGAAAGTGTCAAGGAGGAGGCGGAGAAGTCAAAGGAGCCATCCCGCCGAGAGTCCGTGGCGGAGAGCGGAAAGGTGGAAAGCAGCAAGGACGAAAAGACGGCTCCTGCTTCCGTAGAAGTTTCCAGACCAGGATCGGTCGCAGAAAGCATCAAGGACGAGCCGACCATGGCCGAGAGCCGAAAGGAATCGATTGCCGAAAGCACCAAGCCGGACGCCGTTAAGGAGGCCAAGTCCCCACTGGCCTCCAGGCCGGAGTCCGTGGCCGGAAGCACCAAGGACGAATTGGAAAAATCCGAGGAGCCGGACAAGGCCAGTGCTCCTATCTCGCAGCAACCGTCACCCCGACCGGGATCTGTGGCCAGCGAACATGAAGCACCAGTGGCTGCCGCATTGTCTTCCAAGGAAGCCTCCCGACCGGAGTCCGCTCTGGAGACTGCCTCGTCGCCAATCGAGGAAGCGGCAAAGGACTTCCCGGAGCCAGAGATCGTAAAGAAGACAAGCCTGGCACTGGACCTGCAGGCTGAAGCCGGAAAGCTGCCCACGGAGTCCAGTCCCGTCGATGTCGCCGAGGGAGACTTCTCCAAGATCATTGTCGCTTCGGTGTCGGCTGCGCCAAGTGCTCCTCCAAAGCCTGCGGAACTCTCCAAGGCTGCCGCCGCGGAAACCGTTTCCTCACCCGTGGACGAAGCTCCCAAGACTCCATCGGCCCCCGAGCTAAGTCCCCGTGCGGAATCCCCCGCAGAAAGTGGCCACGAAGAGGCCGCCCAGGATGAGAAGTCGCCGCTACCCTCAAAGGAAGCATCAAAGCCGGCATCTGCAGTGGAGAGTCCCAAAGACGGAAGCCCAAAGGCGGACAAGTCTCCGGTGGCCTCGAAGGAAGCTTCTCGACCGGAATCGGTTGCCGAAACCGCCTCCTCGCCCATCGAGGAAGCCCCCAAGGACTTCGCAGCATTCCAAGAGCTGTCCCTGAAACTCGAGCGAAAGGGCGATCTTCCAACGCTCTCCAGCCCGGTGGACGTCGCCGAGGGGGATTTCCCGCAGCCGGCCACGCCCACCAGCTCGCCCACAACATCCGCGCCAGCCCAGCCGGCTGAGCTCTCCAAGATCGCCACTGAGAAGACTGCCTCCAGCCCCGTCGACGAAGCCCCCAAGTCGCCATTCGGCTCTCACGATTCGGAGCGACCCGCATCCCCGGCAGAAAGCGCCCAGGGCGAGGCCAAGAAGGCAGACTCCATCAAGGACGACAAGTCCAAGGAGCCATCCCGTCGCGAGTCTGTGGCGGAGAGCACCAAGGACGATGCCGAAAAGTCGAAGGATCCTTCACGACGCGAGTCAGCGGCCGAAAGTGTGCAGCCGGAAAGTGTCAAGGACGAGAAGTCCCCTCCGGCCTCCAAGGAAGCCTCCCGACCGGAATCGGTGGTGGAGAGCCTCAAGGACGATGCCGAAAAATCCAAGGAGCTGTCGCGACCGGTATCAGTTGCAGGATCTGTTGCTGGAAGCGTCAAGGACGAGACCGAAAAGCCAGAGAGTCGTCGCGAATCGGTTGTCCAAAGTCTAAAAGATGCGGCCAGCCCGCTCCCATCTCGGCCAGAATCTGCAGCAGACAGCACCAAAGACGCCACCGAGAAATCCAAGGAGCCATCTCGCCGAGAATCCGTAGCGGAGAGTATTCAGGATGATGCAGATAAGCCGGAAAGCCGGCGAGAATCAGCCGCCGAAAGTACAAAGGCGGAAGCCAGCAAGTCTCCTCTGGACTCCAAGGATGCTTCCCGGCCTGAAAGCGTTGCTGAGGCTGCCAAATCGTCACCGGCTTCCAAGGAGGCCTCGCGTCCAGAATCGGTGGCGGAAAGCGCCAAGGACGGAGCTGATCCTCTCGAGAGCCGAAAGGAATCAATTGCCGAGAGCCTCAAGCCAGAAGAGAAGTCCCCACTTGCTTCTCGCCCAGAATCCGTGGCGGAAAGTGTGAAAGACGACGCGGATAAGTCAAAGGAGCCATCTCGCCGCGAATCCGTGGCGGAGAGCATCAAGCCAGAGAGTGTGAAGGACGAGAAATCTGCGGCTGCTTCCAAGGAGCCTTCCCGCCCAGAATCGGTGGCCGAAAGTGTCAAAGACGAAGCTGAAAAGTCCAAAGAGCCTTCCCGACGTGAGTCCGTGGCGGAGAGCATCAAACCGGAGAGTGTGAAGGATGAGAAGTCCCCTCTGGCCTCCAAGGAACCTTCCCGTCCAGGATCCGTAGTGGAAAGTGTCAAGGACGATGCAGAACAGTCCAAGGAACCATCGCGACGCGAATCTGTTGCGGAGAGCGTGAAGCCAGACAGTGTGAAGGATGAAAAGTCGGCAGCGGCTTCCAAGGAGCCTTCCCGGCCAGAATCTGTAGCGGCGAGCGTCAAGGATGATGCGGAAGCCTCCAAGGAGCCATCCCGTCGCGAATCCGTGGCTGAGAGTACAAAACCAGAGAGTGTGAAGGACGAGAAGTCCCCCCTGGCTTCCAAAGAACCCTCCCGGCCAGGATCTGTGGTGGAAAGTGTCAAGGACGAGGCTGAAAAGTCCAAGGAACCATCACGCCGGGAATCTGTGGCTGAAAGCATCAAGCCGGAGAGTGTGAAGGACGAGAAGTCCCCGTTGGCGTCCAGGGAGCCTTCCCGCCCAGGATCCGTAGTGGAGAGCGTCAAGGACGAAGGTGAGCAGCCTGAGAGCCCTAAGGAATCCATCGCTGAGAGTACAAAGCCGGAAGAGAAATCGCCGCTAGCCTCCAAGGAAGCGTCCCGACCGGAGTCGGTGGCTGCGCAGTCCAAGGATCCATCCCGACGCGAATCAGTTGCCGAAAGCATCAAGGATGCTGCCAAGGACGAGGAGAAGTCGCCCCTGGCTTCCAAGGAAGTCTCCAGACCCGCATCCGTGGTGGAAAGCGTCAAGGACGAAGGTGAGAAGCCCGAAAGCCGCCGGGAGTCCGCCAAGCCGGAGAGCGACAAGGATGAAAAGTCAGTTCCCGCCTCCAAGGAGCCTTCCCGGCCAGAATCGGTGGCCGAAAGTACCAAGGACGAAGCCGAGAAGTCGAAGGAGCCATCCCGTCCGGAGTCAGTGGCCGAAAGCATCAAGGCAGAGAGCACCAAGGCGGAGGAGAAGTCCGCAGAGGCCTCCAAGGAAGCTTCCCGACCCGCGTCCGTGGCGGAAAGTGTGAAGGATGAGCCGGAGAAGTCCAAGGACCCCTCTCGTAGAGAATCCGTGGCAGAAAGCATCAAGGCAGAGAGTACAAAGGACGAGAAGTCTCCACTGGCATCCAAGGATGCGTCCCGTCCCGCATCGGTGGCCGAGAGTGCCAAGGATGGAGCCACTCCGCCCAAGGATGCCACGTCTCGCCCGGAATCTGTCGCGGAGAGCCCGGCTGCAAAGTCTCCGGCTCCATCCCGGCCAGAATCCGTGGTGGAGAGTGTCAAGGATGAGCCCATTCAATCCAAGGAGCCATCCCGACGAGAGTCCGCTGTCGAGAGCATTAAGGCGGAAAGTGTGAAGGACGAGAAGTCTCCGCCTGCCTCCAAGGATGTTTCACGGCCGGGATCAGTTTTGGAGAGCGTGAAGGACGAAGCAGAGGCTTCCAAGGAACCATCCCGCCGTGAATCTGTGGCTGAGAGTGCGAAGGCCGAAAGCGCAAAGGAGGAGCAGTCCCCTCTCGTCTCGAAGGAGCCTTCCCGAGCTGGCTCAGTGGTGGGCAGCGCCCAGGAACACAAGTCTCCAGTTGCCTCTCGCCCCGAATCTGTAGCAGAAAGCCTTAAAGACGCGATCGTACCTGATATCACCTCTAAGGAGGCATCCCGCCCAGCTTCCGCGGCCGACAAATCCCGCCCTGGATCGGCTGTGGAGGAGAAATCGCCGGCTCCCTCGCCACGCCCCGAATCCAGCGCAGCTGCCTCCAAGGAAGCGTCTCGTCCAGGAACCGAGACAGCCTCCTCGCCCATCGAGGAGGGCCCGCAGTCGATTGTCGACCTGAGCCTGGATCTGGTCCAGCCAGAGGCAGCGGGTAAGCTGCCAACATTGTCGAGTCCCGTGGACGTGGCGGAGGGAGACTTCTCGAAAGTCCAGCAAGCGGAGTCCAGCTCGGAACAAGGCTCTGCCCCGAAGCCCGCAGAGCTCTCCCAGGTGGATGCCGTGCATACAGCTTCCAGTCCCGTGGACGAGGCCGCTCCCACAATCGACGATCATATCACCAGTGGAGGCCACACCTCAGAGGCCACTGCCGACCTCCTGGGCCTGGAGGAGGCTGTCGTCCAGGAGACGACTACCCAGCTGAACGAGGCCACGTCGCTCTTCGAAAGCATTACCTCGCAGGTGGTGAAGCAGGTGGACGAGAAGGTGGAGGAGGCAGTGAAGAGCACAAGCAAACTGGAAAAGAGCTCGCTAGAGACGGTGCAGAAGGCCATGGAGAGCACCAAGCAAGAAGTGGAAACTCTACTGGAGCTGTCCTCCGAACTCAGCACCCTGGTGGACACTAAAACGAGCGTAGTGACCTCTCAGGTTCAGGATGTGACCAAGAAGATTGAGGAGAAGATCGAGGAGATCAACACGGAACAGGGAAGCCAGGTCACAGAGTCGTCCTCCAGCACAGAGGCCAGCGGCCTGGATCTGGGCACCTTCTCGGAGCTGCGGGAGACCCACATCACCACCGTGGGCTCCCCGGAGTTCACGGTCACGATCTGTGAAAGGGACGAGCCCGTGCTGCACGACATCAAGGAGGAGGACGAGGAGCATCGCTTCTCCCCGCCCGGCGAAGTGGGGGCGAGGTCACCGTCCATCGTGGCCGCCCAGCCCATTCGGCCGCTGTCCCCCCGAGAAGAGGAGGTGGCCAAGATCGTGGCCGACGTGGCCAAGGTCCTCAAGTCGGACAAGGACATTGTCGACATAATTCCCGGATTCGATGAGCGGCAGCTGGAGGAGAAGCTGAAGTCGAGCACCGACACCGAGGCTGAGGACTCCCTTCAGTCCCTGGAGATCAGTGTCATGAAGGTGGAGATCGAGTCGGAGAAGTCCTCGCCCGACCAGAAGTCGGGTCCCATTTCCATCGAGGAGAAGGACAAGATCGAGCAGTCGGAGAAGGCGCAGCTGCGTCAGGGAGCGGCTGAGGCGTCGCTAGCCTCCCGTCCGGAGTCGGCATCCAGCCACAAGGAGGAGCTTTCCGTGGCATCCTCTCCTCAGCCTGGCAAGGATCTGTCGCGCCCAGAGTCCGTGGCCAGCCAGGTCAGCGATAAGGAAACCAAGACATCCCGGCCCGTCTCCAGCCTGAGCCAGGAAGGCGAGGACGAGTCCCTGCTTCAGTCATCCACCACCACAGAGACTGTCGAGAGCAAGAAGCTGGAGGAGAAGAGTAGCGTCACCACAAAGTCCAGCATCCAGACGATCCAACAGCGGGAGGAGTCCACCAGTGACTCCCTGAGCAGCAGCCTCAAAGTGGAGGACAGCTCCCGCCGTGAGTCGCTCTCCAGCCTGCTGGCTGAGAAGGGCCTCACCAGCACCACCAGCACCGTCAGCACCAGCCTGAAGGAGGACGCCACCACAGCCTCCCAGCTGGAGGAGCTGCTGGTGCAGTCCGAAGAGTGTTCCTCGGAGTCCATTGTGAGCGAGATTCAGACCAGCACTCTGGCCCAAAAGACAAAGGAGGCCAAGGAGACGAAGGAAACCAAGGAGTCTAAGGAATCAAAGGAGATCTTTAGCAGCATCAGCTCCAGTTCCAAGGAGGAGAACCTCAAGGAGACAGTCGCAGAGTTCCTGGCCACCGAGAAGATCGTCTCCGCCAAGGAAACGTTTAGCGCCGAGGCCGCCAAAACTGCGGAGGAGTCCTTGAAGAAGGCCAGCACTGTCAGCAGCACCACTGCCTCCCAGCGCGCCCTCTTCGTGGGCACCGACGAGTCCCGTCGCGAGTCCCTGCTTAGCCACACCAGCGAGGGTCGCCAGACCCACAGCGATCCCGAGGAGGAGGAGGACGACGAGGAGGAGCGCCTCAGCGTGAAGGAGGGCCGCTCCAAGTCGATCGCCACCATCATGATGACCAGCATCTACAAGCCCTCCGAGGATGTCGAGATCGAAGCCACCCTGGCCGAGGAGGAGCACGAGCAGGAAGCGGATCAGGAGCATGAGACCATCACGAGCACCAGCAAGACCACGCTGCTGCAATCCAGCGAGCAGGCGAGCAGTAGCACCTCCACAACCACTACCACTACCACCAGCAGCAGCTCTAAGACCTCCTCCTCGACCTCAAAGGTCGAGTCCATCACCCTCACCCAGCAGTCTGGCCAGGATCAGCCCGCTGATCGCAAGACCCCGCCCACAGCACCCGTCAGTCCCGGCATTAAGCCCCTGAGCTCGGCAGGATCCACTGGAGGAGCTGGAGCAGTTGGAGGAAAGTGTGAGTCTAGCGCCGCCAGCATTGCCTCCACATCAGGCCCACTCTCGCCCAAGGACATCAGCGGCAAGTCGAGCCCGGGCGCCCTCACCTCTGAGAGCCAGTCCATACCCACTCCCCTGGGTCGGGAATCCCACACGGAGACTCCCGAGTCCTCGCCCAAGCCCACGTCGCCATTCCCGCGGGTCACCAAGGACGAACTCAAGTCTCTGGAAGCCCAGGTGAGTCCAAGCATATAAACTATAATGTTTTAATAATTACCCCCATATTTGTTGCAGCACCACGTTCAGGAGCAGGAAGAGATCCTCTCTGGAGCCACAGCCATCGCCAGCGGAGGAATAGGCTCTATTGGCGAGCCGGATCTCCCCGAGCTGCACGAACTGCGCGGCATAGAGTGCACCACCGCCTTGAGCGGCAGCACAGAAAAGATCATAACCACTACCATCACCACGGTGACGAAGGTGATCTCCGCCGACGGCAAAGAGATCGTCACCGAGCAAAAGACAGTCACCACCACGGACAGCTCGGAGCCAGACAGCGAGAAGGTAGTAGTGACCACCACCCGGACGACCAGCGAGAGCGAGCGCGACCAGCTGCTGCCGAAGGAGGTGGCCCTGCTGCGGGGCATGTACCGGTCCAGCACACCTGGCAGTGAGGAGGATGACGACGTCCTGCCCGGATCGCCACGCAGCGCCACCAGCTACGAGCTTCAGCACTCCAGCTCCGGGGTGAGCAAGCGCTCCGACCTGGATGGAGATGGCGACGGGGACGAGAGCCAGGACGACATTCCGCCACAGTACGGCAGCGAGGAGCACTCGACGGCACGCTCGATCCTGCTGCCCCGCAACGAGGACCCTATGGCCGCCTCCTTCTACGGCGCTCTGCCCGACACCTTCGCACCGCTACCGGCACCAGCACCAAAGACCAGCACCGAGCCTATTCCCATCCAAGGGGCCGTGGAGTCATCCAGCCAGGAGTCCTCCAGCAGCCAGCAGACCTGGGCGGGACACAAGTTCCTCGACCAGGCTGACAAGGACTTCCAGCGAGCGCTTGAGGAGCATGTGCAAGCGCGCGGCGCCGAAGTCATGTCTTCCGTTACCGCCAAGTACTCGTATTCGCCCTCGAAGGCCGAGGAGGTGGAGCAGATCGTGACGAGCACGGCGGAACGGCAGCGCTTCCCGCTGAGCGACGTCCAGCGGATGCGAGTGGCGGAGAGTGGGTTTGCCACCGTCGGTGGCCAGCATCAGGAGAAGCCTGAGGAGGCAGCCCCCGCCACAACCACAGCCATAACTGTTCCAGAAACCACACCTGCAACAACCACAACCACTTCGACCGGCGCCACACCAAAGGACCGTCTCGAGGAGTGGGGAAAGCCCCTGGGCTTGCCCTCGCCCGCTCCTCTGCCCGTCGAGGGCGGCGCCGACATCCGGACCACGCCCAAGAAGGAACGCCGTCTGGTGGCCACGAAGACGCGACTGAACAACGAGAAGAATCTGCGTAAGCGCAGCGAGTCGCCCAACAAGGTGGGCAAGAAGCCAGCTCCTGTCTACGTGGATCTGACGTACGTGCCCCACAACGGTAACTCCTACTACGCCCACGTCGACTTCTTCAAGCGGGTGCGGGCCAGGTACTACGTATTCTCCGGCACGGAGCCCAGTCGCCAGGTGTACGATGCACTGCTCGAGGCAAAGCAGACATGGGAGGACAAGGAGTTGGGTGAGTGTTGCCAGCAAGGATTCCTATGCTTTTAATTTACATTCTAGAACACCATTTTACATTCTTTTGTTGCCGAGCCAGTAGCTTTTATAGTCCACTCACTGTTCCCCTAGAGGTGGTTAACTTTTCCTAGTGATGGGCGATTGTTAAATATCGATATTTTTAAACACTTAATTTCGCACTTTCAAACACTAATTAGGAAACTTTGAAAGCTTAAACCGAATAAGGCGGGAAGAGATATTCTTTAATATTTTTTAAAAATGTTTGCTTTTAAAATTTGTTTCATTTTCTACAACCTTGCTTCTGTTACCACTTCGGTTTATTGTTTTCCATTAGTTTACATACATTTGCTAAAACATGTACTAAAAAAGATACTACCTTTATTCTGTGAATCTTGCAGAGGTCACCATTATACCCACGTACGATACCGACGTACTGGGCTATTGGGTGGCTGAAAACGAGGAGCTGCTAGCCAAGCACCGCATCGACCTCTCGCCCTCCGCCTCGCGCTGCACCATCAACCTGCAGGATCACGAGACATCCTGCTCCGCCTATCGCCTGGAGTTCTAGGCCACGGGCCTGTTTATTGCATTCGACGACGATGACTAGAGACGAACCCACAACGCACAAACCCAACCAACCAACCAACCAACCAGGAACCGTGGAGCAGGAGACGTGCCGGAGCATCGAGTCCGTGCTGGACTTTTAAAGTGCCTGGACATGATGCTCCGGCAGCGACTGGCAGGATAAACACCGGACTAGTACCAGGAGTAGGACCACAACCAAAACCAGGATAACGGACAACGGACGATGACAGGACGACAGCAACAGACAGCAAGGAAACTGGAAAGGATGTAATATGGGCGCACAGAAAACGGAGACATGCGACGCAGAGCTGATACGGCGGAGGATGCCACTTTGTTTGCGAATGCAGTGCCGTCTATTGAGCTTTTGCGCCTCTACGTAACCAGAGCTACGTAATTAATTGATATATGTTTTGAAGAAATTAATTACCAACAAAAACCAAAGGGAAAACCCGAAAAAAGAAACAGTGCAACCGAACCATCAAGAAATCGAAAGACACGGCGTTAGTATCCGTTGCTTTAATCGAGAATGTCAAGCTACCTTGTCTAGAAACCCAAAGATCAAAATAGTTATCGAAAAATCTCGCCTAGCTAAAATATACACGCAAAAGGGGGAACCCCACGCAATCTAAATCGAAAGCTAAAACTATGCAAAGAAATGGGAAATGAAAACCAAAACCTCTATATATGTATACACAAGCATATACATTACATACATATATGTAATGATGAATAATATTCGTGTTAATTGTATTAGTGGAAACTTTACGAAACGCAAAACGAAGGTGTTTCGAAATTTTAAAGCGTAGCCCCGCGAGTCAGAGCGCTAAGTAGTCGTAGGATAAGCGATATTAGAAAGATCATAGAGACACATAGGGCAGATCGGATTGGAATGCGATTGGTTTGGCTTGAGGGTGGAGAAGAAGGACCTTCTTGCTCTACTCCACGATCCAAACAAACTAAATCAAACAGTTTCGAACTAAAATCTACAATATACGATTATCCATTTAAAGTTTACATTTTCCGATTACCCCGCGCCCGTCAAGATCCAACAACCTCGATAATGTGCCTCCTCTTTAGGGGATATACTCGTACTCGTACACCCAAAATATGTCTGCACCAAAAGCCCCCAGAATAGCAGTTCCGTAGTCCATTCTTAATCTTTTGTGTTGTCTTTCCTTATCTGTTTGATTTCGTTTTGTTGCAGGCAGAAAGACTTGAACATATATCCAGCAGCTATAGCAATCGATAAGCGATTAACGATAAACGATAAACGATATACGATATACGTACACCTCAAAATAGGGAAGGGAATTTTGAATTGAATGGAATAGAGTTTAAGTGGAAGGAGCTGGCGAAAGTGGGTTTGTTGCTGGCGGGTGATAGACTAGGACCTCGACGGACAAGGACCCTGGAACAAGGACTGAGAGTCAATGCTGATGTTACAATATAAGGATAATGAGGATCCGAGGAGACAGAGGACTAGAACTGGGCTTGTGATCAGGTTAGGTGGGTTGTTCGGGAGGGTGGACAGTGGGTTTGGGATCAGGACATGCAGAATGCAAGACAGTCGGGACGAGAACGACAGAGACAGAGAGAGATAGAGAGAGAGAGAGTCAGATAAACTAATACGATTAAATATTGAAGAACACAAAGTGAAGGTTATTTTTCTATATTTTTTTTACTTTTTCATAGTCATAGAATAACAAATTTTCAAACAAACAAACAGATAGCAGAAACAACTGATAAATATGCGATTTAATAGGAGGAAGGATGAAAAGGACGACGAGGAGGAGGAGGAGGAGGAGCAGGCACACAGGCAATTTTAAAATGTTAATCACAAAATGGAACAAGCAAAAAATATTAACAAAAAAAAAAAAACAGTCCAAAGAGCCAGTTACAATTAAAAACAAAGAATCAAGTCAGACTTTTTTAGGCTACGCGTATATTTTTGTGTTGCTTTTTATACAGGACAGCAACAGGTCCTGCGGCGGCAACTGAGGCGGCGGCAGGACATCCGACAGTCAACTGGCAACCGTCCAGTCTACAAACCGTTTGGCTAAAAACAACAGAAATTAAGCAGATTTAATAGGACTAAGAGGGGAGCGGGCAGAGCGGGACTAGGCAGACTAGGCAGATATAGACTTGAAATACCGTTACGCGTTACCCCGATCCGTGATCCCCGTCCGACCAGCACCGGAAGCGGATATATACACGCAGACATATACGTATATACTACGATTCCAGTCGATGTTTTGATTATTGAGTAGCTTGCAGTCTCCGCTTTGAGAATTTTAAATTCATAATCAAGAAACAAAAAGCTAAAAAACTTTAAAAATAAAAAAAAACGAAAAAAGAATATATAAAATTTATTGAATATTATAATTAATTTCCAAAAAAAAAATTCGTGCGCCAAGCGAAAACTAAAGCCGAAGCAAAACAAATCATGAAAAATGATTAATGAAAACAATTAAAATTAAAGATAATGAATACTCACACGTGAACAATATACACACTATATATATACTCTATATATATATATACACATACATATATATGTACTTGAGCGTATTGATGTTGCTTAAAAAAAAAAACAAACAAACAAAAAAAAAGAACTCTTCTAATAGCCAGAAGAAATTTTTTGCCTTTCATGAAACGAATTTTCCCCTAAGATACGAAAAAATATTAAACATTGTTAACCTTTGCCCCCCTCGTCTTTGTTTGCGCCTCGATTTGGGATCCGGGACCTTGCGTTCCGGATCCGGATCAGATCATTATACGGCACCCCACACAACCCTCACCCTCACACACACACGTATCCATTGCCTTATATCCAGTGAACCACAGATATCTGCATCACATACCTTATATATAGAGTAAGAATCAATGTATCGACAAATATGTACGACCTATGAGAGTTTGTTTGTTGAATTTGCTTTTACGTTTTAGCAGCTTCGATTTAAATCAAATATACATACTACGCGCGCGGGTCCAACTTTGGACGCCCAGTGCTCTATATAATCATTAGAAGAGGCAGCCGGATTGTTGAAAACAAAGCGCGAGAATGTGGTCAGGAGGGGAGGAGGAGGGCCGAGTCCCCAGACAGGACGAGGCCAGCAGGATAGTATTGAGGGACGGCCAGCACAAAGTACATCCGACATGGCAGTCAACGGGAAGAGTTAAAAAAAACTAAAAAAATAAAGACAAAGAGCAAGAATCGAGAAACGAAAATATATATGTATTACATTTTATGAAACGTAAAGCTTATCTCAAAAACTATTTCCAATGCAAAACCCAAATCTGAAGAATATAATAAACGTATTTATGTGAAGATAATGGTATTTTCATTCATTTTCTGTTATTGCCGCTTGTTGAAGTCTGGTGATTGATTGCCGCGTCCTAAGTGCTCTAATTACTGTCTGTCCTGCCCATGGGTGTCCTGCTTGATGGATTGGCAATCGCCTGTTGAGTTCCTGTGGTCAGGTGTTTCTGTTCGAATCACTTGTTGGTGTACATTGGAGGGCCACTGACGTCTACTGGTGCTGGTGGGTGTTATCTGTTGCCTGCTGTCTGTTGGATAAGTTTTTGTGAGGACGAACATCTTGCCGGAGGAGTTTCTGCCTAGAATCAGAGGTGAGTCACAAATAAAGCGGCAAGTCAATTACCTTATATGTCCATCGCATTTTCATCAAATGGCACAGGATATACTTCTTCTGCGTCATTATCGTCGGATTCCATTGGAATGGGCAAATCAAGTCCTTGGCCTTCAGTAACTACAGAGCCCTGTCCCAGATATTGGCCCGGTCCTTGTCCTTGTCCCTGGTCAAGTCGCTGTCCATGACCATGACCCAATCCAATTCCGAATCTCATTCCGTGTACCTGCCCCTGGCCGAACGTTTGTCCATGTCCGCGCCCTTGTCCAATTACGCTGTCCACACCCAGTGCGGGACCGTAACAGTATCCACTACGTGGTGGCGGCATCGGCGGAGACTGAGCAGGCGCCATCTCGGACGATATGCCATCGAAGCCAAGCTTGCGCTTCGTTCCATTGCTTCGGGTACTCTTCATTTCAGATCAACTATATACTTTTCGATCGATATATACGACTTCTTATTGAAGTGAGATCTGACGAAATTCCCAACTCTAGAGAAAAGGGTGTCTAGGCCGACTTGGTATAACAATATTTTAAACACTTTCTATGAGCCATTAGAGTCTACCCCTTTTACAAGTCAATGGTCTATTAGGTGAACAAACATCATTCATTATTTTAAAGATAAGCTAATCGAACCATTATCTGCCACAGATATAGGCCGCTATCCGGAACCAAATCGTCAGTCAGTCATCCCCGAGACATGGAAACGTTGCGTTCCCTAGAGCCATTGCACCACGTCTGTCGAGTTGCCAATCTGTGGCACTGGCGACTGGCAGCTCCGCCAGACACTGACGGCCTCCTGATCCAGAGATCACGCTTGTTGGAGGCCTACGGCTGGGGCGTCTGGGTGGCTGCCACCTGTGTCGCCGCCTATGGCGTGTTTGTGGAGGGCGCCGAGAAGGACCCCGAGGAGACGTCCGTTACCAGCATCGGGCACACGGTCGACTTTATCCAGCTGGTGGGCATGCGGGTGGCCCACTTGGTCGTCCTGCTAGAGGCCCTATGGCAGCGAAAGGCGCAGCGAGAGCTCTTTGCGGAGCTGGGCGAGATCGAGAGCCTGCTGGTGAAGGAGCTGCACGCGGACGTGGATAGTGGTCGGAAGCGGCTGCGTCGCCAGTTAGGGCGACAGGCCGTGTGGCTGCTCTGGGGCTACGCGATCAGTCAGAGCTTGATTTTATGCGCCAAGCTGCTGGGGCCCGGGCATTACTTTCCGGTCTACTGGATTTACTACCTGCTGCCCCTGATGGTGTGTGGTCTGCGATACTTCCAGATCTTCACCGCCGTGCAGATCGTGCGGTGGCACCTCGACCTCCTACTGCAGAGCCTGCAGCAGTTGCAGGTGAAGGCTGTGGTATTAGGAGACCACGGAGGAGAGTGTCTGGAAGCGGAGAACATGGCCATGAAACGACTCTCGGCCGTGCGAATAATCTACCAGCGCGTCTGGGCTCTGGTATCCTTGCTGAACCGCGGCTTCGGCATCTCCATGCTCCTTCTGGTGGGAAATGACTTCCTGGCCATAACCTCCAACTGTTACTGGATATTCCTCAGATTCCGCCAGTCGGACGCCTCACTCGGCGACATCCTGAACATCCTGGCCAGCGCTTTGTGGTCCGCGCCCCATTTGGGCAACGTGCTTATCCTGTCCCTGCTCTGCGATCGCGCCACCCAGTGTGTGAGTTTCCGGAAAGCCCAAGCCATACTTCCAGCATCTCATTCGGTTTTTTCCTTCTCAGTGCACCCGCCTGGCCTTGGGCCTCCACCAGGTGAACGTGGACCTGCGAAACGACATCCACAACGCTTTGGTGAGTTATTCTAGGATACCTTTTTTCCTGCCACTTTCAGTTCTCTCTATTCGGACCAGATCACTCAGTTCTCGCTGCAGTTGCTCCACCAGCGCCTACACTTCAGTGCCTCTGGATTCTTCAACGTGGATTGCACCCTTCTTTACACGGTTAGTCTTTTCCAATGGTTTCTCTAGCCTCTACGAGTTAACGATTTAATTTTGTATTGGACAGATCGTGGGCGCCACCACCACCTACCTGATCATCCTGATACAGTTCCACATGAGCGAGGGCTCTGAAGCAGGATCAGGATAAGCGTTTTTTCTAGTGCACCAGCAGTCATTTGGCAATTTGGGCCAAGGTCGGCCGATTTTGTAGGCTGACCCCTTGGAAAAATTTCGAAAAATTAAAAAACCCGATTTATGCAATCTTTTCAATAAGGAAAGTCGCTTCAAAACATTTTTGTAATGGTGTTAATTTAATTAACTTAATTTAACTTATTTAAGAAATAAGTCAAAGTAATTGTAATGGAATGATGCAAATATACATACAATATATATTTAATTTTTAAAACGAAATTTTTCCTGTTGTTTTTGGTTCGAGAAGTTTGACATCAACAAAGGGAGCTTTTGGGGTTGTTAAAGGACTTGGTAGTATCCTGGGGCTAATGAAGGGTCGGAGGATATTAATCCTCGATTTTATATTGGCATTCCGTTTCCGAATCGGCTAAGCAATGGCCAGGATGTTTCCAATTCCAATATTCCCAAGTATGGGTTCCGATTTTTCAATTTCGTGTTTTGTATATAGCGTATATCTCGGCCATTTCTGGACCGATTAAGGAACGGAATACCATTTCTGAATCAGGACATCAATATCCTTCGATCTGCATCAAAAGATTGGCGAAATCGATCAAAAAAAATTCGACTCGATTTTCGCAATTTTTGAAAATTTTTTGTCTGATTTTGACAAAATTGGTATGCAATTCGATAGATTTTGGGACGCTGATTCCGAAAATGCCAAGCGTTGCCTGATCGGACCACGAATGGCCGAGATATGGGCTGCAGAAGCCCCAATTTTGGCCCGATCTGGCAACGCTTGACATTTTCGGAATCAGCGCTCGAATGCCCACCGAACTGCATACCACGATTTTCGATATCGAACAACTCATTTTCGACCGATTTTTCGCAAAAATGGAAAGGCTATACATCACGATTTTTTCCAATTTTCGCGGAAAAATTTTTTGTCTGATTTTGACAAAATTGGTATGCAATTCGATAGATTTTGGGACGCTGATTCCGAAAATGCCAAGCGTTGCCTGATCGGACCACGAATGGCCGAGATATGGGCTGCAGAAGCCCCAATTTTGGCCCGATCTGGCAACGCTTGACATTTTCGGAATCAGCGCTCGAATGCCCACCGAACTGCATACCACGATTTTCGATATCGAACAACTCATTTTCGACCGATTTTTCGCAAAAATGGAAAGGCTATACATCACGATTTTTTCCAATTTTCGCGGAAAAATTTTTTGTCTGATTTTGACAAAATTGGTATGCAATTCGATAGATTTTGGGACGCTGATTCCGAAAATGCCAAGCGTTGCCTGATCGGACCACGAATGGCCGAGATATGGGCTGCAGAAGCCCCAATTTTGGTCCGATCTGGCAACGCCGTACATTTTTGGAATCAGCGCTCGAATGCCCACCGAACTGCATACCACGATTTTCGATATCGAACAACTCATTTTCGACCGATTTTTCGCAAAAATGGAAAGGCTATACATCACGATTTTTTCCAATTTTCGCGGAAAAATTTTTTGTCTGATTTTGACAAAATTGGTATGCAATTCGATAGATTTTGGGACGCTGATTCCGAAAATGCCAAGCGTTGCCTGATCGGACCACGAATGGCCGAGATATGGGCTGCAGAAGCCCCAATTTTGGTCCGATCTGGCAACGCCGTACATTTTGGAATCAGCGTTCGAATGTCCACCGAACTGCATACCACGATTTTCGATATCGAACAACTCATTTTCGACCGATTTTTCGCAAAAATGGAAAGGCTATACATCACGATTTTTTCCAATTTTCGCGGAAAAATTTTTTGTCTGATTTTGACAAAATTGGTATGCAATTCGATAGATTTTGGGACGCTGATTCCGAAAATGCCAAGCGTTGCCTGATCGGACCACGAATGGCCGAGATATGGGCTGCAGAAGCCCCAATTTTGGCCCGATCTGGCAACGCTTGACATTTTCGGAATCAGCGCTCGAATGCCCACCGAACTGCATACCACGATTTTCGATATCGAACAACTCATTTTCGACCGATTTTTCGCAAAAATGGAAAGGCTATACATCACGATTTTTTCCAATTTTCGCGGAAAAATTTTTTGTCTGATTTTGACAAAATTGGTATGCAATTCGATAGATTTTGGGACGCTGATTCCGAAAATGCCAAGCGTTGCCTGATCGGACCACGAATGGACGAGATATGGGCTGCAGAAACCCCAATTTTGGTCCGATCTGGCAACGCCGTACATTTTTGGAATCAGCGTTCGAATGTCCACCGAACTGCATACCACGATTTCCGATATCGAACAACTCATTTTCGACCGATTTTTCGCAAAAATGGAAAGGCTATACATCACGATTTTTTCCAATTTTCGCGGAAAAATTTTTTGTCTGATTTTGACAAAATTGGTATGCAATTCGATAGATTTTGGGACGCTGATTCCGAAAATGCCAAGCGTTGCCTGATCGGACCACGAATGGCCGAGATATGGGCTGCAGAAGCCCCAATTTTGGTCCGATCTGGCAACGCCGTACATTTTTGGAATCAGCGTTCGAATGTCCACCGAACTGCATACCACGATTTTCGATATCGAACAACTCATTTTCGACCGATTTTTCGCAAAAATGGAAAGGCTATACATCACGATTTTTTCCAATTTTCGCGGAAAAATTTTTTGTCTGATTTTGACAAAATTGGTATGCAATTCGATAGATTTTGGGACGCTGATTCCGAAAATGCCAAGCGTTGCCTGATCGGACCACGAATGGCCGAGATATGGGCTGCAGAAGCCCCAATTTTGGCCCGATCTGGCAACGCTTGACATTTTCGGAATCAGCGCTCGAATGCCCACCGAACTGCATACCACGATTTTCGATATCGAACAACTCATTTTCGACCGATTTTTCGCAAAAATGGAAAGGCTATACATCACGATTTTTTCCAATTTTCGCGGAAAAATTTTTTGTCTGATTTTGACAAAATTGGTATGCAATTCGATAGATTTTGGGACGCTGATTCCGAAAATGCCAAGCGTTGCCAGATCGGACCACGAATGGACGAGATATGGGCTGCAGAAACCCCAATTTTGGTCCGATCTGGCAACGCCGTACATTTTTGGAATCAGCGTTCGAATGTCCACCGAACTGCATACCACGATTTCCGATATCGAACAACTCATTTTCGACCGATTTTTCGCAAAAATGGAAAGGCTATACATCACGATTTTTTCCAATTTTCGCGGAAAAATTTTTTGTCTGATTTTGACAAAATTGGTATGCAATTCGATAGATTTTGGGACGCTGATTCCGAAAATGCCAAGCGTTGCCTGATCGGACCACGAATGGACGAGATATGGGCTGCAGAAACCCCAATTTTGGTCCGATCTGGCAACGCCGTACATTTTGGAATCAGCGCTCGAATGCCCACCGAACTGCATACCACGATTTTCGATATCGAACAACTCATTTTCGACCGATTTTTCGCAAAAATGGAAAGGCTATACGATTTTTTCCAATTTTCGCGGAAAAATTTTTTGTCTGATTTTGACAAAATTGGTATGCAATTCGATAGATTTTGGGACGCTGATTCCGAAAATGCCAAGCGTTGCCTGATCGGACCACGAATGGCCGAGATATGGGCTGCAGAAGCCCCAATTTTGGTCCGATCTGGCAACGCCGTACATTTTTGGAATCAGCGCTCGAATGCCCACCGAACTGCATACCACGATTTTCGATATCGAACAACTCATTTTCGACCGATTTTTCGCAAAAATGGAAAGGCTATACATCACGATTTTTTCCAATTTTCGCGGAAAAATTTTTTGTCTGATTTTGACAAAATTGGTATGCAATTCGATAGATTTTGGGACGCTGATTCCGAAAATGCCAAGCGTTGCCTGATCGGACCACGAATGGACGAGATATGGGCTGCAGAAACCCCAATTTTGGTCCGATCTGGCAACGCTTGGCATTTTCGGAATCAGCGTCCCAAAATCTATCGAATTGCATACCAATTTTGTCAAAATCAGACAAAAAATTTTTCCGCGAAAATTGGAAAAAATCGTGATGTATAGCCTTTCCATTTTTGCGAAAAATCGGTCGAAAATGAGTTGTTCGATATCGAAAATCGTGGTATGCAGTTCGGTGGGCATTCGAGCGCTGATTCCGAAAATGTCAAGCGTTGCCAGATCGGACCAAAATTGGGGTTTCTGCAGCCCATATCTCGTCCATTCGTGGTCCGATCAGGCAACGCTTGGCATTTTCGGAATCAGCGTCCCAAAATCTATCGAATTGCATACCAATTTTGTCAAAATCAGACAAAAAATTTTTCCGCGAAAATTGGAAAAAATCGTGATGTATAGCCTTTCCATTTTTGCGAAAAATCGGGCGAAAATGAGTTGTTCGATATCGAAAATCGTGGTATGCAGTTCGGTGGACATTCGAACGCTGATTCCAAAAATGTACGGCGTTGCCAGATCGGACCAAAATTGGGGTTTCTGCAGCCCATATCTCGGCCGTTTGTGGTCCGATCTGGCAACGCTTGGCATTTTCGGAATCAGCGTCCCAAAATCTATCGAATTGCATACCAATTTTGTCAAAATCAGACAAAAAATTTTTCCGCGAAAATTGGAAAAAATCGTGATGTATAACCTTTCCATTTTTGCGAAAAATCGGTCGAAAATGAGTTGTTCGATATCGAAAATCGTGGTATGCAGTTCGGTGGGCATTCGAGCGCTGATTCCGAAAATGTCAAGCGTTGCCATATCGGACCAAAATTGGGGCTTCTGCAGCCCATATCTCGGCCGTTTGTGGTCCGATCTGGCAACGCTTGGCATTTTCGGAATCAGCGTCCCAAAGACTGTCGAATTGCATACCAATTTTGTCAAAATCAGACAAAAAATTTTTCCGCGAAAATTGGAAAAAATCGTGATGTATAGCCTTTCCATTTTTGCGAAAAATCGGTCGAAAATGAGTTGTTCGATATCGGAAATCGTGGTATGCAGTTCGGTGGGCATTCGAGCGCTGATTCCAAAAATGTACGGCGTTGCCAGATCGGACCAAAATTGGGGTTTCTGCAGCCCATATCTCGTCCATTCGTGGTCCGATCAGGCAACGCTTGGCATTTTCGGAATCAGCGTCCCAAAATCTATCGAATTGCATACCAATTTTGTCAAAATCAGACAAAAAATTTTTCCGCGAAAATTGGAAAAAATCGTGATGTATAGCCTTTCCATTTTTGCGAAAAATCGGTCGAAAATGAGTTGTTCGATATCGGAAATCGTGGTATGCAGTTCGGTGGACATTCGAACGCTGATTCCAAAAATGTACGGCGTTGCCAGATCGGACCAAAATTGGGGCTTCTGCAGCCCATATCTCGGCCATTCGTGGTCCGATCAGGCAACGCTTGGCATTTTCGGAATCAGCGTCCCAAAATCTATCGAATTGCATACCAATTTTGTCAAAATCAGACAAAAATTTTTCCGCGAAAATTGGAAAAAATCGTGATGTATAGCCTTTCCATTTTTGCGAAAAATCGGGCGAAAATGAGTTGTTCGATATCGAAAATCGTGGTATGCAGTTCGGTGGACATTCGAACGCTGATTCCAAAAATGTACGGCGTTGCCAGATCGGACCAAAATTGGGGTTTCTGCAGCCCATATCTCGTCCATTCGTGGTCCGATCAGGCAACGCTTGGCATTTTCGGAATCAGCGTCCCAAAATCTATCGAATTGCATACCAATTTTGTCAAAATCAGACAAAAATTTTTCCGCGAAAATTGGAAAAAATCGTGATGTATAGCCTTTCCATTTTTGCGAAAAATCGGTCGAAAATGAGTTGTTCGATATCGAAAATCGTGGTATGCAGTTCGGTGGGCATTCGAACGCTGATTCCAAAAATGTACGGCGTTGCCAGATCGGACCAAAATTGGGGTTTCTGCAGCCCATATCTCGTCCATTCGTGGTCCGATCAGGCAACGCTTGGCATTTTCGGAATCAGCGTCCCAAAATCTATCGAATTGCATACCAATTTTGTCAAAATCAGACAAAAAATTTTTCCGCGAAAATTGGAAAAAATCGTGATGTATAGCCTTTCCATTTTTGCGAAAAATCGGTCGAAAATGAGTTGTTCGATATCGAAAATCGTGGTATGCAGTTCGGTGGGCATTCGAGCGCTGATTCCGAAAATGTCAAGCGTTGCCATATCGGACCAAAATTGGGGCTTCTGCAGCCCATATCTCGGCCGTTTGTGGTCCGATCTGGCAACGCTTGGCATTTTCGGAATCAGCGTCCCAAAGACTGTCGAATTGCATACCAATTTTGTCAAAATCAGACAAAAATTTTTCCGCGAAAATTGGAAAAAATCGTGATGTATAGCCTTTCCATTTTTGCGAAAAATCGGTCGAAAATGAGTTGTTCGATATCGAAAATCGTGGTATGCAGTTCGGTGGGCATTCGAGCGCTGATTCCGAAAATGTCAAGCGTTGCCATATCGGACCAAAAATGCGCTTTCTAGAGCCCATATCTCGGCCGTTTGTGGTCCGATCTGGCAACGCTTGGCATTTTCGGAATCAGCGTCCCAAAGACTGTCGAATTGCATACCAATTTTGTCAAAATCAGACAAAAAATTTTTCCGCGAAAATTGGAAAAAATCGTGATGTATAGCCTTTCCATTTTTGCGAAAAATCGGTCGAAAATGAGTTGTTCGATATCGAAAATCGTGGTATGCAGTTCGGTGGGCATTCGAGCGCTGATTCCGAAAATGTCAAGCGTTGCCATATCGGACCAAAATTGGGGTTTCTGCAGCCCATATCTCGTCCATTCGTGGTCCGATCAGGCAACGCTTGGCATTTTCGGAATCAGCGTCCCAAAATCTATCGAATTGCATACCAATTTTGTCAAAATCAGACAAAAAATTTTTCCGCGAAAATTGGAAAAAATCGTGATGTATAGCCTTTCCATTTTTGCGAAAAATCGGTCGAAAATGAGTTGTTCGATATCGAAAATCGTGGTATGCAGTTCGGTGGGCATTCGAACGCTGATTCCAAAAATGTACGGCGTTGCCAGATCGGGCCAAAATTGGGGTTTCTGCAGCCCATATCTCGGCCGTTTGTGGTCCGATCTGGCAACGCTTGGCATTTTCGGAATCAGCGTCCCAAAGACTGTCGAATTGCATACCAATTTTGTCAAAATCAGACAAAAAATTTTTCCGCGAAAATTGGAAAAAATCGTGATGTATAGCCTTTCCATTTTTGCGAAAAATCGGTCGAAAATGAGTTGTTCGATATCGAAAATCGTGGTATGCAGTTCGGTGGGCATTCGAGCGCTGATTCCAAAAATGTACGGCGTTGCCAGATCGGACCAAAATTGGGGCTTCTGCAGCCCATATCTCGGCCATTCGTGGTCCGATCAGGCAACGCTTGGCATTTTCGGAATCAGCGTCCCAAAATCTATCGAATTGCATACCAATTTTGTCAAAATCAGACAAAAAATTTTTCCGCGAAAATTGGAAAAAATCGTGATGTATAGCCTTTCCATTTTTGCGAAAAATCGGTCGAAAATGAGTTGTTCGATATCGAAAATCGTGGTATGCAGTTCGGTGGGCATTCGAGCGCTGATTCCGAAAATGTCAAGCGTTGCCAGATCGGGCCAAAATTGGGGTTTCTGCAGCCCATATCTCGTCCATTCGTGGTCCGATCTGGCAACGCTTGGCATTTTCGGAATCAGCGTCCCAAAATCTATCGAATTGCATACCAATTTTGTCAAAATCAGACAAAAATTTTTCCGCGAAAATTGGAAAAAATCGTGATGTATAGCCTTTCCATTTTTGCGAAAAATCGGTCGAAAATGAGTTGTTCGATATCGAAAATCGTGGTATGCAGTTCGGTGGGCATTCGAGCGCTGATTCCAAAAATGTACGGCGTTGCCAGATCGGACCAAAATTGGGGTTTCTGCAGCCCATATCTCGTCCATTCGTGGTCCGATCAGGCAACGCTTGGCATTTTCGGAATCAGCGTCCCAAAATCTATCGAATTGCATACCAATTTTGTCAAAATCAGACAAAAATTTTTCCGCGAAAATTGGAAAAAATCGTGATGTATAGCCTTTCCATTTTTGCGAAAAATCGGTCGAAAATGAGTTGTTCGATATCGGAAATCGTGGTATGCAGTTCGGTGGACATTCGAACGCTGATTCCAAAAATGTACGGCGTTGCCAGATCGGACCAAAATTGGGGCTTCTGCAGCCCATATCTCGGCCATTCGTGGTCCGATCAGGCAACGCTTGGCATTTTCGGAATCAGCGTCCCAAAATCTATCGAATTGCATACCAATTTTGTCAAAATCAGACAAAAAATTTTTCCGCGAAAATTGGAAAAAATCGTGATGTATAGCCTTTCCATTTTTGCGAAAAATCGGTCGAAAATGAGTTGTTCGATATCGAAAATCGTGGTATGCAGTTCGGTGGGCATTCGAGCGCTGATTCCAAAAATGTACGGCGTTGCCAGATCGGACCAAAATTGGGGTTTCTGCAGCCCATATCTCGTCCATTCGTGGTCCGATCAGGCAACGCTTGGCATTTTCGGAATCAGCGTCCCAAAATCTATCGAATTGCATACCAATTTTGTCAAAATCAGACAAAAAATTTTTCGCGAAAATTGGAAAAAATCGTGATGTATAGCCTTTCCATTTTTGCGAAAAATCGGTCGAAAATGAGTTGTTCGATATCGGAAATCGTGGTATGCAGTTCGGTGGACATTCGAACGCTGATTCCAAAAATGTACGGCGTTGCCAGATCGGACCAAAATTGGGGTTTCTGCAGCCCATATCTCGGCCGTTTGTGGTCCGATCTGGCAACGCTTGGCATTTTCGGAATCAGCGTCCCAAAGACTGTCGAATTGCATACCAATTTTGTCAAAATCAGACAAAAAATTTTCAAAAATTGCGAAAATCAAGTCGAATTTTTTTTGATCGATTTCGCCAATCTTTTGATGCAGATCGAAGGATATTGATGTCCTGATTCAGAAATGGTATTCCGTTCCTTAATCGGTCCAGAAATGGCCGAGATATACGCTATATACAAAACACGAAATTGAAAAATCGGAACCCATACTTGGGAATATTGGAATTGGAAACATCCTGGCCATTGCTTAGCCGATTCGGAAACGGAATGCCAATATAAAATCGAGGATTAATATCTTCCGACCCTTCATTAGCCCCAGGATACTACCAAGTCCTTCAAAAACCTCAAAAGCTACCTTTGTTGATGTCAAACTTCTCGAACCAAAAACAACAGAAGAATTTCGTGGATGCATCTTTGGATCTGAGATGCGACCCAATTTGAAGGATAAATTTCCATTTAAGATTAGGATATTCTGAAAGCCCCAATAATCCCGCCCTGAAAGACCATTTAAAGTAGAAGCATGAAACAATTTTATTGATGCGATGGGAGCGTGCACTGATAGCTACGCTTTAGCCTTGCCGGCTTTGACATTGGTTGCTAAAAGGACACGAACACGATGAACCAGGACACCGGTACGGGTCGTGGTCGTGGTCAGTAGATGGGCGGGGCAAACAGACAGACAAACGCATGATCCGAAGTATTATCCTCTCACGTAAAATTTGAACCGCAGAGCTTAAAGCGTTTCCAGAAGTCGTCGCAGGAGCAGATGTGATCGTGGTAATCGTTGGGATTGGTAATCGTTGGTGGTTCAACCGAAAATGATAACAGAAAAGGTAATGGGTACTGGCACTGCTACTAGTACTAGAACGGGTGCGAGATAACTGCTTAACGGGTTAGATGTAGTAAGAGTTATGGCACCACAGAAGTACTAGTTAAAGTGCGGCGGCGAGCAACAACGGAAATCGCTTCGGTAGACTTCCTGGGCGGGCCGGAAGGTGTGCCAATAGTTGGGCGCGCAACAAATAATCCTGGCCAGATATTCCTTGAAAACATCGTATGTGGGATACACGAACCGTTCGCAGTGGCACTTGTGATGGTGGCGGCATTCCGGATCGGCAATCCATTCTCGTGGCAGTGGTGGCTCCGCCGTCCGCTGCTGCTGCGATAGTTGCCCCGGCTGTCGCTGTTGTGACTGCGACTCCTGTGGTCGCCTAGGTTGAGAAAGCTGTGGCTGTCGCTGCTGAGACTGTGCCTGTTCAGACTGCCGTAATGGTTGAGATTCCTTGCCAGTGGAAGAGGTGGCTGCTCCTCGTCCAGATGTGCCGCTAGAGCGGCGCTTCCTCTTCAAAGTGACGCCATCCCTATAAGTGGAAAAAGGAGTTTAGAAAACGGCTACGGCTTGGCATGAAACGCCCAATACTCACTCCAGGCCTTGAGCTATCATGCGCTGCACGCCGGGGCTTTGGATCACCCGGGAAAAGTGACGGCAGCGATTGGCCCGATCCAAAGTAGCGAGATACCAGGTCGGCATCAATCCAAAGCGCACCTGGGCCAGGATTCGTTCGGCACACTCGCGCCGCTCGTACCAGTTGTGCTCCAGCCAGAGCACGACGGAAAGAAAAATCTGCCAAAAGGAATATACAAATGGGTATTAAGGTCGTGGGACTCATCCAGTTGGATACTCACCTCGATCTCAGAGTTCACACTCAAATAGCAATTCCGTAGGATGTGAGTCAGCTCGTGCTCGGTAAAGTCCAGGAAGAACGTGGAGCTAACGATGCAAAGGAAGACGCGCGAGATGCGCGTGAGCATTAGTTCGCGCAGGATGCGCGCCTCAGGATGGTTGCGCGCCTCCAAATACGCCTTGAAGGCTGTATCCTCGTTAAAGAACTCCATCTTCTCCAGCGAAGACCAGAGCTGGCGTAGCAGCTCAGGTATCTCGTCCGCCACAACGCGGGCGAGTAGCTTTTGGTCCGCCTCGACACCGTTGCTCTGTTCTTGCGCCGATTCTGACTGTTGACCCGAACTCTGGTCTTGACTCTGGGCGTTTTCCTGCGGTTCTAGTTGCGGCAACTGTTCCATGAAACGTCGCGCGGCATAGATCTTGGCATAGTTTTGCAGCACGCACTTGAAGCAATGATATCTCTCGTTTCCAATGGAAATACCCGCCTCGCTTAGGGTCTGCTCCCGGAGGACACTCATTAGTTGCTCAGATACGCGTTCAATGGCCGAAGGACTCGGCATAGTGGCGGGAATCGTTGGGTCGTTACTGCTCTTGTCATTGATATTGCCATCGTTGCTGCTCTGGATTCCGGTGCCACTGCTGTCGCTGGTGGCGTCGCTCGAGTTGCTCGAGTGGCTGCTGCTGTCACGACCGCCCAGTAACTCCATCACTATTTGATTCGCCTCACCATCGCCCTCTGCTCCGGCCCCCTCACCCAAACATATGAGCAGCAGCTTGGCAATTTGCTCACGCCCCGCTGCTAGGGTCTTCAGCTGCTCCGGATTCCCACCTTCGTCAGGCAGGTCCTGTTTGTTGTGCAAAGGTCGCGGTAGCGAGAGCGGGATCGGAATGGAAATTGTATTGGAAATGGATATAGATCTGGACTTAGGCAGTGGCAACGGATGTGGGGTTGACACGGGGGAATGACAATTGGAGCTGCCAGGCAGCTCAGAGTCCGACTGCTCGTTATCGCCCTGTGCCCCGGACTCCATGGAGTCCTGCTCCGGTTCTTTTGAGGTAAACTCACGATTGCCGTTATGTTTGTTGGTAGCGGTTGCGTTATTCTTCTCTTGATCTTCTAGCGGATCATCCAGGAGCTGCGCAGCTGGATTTGTGGATGTGGATGCCACTGGCAATTCGGTTAGTAATGTTACCTGTGACTGTGTCATGGTCGGATTTGAATTGGCACTCTGGTTGTGATTGTCATCCACGTTTTGGTTCATGGTTTGATTCTGTTCTGATACCTGCATCTGGTCCTGCTTATTGGCTTGTACCTCGGACTGATCCTGTTGCGGCTGGGTCTTCTGTTCGTCGGAGACGGGCCCTTGGGCCTGTCGCTTCATGCTCGGTCGGAGGAGTGCTCGGAACATGCGCCGATTCAACGCTTCTAAAAGAGTAAACTAAAATTTTGACGGGATGGCAGTCGGAGCAGCTGCTAGTGGGTGCTTTTATGCTTCGTGCTTAAAATATTCTGTGTTTTCTCGGATGCCAGATGTCAACTGTGCTCTGAGCATCGATACTGTGTAAAAGTTAAAAGGCTCAGCCTACTAAGTATAAAAAAAAATGTTAACTTGATAGTGTTGAATTCGTACCCCAAAACTATTCCCAACCCTAGCCATTACCAGGCCTACTTTTTGCGTATAAGACTGAGCACGCAGGTCTTTGGCCATTGCTCCGGCCCCAATCCGGAATCGGACCTAGTCTGAGGATTACGACACTGCAGACACCACTGGGCAGAGTTCTCTTTCAGATATTCCAGAGAATTCTTCAGGCGACGCGCCGCGAGTCCGCAACGGCGATGGTTTTGCAGCGCTCGTTCTAGCCAGTTACTTATCTTCAGGACATCCTCCGGTAGGATACGAAAGTATAATGGTAGGTAGCCGCTGTTAAGGAACTCGTCAAGATCGGGGCAGCAGAGTTGCCGGTAGAGCAAAAGAGCAACGCCAACCGACACCTGCTCAATGCGCTTCAGGCTCAAGTTATCCACATCGATCATTTCCAACAGATGCGGTAGCTCACTCAGCTAGAAGAGAAAGCAAATGTTTATTTTGAAGCTCAAGTTACAGGTTTAGATTGCTTACATCGTGGAACTGATAGATTTCGGGGGCCACTTGGGCAGCTGCAAAGATGATGCACCAGAGCAGGCATACAGACACCGCCCGACCCGCACCGCTTTGCCTCCAAAGCATATTGGCCAGGTGGATCAAGATCTGTTTGCAAGGCAACGAGGGGGTGCGATGGCGCATGGCAAAGTGGTTCACCAGCCGGTTGGTCATGTGATGTACCATCATCGGGTCCAGCGTGGGGATGAGCCTGTAGCTGCTCCTCACCAGTTCTCTGGCCTTCTGTTTGCTGTGATCGCCCTCGTACAGATGCGAGGAGGGCAGCAAGTACAGAATGCAGACCACAACCTGCAAAGCGATCATTTCCTCTACCTTCAGGTGCTGCGTGGTTATATCCTGCAGAATACTGGTTACCTGAAAGATGTGCAAAAGCTACCGCATCAGGATGCATAAGCTTCGTATAATCGGAGACGGAGCTCACCTTGTCGATTGTCAGATGAGACAGTGGGCCACTAATCCTGCCGCGCAGCCGTGACCTCAAGATCGTATTTTGAAAGGCTGACCAGGTGAACGGGCGATTTTGGTGGCAGTTTTCGACTCCTGCAAATAACTGCCTCAAGGTGAACTCCACCCGTCCTCGGCTACACGGTCTGACCACTGATGTCAAGGAATGAGGCATTTTCGCGTCCATTATGAAAAAAAAGAAACAAATATGAAAATGCACGTGCTGAGCTTATGAAATGCGTGATGCGCAGCGGTACATCCGGACCGGAACGGAACGGGAACCGGAATGGCAAAGGAAAGCCAAAACAGAGAGAAGGGGCGAAAAGTCGCTGCGCTTGCGTTCTTGGCCTTCAAATTCCGGCAGCTTTGGCATCCAATTTTCTATATTTCACACGAAACCTTAGCTCTGTTTCCAAGCATAAACACAAGCGCATAGGTTGGAAAAGTTTACGAAATTCGAGGAATTCGATACCCTTGTCTGCTGGCTGACCGCCTAAAGTAAATAAAGCAAATACCGGTGATGGCCAGAACTATGGCGCGCAACCTAACGGTATTTGAAATGCAAATAAAATGATGCAAACCACAATTATGTTTGTTTTTTGAAATAGGCTGCCAAAATCGAAATTTTTATTCTCACTTTTGTGCCAAGAATGTTATAAGTAAATTATGATACTTAATGGTCCTTATTATTAACCAGTTTGTATAAGCTGATCTCTAAACTTTGAATCTTACGATAGCTCCCGCCATCGAAACCAATAATCTTTTTATTTTTATTTTATATTCATAAAGTGATATATACGTTATAAAAGTTAAGGATTTCAAAGTTTTTTTTAAAACACTCACCTGCAACGCCGATATACGTATTTAAGCGCCGATAGAAACAATTTGTTATCGATAAAGCGCTCATTTGAACTTTTAAATAAGCAACGGTTTGTACTGGAACTATCGGGGTGTCGGTAGTTTTTCTTTAAAAAGTGTTGAACTCTGCGCCTCCTGCGGATTTCTGTTGGCCTGGTACTTCAGACATTGACATTTGCACAATATTGGGAAAAATCCAGAAGGAATTTTATCTCAATTGGCTAAATATGTTGATTGCTACGCCAGCTGACAGTATTTGGTTGCAGAAAAGTTGGTATTTCGGTACACAAAAACACAATATCCTGGGAAAATAGGACATAAAAATGATCCTTTTTTCTAAAAGTTTATTTCAAATTTGACTTTATACAATTAGAATTATACAATTAATTGGGGTATGGGCTCTTCTGCTTTGACCGCAATGCTTCTCCAGTTAATTTACATAATGTATAAAATACGTACATTTGTACTTCTATAGTAAAATTCCTACGATAAAAATGACGAAATGAGAGTATTAAAACATAATCTACGCAAGGACTCGAATCGAGGCTGCGGGAAAATTGCATAATGGTGTTAATGTCACTAAAACGAAGCTGGATGGTTGATGGATCAAATGATTGATTGCTAACCCTAGGCCTAATAGCTGCCCCACTGAGATTGGTGCTGCTCCACTGGTAATTGTGTGTTCAAGTGTAAATGTTAGCGTTGGGGATGGTGGTGGTGGTGCTGATAGTGGTTGATGCGGCGTCTACGATGAACTGCTTCTAAACTAACCGCTTGCTGCGTGTCTGCGCCATGAGCAAGCCCACCGATGGCACCGAAAACACAAACGAGAGGCAGCCGAAGCGGAGTAAGCTGCCGTGGGCCAAAACTGCGGATCCTTCCCAGGCTCCTGGAACCATTGGAACAGCCCCGGCGTTGGTGCAGCGGCAAGCGGGCTTCACAATAGGGGCCAGCCTGAGTGTGTGAGAACGAAAATAGTTAGCTTAAATGGACTACACACATTATACTTTCAGTTCTCACCTCTCCTGTTCGCACTGTTTAGGCTCGTACTGCCGGTGGATGTGGCGTCGCTTGTCAAGCAGGTCATCCACTCGTCTCTTCAGCTCTGTGTCATCCGGACGCATCCTTTTACCGGCATGCGTGGGCGTGTGGTCAGTAACGTCGCAGGTATACAGCTGCCCGTTGACCTCCGAGCCGAACTCGGAGTAGTTAATCAACTCGTACGACTTGGAAAACTCGTCATAAAAAATAATGGCGTGTTGCGGCGAGATACGACAGCAGTAGCCGATGGCGGAAAGATCCACAGTCTCCGACTGCGCCATTGTGGTCGACGGGGAGTAGTGGCCACCGTATCCAATATACAATGTACGGTATCTCATAAAAATAGAGTGATCCAATCCAAGGGAACTGAACCAGCGACTGTCCTCCAGCATGTCTCCGAGTGGGGTCAATACTGCACGCGCCTGTACTTTGCACTGGAGCAGCTTAAGCTCGAGGCGCGATGCCAGCTCGTAGGCCTTCTCTGTATCGCTGCGGGCGCGTGGAACATAGTTCTCAGCTGCAGCGTCTGCAGCAGCTATAGCCGCCGCCGTGGCTAGTGCCGGATGCAGAGCCATTGCCGGATCCTCGTCGGCATCATTGCCATTTTTCTGAGCCAAAATCGAAGACGTCTCGCTGGTGAAGAGCAAAGAGAAGCGGTTCATGTCCTCAGCAGCCAGTTGACCCTGCAAAGCGGTGGTCTCTCCACCTTCCCCAGCTGCCAACTGGCGCAGATGACGAGCTGCCGTGCGGTTTTTGTACTGAGTCACAATCTCTGGATGTTCCTCTACCAGTTGTTGCAGACGCTGATGGGCCAGTTTCTTGATAATGTCAACATCTAGGTGGCATAGATCAGCATCAATAATGCCTGCCTTGCTGTCGTCCTCCTCCTCCTCGTAGCTTATTTCGAGCACTTCCAAATTGACCTTCGACTGGTGAGAAACAAAGAAATGGGTATTCATTAAATGAAGTTAATAAAAATTGTTACTAAAGTTAATAATCATTAATAATCAACCTTTGACTCCATTTTGACAACCGAGGGTTGTTCGGAAGGCTGTACTTCAGTGTCTGGTTTCTGGATATCCTGTTCGGTTGCACCATTTACTTTATCTCCAGGTGGGGTCGTCTCAGAGTCCTGCTCACCCTCGAGATTGGTGTCGCTGTCACTGTCGCCCTCTACTGCGGTCTCTGGCGTCCCGTACTCCCGTTGAATTTCGCGAAATTTGGCTCGAGCCGTTCGCAAGGCTTCCAGGTGGTTAAGAAGCGACTCCGTGACAGTCTCCCTGGATATTTCTTCTACTGCGGTGGGCAGATTTTTGCGCTGCTTTACACGGTCGTAGCGCAGGGTCTGACGCATCGAGGGTAGCAGTGCCGGCGGGTGTTCGTAGTGGTAGCGCACGATGGCCGGCACCTCAATGTAGGCTCTGCTCCGCAAACTGGTCTTGGTGCGGAAGGGTGGATGACGGGTGTTGACGCGCCGAAAGAACTCCAACTTTACGTTCTCGTGGTCCAGCGGCTGGTGAAAGCGGTTCCACAAACGCACCCGCTCTGTAGCCGAGATGCTGTTGGTCATGTTGGCGTCCTGAAGTAAAATTCAAGATAAAGACCGAAGAAGATGCATCCAAACCTTTCTCTTTCAAAGACATGTTTCCAAATACTCACAATAAAGTTCTCGGCATGATTGGGGCACATCCAGAGGCCCGCAGGCAGCGCGGTCAGCGGCGGATCTAGGCAATCCTGATGGTAGTAGAGCGGGCAGTAGTCGCAGGATATGAGCGGGGCCCTTTTACAGGACCTGGTACAGTAGAAACACGTTTTTGCTGGCAACGGCACTAGGCCCTGGGAGTCTAGCTCAAAAGGTTTTGAGTTTCGGCGCTGGTTGCCAGCGCACTTGCGATGACCTCCGTTTCCAGTCGAGGGCTGCGCTTGTTGAACAGGCTGGACCTTACCGTTTCCCGGAAACTGAGTGTGCAGCTCCAGCTCAGGTGGCAACGAAAACTGCTGGGGATTCAGCATGCTGGCAGCTCTTATTACATCGTCCAAGGGTGTTGGCTTTTTGTTTGGATCGAGAGCACGTTGAATGGCCAGTGGCATCTTTGCCAGCAACTTTTCGGTGCTGTTCCTCTCGCTATTGCTGCGCTTGCGGAGGTTACGGATTTTTAGGGGTATCGACTCCAGTTCACCGGACGAGGGAGTATTGGCCCTGGATCCACTTCCAGCAGACGGTACTCGCTCCACGGAGCTGGCCTTAGAAGATGAGCTGGCCGCTGGTTGGGAGACCTTGGCCATGCGGCAACTGTGGCACAGCCACTGCCCACTGGGAATGTCCTCCTCGCTTAGTGGTGGATCACTACGAAAAACCACGAGTATAATGCCGAGCAAAGCGACAGGGAAAGAGCTCTTGGGCAACTAGGTTTTTCTACTTTACTTACTGGCATTGAAGGTGGAAGCTTGATGGGCATCTATCGCAGCAAAGCAAATTGCCGCCCTCCTCGCAGGCGTCGCAGTAGTCATGGTTGTGACCCCGACCCGGACGCCTGTAGTACGGATGCTTGGTGTTCGTACTCCGCTGCACCAGCTTTTCGTCCTCGTTGGGAGGCGGCCTGATGAGCTGCTTGATTTGCTGAGGAGAGAAAAGCAGGAAGCGTTAATGTGGCAACGGCATCTGAGTTGTCGCCAATTGGAACTGGCGCGGAGCTCCGGCAGGGCCCCTGGGACTCGCCGCACGGGCAACCGATGGCTTCCCAGCCTGGATTTACTCACTTCCATTATGCTCAGCGAGGCATTGGGGTCCTGGTCCACCTTCGACATCTTTTTCCCAGTGGTGTACACAATCTGTTGTCTTAGTTCGTCGAGGAAAAGTGCTTAAGAGTGACCAGGGTTGAACACCTTAACCTTCATAGCGCTCTCTGGGCACACTTATACCGTCGGCGGCCAGAGGATTTTGAGGACCTTTCGAACATTTGCCATTATCTGTATTTTAGGGGATAAAAATTTTAATTATAATCTGACCAAATATAAATATAAAAACAGCACAATTACAAACTTTTTTCTATGAGTCCAACGATGTTTGCAGTCTCGCATAATTCATTAAATCTTTGTAAATGCCATGATTTCACTTTTGATTTTGAGTCTTCTGATGTTTCTCTAAAAACGAAAAAAATAATTTTTAATAAATTAACATGGAATTATTTAATTTTTATTCGTTCCAAATAAAAACTTTCTATAGCATTTAAAATATGTAAAGACTTACATCCAGACTTACATATGTATATACATATTTAAGAATCGTCCAGTGAGTTAGCATCGCTTTCAATAATATTTCGGACTATATTTTTCCGCGACATTGAAATTGAGCAGATCAAGTTGTATATGTATACATACATACATCTCTACATATATTTACATACATGTACATGTACATGCATGCATAGGAATACAAGCTGAAAGCGCGCCATTTGTGAGCTTGGGCAGGGTGTAAAAATCTGAAACTTTTGCGCCAAAATGTTGTTCCTTTTGGATCGATGAAGCGGTCTGAGAACATGATCCTGACCAAGATGTTGGGTATGGAGCTGAAAAGGAGCGGATCCTGTATCCCTTCTCTGCAACAGTACTCAAAGCACGGACGCGATCCGATCATGGCAATGCGCCGGTTGCGTTTGCGCACAATTCCTAGCTTTCAAACGCAGACTCCATCATGGGAGTTCACCGCTTTGGTATAGTTTTGGTATGAAGCACGGACGCGATCCAACGGGGCAATGCGCCGGTTGCGTTTGCGCACAATTCCTAGCTTTTTTATCGCGCGCACGATCGTGGGATTGTACCGTTTTCGACAAGTTTTGAAATTAATTAAATACAACCGATACAACGTTTGCATTTCTTGTTCCAGTTTAAGGAGTTTGTGGTACGCCACAATCGCTAGAGACCAGTATTGCACTTTGAGAGAGAAAACTTTATAATAAAGCTGATATAACTGTCGACTGCACCCACGCCGCACTTCGCTTGGAATTTGAAACAGACAGTCTGGTATTTTATGCGGTTGCCAGATTGGTAGAATCCCGGAAAAAGTACATCTCTAGTGACATTGTCCCATCTCTAATTTCTAGTTAGAAGACGCAATTGTTGTTGATTCACACATAATTATTAAATAGGAAAAAGGACCCACTTGTGCAATGTTTTCTATATTTGGGAAGCGGAAGCCTGCGGAAACCCCAACAGAGGAACCCATCCAGGGACCCATAGACGGTCCAAGACCCGGCACCAGCGTCGGCGATGATTTTGTTATCGTGGAGCGTAAACCTGGCGTGAACCCGAATCCTCTTGCTCCTAGCATGTACCCGCCCATGCCACCAGCGGGCTATGGTGCTCTACCGTATCCAATGCTTGGCCCAAGGGCCGGACAGTCACCTGCGAAATTGCCTGGAGGTACCCAAGGACCCGTCAACTACCTGCAGGACATTCCCTTCGAGCTGGCGCCCGAATTGGCCGGCAAGGATAGCTACGCCAGCACCCAAATGCAAGTGGACAGCATTCTGGCGCTGCTAACACGTCAAATGTCCATGGACGAGCTGGCTGAGGAGTATACATTCGCTTTGGAACGCTCTGTCCAGAACGAATCTTAATTGTGCAAAATTTCCTGTATGTTATCAAACGTTGCCTATTTAATTGTAAGATAAGATATTTTCTGCGTCCCAGATATGTAAAAAATGTATCCAATAAAAATTTTGTATCGTTACTCCATTAAAACAAGAAGTGTTCAGTCCTTATATCGAAAAATCTTACTCTACGTTTGTGCTGATGAAATATTTACAGCCAAAGTAGGCCTAGAGTTTGAGACTCATCTAGTCGGTCAGTCAACGAATGCCAGACTTATTTGGAACCGGGTACGGAACATTTCACAAGCAGTGTTAGACGTTCTCCAACGCTTCCAGTTTAAAATTGTCAGTGCTCTCGATTTTTGTATTTAAAAAAAAGACAATTTCGGTGTTTTCATTCAAACTGTATTTCTCGACCCAAACCTCTCCGCGAACCCTTGAGATCCCTGGCTAAATTCCGATTCGTTTAAATTGGCAGTGCCATTGAGTGCGTGATTCGCAAGTTCGCCAGCCATGGCTAGCTCAAACGTTTCCGACTGGGACGAGCCGTTGCCTACGTCGACCAGCTCGCTGCCTGAGGAGGAGGACCCTGATGTGTGCGCGGAGGAGAACGTTAAGAAGCGGCAGGAGGAAAACTTGGCCAAGCTACAGTCGTATGTAAAGCGGATGGCTTATCAGCCAGCTATGCCACCCAAGGTAAAGCCGTACGACGTGGCCTTGTCCAAGCCCAAGATACACACGCTCCTGGACAACTACGAGCAGTTCAAGGATGTGTACGACCCTAAGCTTCGCGCCAAGCGGATCAAGCGTATGCTTGGAAAATATAACGCCATCACAACCGAGTTAGTAAAAAATTCATTGAATAAGGTATGTAGCCCCTATCTCCCCTTATCTCCACGACAGGCAACTGGAGGAAATCTTGAAGAACAACAAGACCAAGGAGCGACGCAAGGAGGACTTCCTGAAGCGCAAGCAGGAGCTATACTACAACATGCTGACCAAGCTGGAGCGCCAGTGCCGCACGCAGTATCTCAACGTGCTGATCAAGAAGTTCGCCAAGTTCATCGCTCACTTGGCCACCACCATGAGGATTCCTCCGCAGCTGGTGGACCCCTACGCCCGCATGCAACGCGGCATCTTCTGCAACATTCTGCTGGCCATCGGCGTGCAGCCCACCTCACAGTCGGCCATATACTACACCAGTCAGGATGCCATCGAGTACGATGTGTGCCACCGCCTGGCCCACGCCCTACTTTCCTTGATTATTAAGGCTCTTGACTCTGCAGCCACCAGGGATCCCAACGAGGTGTGCAAGCCGGTGGACATGGACTTTGAGATGGATAATCACATCAAGAGGCGTTTAATGTGCGCTGCCGAGAAGAAGCTGATGTACGAGCGTCGTCGCAAGAAGCCTCAGCCCCAAAGCTTGGGGGCTTTCGAGAAGTGCACCCGCTACGACTGTGACTAGGAAGTGATCTGACATACATACGTGCAATTCCCTAGGGCAGCTCCCTGGCGGTTCTCCGATTTATTTGTAACTCTTTGGTACTAAGTTCGAGTAGAAATAAACTATAATTTGTTTGGAAAGCTACTGCGTCTCTTTCGTTGACTTCTCTTCATTGGTTGGTCCATTCAACTTCAGACACAGCCAGTTTGTGGGCACTTCAAAGCTTTCCGGGGGATGCGGGGTGTAAACCTCGCAAAAGGGGACATGCCAGGTGTCGGAGACTTGATGTGCTTCCAATCGGTGGCGTATAGGTTCCTTGACTATGAGCTTGCCCGTTTTGGTCTGGGTGACCAGTGAGAACTGATGCTGTTGCTGCCACCGTCTGAAAATGGGCTTCATCTCGGGGCCCAGGTGGAAGGCATGACTCCTCATCAAATCCCTGGAGAAGAAGTCTGTATCCGCGCCGCTTTTAAGAGTGGCGTAGAGCAGGAAGGGATCATCATGGGACCTGAAACAGACGACGGAAATCACAGCCATTCTCTCATATCTGCCGATCAATAAACTCACAAATTGTTGGTCAAAAAGAGACTAGCATTTTTTTGGACGTAGTGCATCGACTGCTTGCACCAATTGCGCATGTGCTCCCGTCCTAGGACGAGGACACGCTTGTTCTGCTCCCGAAAGTGGCTGACCACAGTAGCAACCAGCTTCGCCAGCTGCTGGGGCGACTTCTTGGTGCCCGTGGAGTAGGCAACATTAAGGCCATCGATTACGCAGTCGTAAGGGGCGGTTCGGTCCACGTACTTTTTGAATCTAGCCACCTCCATGGGCGTAGAACGCTGGAAGACGTCGCTGCGGATGAGCACGCGCTCTAGAAAACTCTCGCTTAACATGCGGAACTGCTCATCGCTGATGGCCACCGGCTGAAAGTGCTGCTGGCAAGACTCGCACTTTCCAGGTGGTACCAGGCGAGTGGCTGACACTTGAAGGGACTGAGGCAGTTGTTGGCCAAGCTCCAGTAACCTATCAGCTACGCGCCTGCTCACAAGAATCTCGTGGCGCTCGAGGAAGTTCAACAGACGATTCAGCTGTGCTGCAACCAAAGCCGGTTCCTTTGCTAGGCGGTTTATTAAAGCAAGATAAACCTCGCATTTTGGGGGCTTTTTCTCCTGCGCCATTTCCTCTAAAAGCCGCCAAGAAAGAGGATCCTCCTGTTTGTCCAGGTCTTCTTCCGAGAATGCTTTTTCGGATATTGCGCTATAGGCAGCTATGCTGGGCGAACTGGTTACCTTCATCATCTCCAGAAGAGGCGCCGCCCGTCTCCAGTGATCCTTGGTGGTAACCAGACCATGGATTATGTTCTCGCAGCTGGTCGCGTCCAAAGTTTCGTGATTCTTCTGCAGGGAATCGCATATCTTTAAAACCTCGTCCTGCTCCACATCGCTTAGTAGTCTTTCATGGTATGCGGCATTGTAGACCCTTAGAAGACGGCCCAGGGAAGCAGCGTTCGGTTGTGTCCCCTGACTTCGCAGGAACTCAACGTAGTTCTTGGCCAGAGAGAGTTGACCCGGGCCACTACACACACCCAGGATGACGACGTCCACGTTGTGCTCGCCGATGTGCTTGTAGGTTTTAAGCAGCGATTGCCTCACCTCCTGCCAGTCGGAGGCACTGAGCTCCTGCCGGCCCTCAACGAAACTCGTTCTCAATTCCTCCAGGCGATCTGGGGACAGGGCACCCAGCTGGGGACGACGCTTGTGCTGGCTAGCAAATTCCCGGAAGCCATTGATAGGAGGCACTCGGCGCAGTTTCCTCAGAAGGCGCAGGCTATACATAATCAGAAGATTATTCCACACAATCTTCGGCCCCAAATTCAAAACAAAGCTCCCCAAAAAATACCGAAAATACCAAAAAAAATTGCGATTTTATCGAAGCGGATTTTAACAATCGTTTGTTTTGGTCACACTAGCCAAGCAAAACTGCAACTCACGAAATTTTGCCACAGAATTTATTTGTTTAATCGTTCTGCGTAAAGAGTAAAAACAACTCAAATAAAAAAAAAATGACCGTGACTGCGACACCTCTTCCCGACAATTTGCGGGTGAAGGCCTTTTCCGACTACAGGAAGAAGCTGCTGGAGCACAAGGAAATCGAGGGACGGTTGAAAGAAAGCAAGTCCCACCCGGTTACCAGTTCTTCGGATCTGAATTTAATATATAACTCTTTATAGAACGCGAGGAGATCAAGGAACTGACTAAGCTGTACGACAAGTCCGAGAACGACTTGAAGGCGCTGCAAAGCGTGGGACAAATCGTCGGAGAAGTTCTCAAACAACTCACTGAGGACAAGTGTAAGAATTATCCTCAGAAAGATCTCTTCAATGCTACATTATTGTTCTATCTCTATCTATTAGTCATTGTGAAGGCCACCAATGGCCCCCGCTACGTGGTGGGATGCCGCCGACAGCTGGACAAGGCAAAACTGAAGTCTGGTACACGTGTGGCCCTTGACATGACCACGCTGACCATTATGCGGTACCTCCCTCGCGAAGTTGATCCCTTGGTATACAATATGTCGCACGAAGACCCTGGCGATGTTACCTACTCCGCCATTGGTGGTCTCACCGAGCAGATTCGCGAGTTGCGCGAAGTCATCGAGCTGCCGCTTTTGAATCCCGAGCTATTCCTGCGCGTCGGTATCACACCACCCAAGGGTTGTCTTTTGTACGGCCCTCCCGGCACTGGAAAAACACTTCTAGCCCGTGCCGTTGCCTCACAGCTGGATGCCAACTTCCTAAAGGTCGTGTCCTCGGCCATTGTCGACAAATACATCGGCGAAAGTGCCCGCTTGATTCGCGAGATGTTCAACTACGCTCGTGACCACCAGCCCTGCATCATATTCATGGACGAAATTGACGCTATTGGCGGTCGTCGTTTCTCCGAGGGTACTTCTGCTGATCGCGAGATCCAGCGCACACTGATGGAGCTCCTCAACCAGATGGATGGCTTTGATTCACTTGGCCAGGTTAAGATGATCATGGCCACGAATCGTCCAGACACTCTGGATCCTGCCCTGCTGCGTCCCGGCCGCTTGGACCGAAAAATCGAGATTCCCTTGCCCAATGAGCAAGCCAGGTAAGACCCAAAGGAATCTACAAACCTCTGAGCCATAGATTACCTTATGTGACCCCTTTGCAGGCTGGAAATCCTTAAAATCCACGCTCTCAAGATTGCCAAGCATGGTGAAATCGACTACGAAGCCATTGTGAAGCTTTCTGACAACTTCAACGGCGCTGATTTGCGAAACGTTTGCACTGAGGCTGGTCTCTTTGCTATTCGGTAAGCAACCCGAGACTCCGTCAGGAATTCCATTCGCTAAAGAGTTTATTTTTTACTTCCAACAGCGCTGAGCGAGAGTACGTGATCCAGGAGGACTTCATGAAGGCTGTGCGCAAGGTGTCGGACAACAAGAAGCTGGAAAGCAAGCTGGACTACAAGCCCGTCTAAGATCCCCCATAGAATTACCCATCAAACATTTACACACATACACAGATATATATATTATGTCCACAGAACAGAGCGCTGTCATACATAGTCCGTTGCTTTTCCATATGCTAATTAAATGCTATGTAAAGATAGAGTTGGATGATTTTTTTAGGTAGGGGTCTCCTCTAGCCGCACTTTTGCTGCTGCTGCTCCTCTATGCGCCGCTTCTTGCGCTCCAAGTAATCGCTGACATTGTCGAAGCGCTTCTTAAACCAAACAGAGAGGTCCTCGGGAAGAAAGGCGACTCCCTGTGCTCCCAAACCCTCAAGTACCATCTTGACCCAACCGTCAGGAACGCTGGTAGATGTTTCGCCACTACTAATGTCGTATGCCTTTATGGCCAAGCATTCATTCTCGGCTCCGGTTACATACACCCGGTTGCCGGTTAAAGTAAAGTTGCAAATGTTCCACGAGCCGGCTTCGGCACGCACCACTGTGGTGGTCGTAATGGCCCAGTTATCCCCACTACTCCGTTCCAGCCGGTAGATAGCCACGGCGTCCACGTGGTCATAGAGGAGCACGGCCACCTGGTAAACTTTCTCTGGCTCCAACTGCTGGACCTCTAGCCGCACCGCTGGCGCCGGCAGTTCGTGTACCAACAGCTCCTTTCCCTCAATGAAGTTCCAAACTCGCAATGTTTTGTCCCCCGACGCAGACACGATGTGCTGCTCTGTGAGCAGTGCCAAGCCGGAGACGAACTCCTTATGGCCCAAACAGTAGCTGTGAATGTCAAAGGTGGCGGGGTAGTTGGTGACCCGAATTTTGTCATCCCGGTCACAGGTGATAATGTGCTGCTGGTCGTCCGTCCACAAAATATCAAAAACGACGCTCAGGTGGCCCAGAAGAAGACGTGGGGCGGCCTCCACCTCGACACAGTCGTACTGGTAGCAGTCCCCTGTTTTGTCCGTAACCAAAACAGAGCTCCCGTCACTGCAGAAGCGCAGGGCACTGGAAGCGCGAGCCAGGGGCCGAACCGAGAGCAAGCGAGCGTTCTCCATGCGGGAGCGGTAAAGGAGCAGGGCCTTCTGTCCCCCTGTTGTGGTGATGGCCAGCAACTGGCGGTCCGGCGAGTAGCTGACATTTTGAATGGTTACCTCGATTTCCTTGGCCTTGGAAGCAGATGTGGTTGCTGTATTGCTCGGCTGCTTGGCACTGCCAGCAGCTGCCACATCCTGTTGCTCATGCTGGCAATGCTGCTCCTTGGAATCGGCGACCTTGAGACCACAGGTGGCCAAGTCGGGAGGTAGTTCGATCTCCTTAAATAGCTGAAGGTCGTCGGGGTTCACGAAAAGCACCCTGCGGCCGTGACCGATTACCAGCTCGGGCTCTGCGAAAAAAATTGTAGCCATCTCCAGCAGGCAAACGAAAATCCACGATGCGTCTAATCCAAATCCTTGTGGCTTTTCTGTGCGTGTTTATTTCTTCCTCAATTAGAAATGACTATGTCATATCGGGCGACTGATGTCCATGCGGCATGGATCTGAATTGGCCTTTCAGCGGAGTTGGCCTTTTGCGGCACACACTTGGAAGAGTTTATCAGGTGAAGTTCCACTCAACTGAAGATAGTGTTTTCCAGGTGGGCGAAACTAGGACCGTTTTCTCGAATGTCTTGTTAATTCACTCTGTAGGCGGTTAGCACCCTCCAACTTGTTTCTTACCCTCGCCTAATAGGAAAACATCGCGACATGTTTTTCCATACTTTAGTGTAACCAGAGTTTTGTCATTGATGATTTTAGCACATGCTTCGATGTTTGGAAGGTGGCATTTTTGCGATATGATATCGATATATTTTAGCACATGTAGGGGTGGCAGCACTCGCCATATTTGGAACAGGTGGCAGCGCCGCGATACTAGTAAGCGCAGCCAACTTCACGCGCCTTGTTCTTTTTTCCGGTTGACTTTAACGAGAAAGGTTGTGCCCGATTTTCTTTTTGTGAATTATTATTTTTTTTATGTTTTAAATGAATGAAATTGAATGAGTGTGCTGGCTTAAGCCGTCCCATCATATAATGAGCTCGCCAACGAGCCTGTCCATCGTGCCAATGCACAGAAAACTTAGTTGACGTCGAATCAGCGTGGATTCGCAGTTTTGTTGTCTTGTGTGTGTGGATGTGTGTGTGTCGTGTGCCTGCGCACGAAAGAGTTTTGAACTCAACGTGTTTTTAGCGAATTTGCAATGATTTCGAAATGTTTATCACGTTGTTTGTTCAATCTTACAGATGCCAGGAGTCACAGTAAAGGATATTGACCAGCACGCGGTTACCAAGGCTGTTGCCGTCTTCCTGAAGAAGTGAGTAGAATAATAACTCATTGGGTTACCTAACCTCACTCGATTTGTTTTTTGTTTATCCCCAATTCTGGTACAAAGGACTGGCAAGTTGAAGGTGCCCGACCAGATGGACATCATCAAGACCGCCAAATTCAAGGAGCTGGCCCCCTACGATCCCGACTGGTTCTATGTGCGTTGCGCCTCGATCCTGCGCCATCTGTACCACCGCAGCCCAGCCGGTGTTGGCTCCATCACCAAAATCTACGGCGGACGCAAGCGCAACGGTGTCCACCCCTCGCACTTCTGCCGCGCCGCCGATGGTGCTGCCCGCAAAGCCCTGCAGGCTCTCGAGCACGCCCGTCTGGTGGAGAAGCACCCGGACGGCGGACGCAAGCTGAGCTCCATCGGCCAGCGTGACTTGGATCGCATCGCCAACCAGATCGTTGCCAAGCAGCGTGACGCCGCCAAGCAGACTGGCACCCTTGTAATTTCCAAGTAAATGGACCGCTGCCTGTTTGAAATCTAAAATACCATTTTTTAGACTTCTACTGTAAGCGTTTTTTGTTTGCACGAGAGAGATGAGAAAATAAAACCCAATCACAAAAGTCTATAAAAAGCGTAAACTCCGGCGAGTGTGTAAATTGGGAATTCATGGATAAACTAGGATTTGTAGCCTAGTGGGAGATAGTACAAGATTGAGGGATAGAGAAACAGGTGGTTGAAGTTTTATATCTGAAAAGTACAAACTTGTATTTGATGTGGCAATTCACTTTAATTTGCATATCTTCCGGCCTTTCGAGCCATAGGGCTTTGTGGAAAAGCTTAAAGGAGCTAAGTATTGGATCTTAATCATTCTGGTTCTGATATGTTCACCCAAAGACCGAGTCAATGTAGCGCGCCCTCCAAATATTGAGATCAAGTCTGTTTATGAGATAAGAATATCAAGGAAGCAGCCAGTATTCTTGCGAATCAACATAGCATCGAAGTCCTCGATTCAGAGCTGATTCTTTCGGATAAAACACTCTTGGTTCTAGAGTATATGCTCCACTACACTATCAGATAATAGCTTGATGATCCGAGGATGCTGATAAACTCTGTCCATTCCTCCACCTTCCAGGGAAAAAACCCCAAACTTGGTTCACCCAATTCTTAGCCAATGTTATCTTAGCCTTAGCCAAGACTATCTCAAGACTATTAGACTATAATGAAGTAGATAGTATTCTTGCGAATCAACAGTAGCATCGAAAACCTCGCTTCAGAACTGAGACATCGTTCTTCAAGAAATTACTACAGAATGAATGCATTAGATTAAAATAAAGCACCATTAGTAATATGTAGACATACCCCTTGAGTAAAATAACTTATTTTCAGAAACTTTACAGAAAATTTATAGCTTTGTCGTGTGAAAGACGTTACAGAGAATGCATATTTTCAGAAGCTTAACACTACACTATAAGATAAAGACTTGATGATCCGAAGCTGCTGCTAAACTCTGTCCAGTGCCTCCACCATGACAATGCTGTTGCCGCGGATTACCTTCCAGGGGAAAAAACGAATATTAGAGACTGGGTTTTTACCAGAAACAAACAGTTTCCGTCTTACCACCATGCCAATGTTGTTCTTGGTGTTGTCCTTGCACTCCTCCACGGTATCGTCCAGGACCACGTTCATGAACGGATCGAATCCCCGTAAAATGCCGGTGACGGCGCGTCCGCCGTTCAGCTTCAGCATCATGCGCTTGTCCATGTACCTGAAATCCGTTTAATTAAATGATACTGAGTCTAATTCTAGCTTTACGTTAATCGACTCACTTTTTCAACTCTGGGGGATGGGCCTTTGACATCTTTAGTTGTTAAAATTCAGCAAAAGTGGTAAACGAATAAGAAATGCGGCTTCACACGGCGAAAAGTATAATTTGCCATTCACTGGAATTGTGTTAATTTCCGAACACTTTTAACACTCTTTTTTTGTGTTGGTCATTGGCAACACTTGCAAATGACCTCGCGTTTACCAGCACTATGTCGGCCATTTGTAGAGGCGGTTATTTTCAAAGATACACCTGGCCACACCAATTGGTGGATTTTTGACAGGCCGAAAAAGTGTTTTTTTCCCAAACTTTATTTTGCTTTCCTCTGCGACCTGCCGCGGCCGGAACTGGACATTATAAATTGGGCGGCCAGTCGCCACCGACCGCCAAACCGACTGCCCACCCCCCCCGAACCCTTGAAACGTCGCCAAGCGAGTGACGCACGTCGGTGTGTTCGCCTTGTTATTGTTGTTGTAGCATTTGCTACGTTTGCTAGCTAGGTGTGTGTGTGTGTCTGTGCAGAGAAGAATCGTCGAAATTTCCAAGCTAAAGACAGGAAAAAAACCTAAAGACTAGCAAAAAAAGCTAAGTAGACAGTTGGCAGCTGCCGCCCGAGTCCCCGCCCCGTTAACTGGGGCTGATATCTTGTACATGACGAGTGTGCTGGCGTGTGCGTATGTGTGTGCGTGTGTGTGTGTGAACAAACTGTTGCATCCTGAAGAATCCGAGGCAGGCCAAGCGGATTCCATTTGGCGAGAGCCAAGGGCTGCGGCGGCGCCTTCTCTGTTTACAAACACGAAGAGAGTCCACCTTAATCGGCGCATCGTCTTCTTTCGCAGATCTTGCCGGGGAAACGGACGGACATCCAATACCACCACGCAAAAGCCCCTGCCAAATATCTGGGGAATCTAGGGCCGCTGGGAACACCTGGGAACTCCCGGGTGCTCGGGTGCGTCCGCATGTGGCGTTGGCGGCACTCCAGCTCCAGATAGAAGCCAGCGCCGAGGGGAAGTGCTTTGACAGCAGCAGTTAGCAAACAAAAAACAAACGACGCTCGTGACCTCATCGCTTGCACACCAACAAAAACAACAACGAAAAGCACAGGCGGACGCTAGACGCGTGCCTCCTCAGACCCATTCCAATTAACATTTTCCAATTCAACTCGGATCGGGCCTTAACTCCTGGCAGGTAAATGGGTTTTCAACAGCGTTGGCTGGAATGACGGCACTACCATACACTTTCAGGGCTTTCGAAGAACACCCATCGACCAGTACACAGTAGTAGTTGCGGATAAGGCTGCCAACCAACAGGGAAACTTGCTCCTAGCTGGCCAGAGCTAGACTTCCGCAGACAACCAGTTGGATTCCTGCCGTTTCGGAGTAGCTGAAAGCGCAAGGATATCTTCTGGACTTTGCAGGAAAGCGAAAACTAGGTAAAAAAGACGTCCACACAAGCAGGTTACTCTTTCTAAACAATCTCAATTGTATTGCAGAGCGTTGGCATCCGTGCACTCCGGAAAGGATCACTTTTGCATGCCCACTGGGACTGGAAGGTCTTAGCCATGGATGTGGAAAGGCGGCGTCGGTGAGTGATCGTGATCGTTCTCGTGCTCAATAGCCAGTAGCCAAAAGGCGACTGCCACTGGCTACACTCAATTAATTGTCACCCGAATGGCAGCCACAGATACGTGCGATCTGTGAGATCTCTAGCTGTCTCGTCTCTGTGCCTGATGCTGTGCTTGATGTTGTGCTGGAATTGCTGAAAAAATGAACTAAACGCAAGCGCAAGCCAAAGCCAAAGCCATAGCCATAGCCGAAGCTGAAGCAAAACAAATCAAAACGTAATACACCGCTGGCAAACACCTTCCATATCTCATGTTCAAAGCGACAGCGCGGCAATCAAATTGACAAGCGAGTGAACAAAACGGGGGGCGACTTTATAATAAATTTGCCATTTTCGCATTAAAATTTGTAACCAAACCAAACTGAAGCGAACTGAACTGAAGCGGGCCGGCTGCTGTTTGCTTTAACCAACTGATGCCTGATGCTGTTGCAGTTGTCAGTTGCAGCAGGCCTTCCGATCCGTTTCGTGCGTTATACGGTGCGTGCATCTTGCAGTTCAGCAGTTCATTTTGTGGGCAGTAGATAGACAGGGCATGTGGCCATGGCTGTTGCCCGCCGCCCTCCACCAAAGCGAGCCGGAACGGTACGTTGCTCCTCCTGAGCTATAATACACCTCATCAGCCAGCACGACATATAAATTCTTTAGTTTTATTGCCCATTAGCGTAGTGCCAGGCACTGGTCGAATATCTGTTCTAAGCATATAAATAGGTGAGCAGGAACGGGCTGCTGCCGGGACGGGCTACTGCCTCCCGGCTGCCAGTGAAGTATTTGCGTACCAACAATACCAATAAACGCTGCAAAACGGCCAATTGCAATGCGCATTTGTTGCGGGTCGTAAATCGCAGTTGGGGGATTCTTTGTGCTTTGTGCCATGGGATGCGCCAAATTAATTAGAATAAATATTGTGCAAAGTGGATCTCGCAACGCAGAATTTAACGCCATTAGCCCGGGCAGGAGCCGCCTCCCCTTCTCCCAGCGCCTGGCTGAAACACAGAGACCCGAATTCAAAGTCCCAGCTTGAAGCTTTCAATTTGTTCAAGTTAGCCAGCTCATTTTGGCGACGTTGTATAAATTAAATTGAAAATTATATTGTCTCTAGGTGACGATAATGTTGTCGTCGGAGCCGCTGCCACTGCCGCTGCTGCCACTGCTGCTGCTGCTGCTGTTATTATGTATTATTATTGTTGTTGTTCATAATTATGTTGCCATTGCCAAAAAAAAAAGTCAGTTGCTACACAGTGAAAAAAAACTGTATACCATTTTGAATGAAACTTAAGGGGAGAAGCCCACATCTCTACGTGGCATGAATACTTTATTTATATCTGATTCTATAATTCTCAGTAATCTTTTTTTTCGAGTGTAGAGCTACAAAAAATCCACCGCAGCATTTTTGAAAATTCCACTTTCCCAAGTTGTTTGTTTTGTTGTTGTTGTTGTTGTTGCTGGCTGCCTTTGCTATTACCCGTCGACTGCACTTTGTTTTTGGCTTTTCTGTCAGGCCGTAAGTGGCGATGATGAAATCACAACAATTCAAACACCTTTTAGTATCAATTTTTAGCGCCGACTGCCTGCCTGTCAACGGCTTCGGATTCGGATCGGATCGAACCGTTTGGGAATCTTAGATCTAATGACTCGGCTCCTCCTTCTAGCTAGTTATAGCCTTGAACCTTCCTTCTCAAATCCCCAAAAAAGAATCACTTATGGCAAAGGCCTTTGCACGGTCTGGTGGGTCAACGATTTTGGGAATAATTTGCTTCCATTTTCGACATTGCAGTCCCCCCTGACTAATGCTCGGAAAATTCGCAATTATTTAGAATATTGTGCACGAAAGGTAAACACGCCCGGAGCCCACTATCTGGCACATGTCCAGTGGTTTCTATTTGGGTGAGTGGAGAGGGCCGGAAGGTGTTTTCATTCAGAAAAGCGGGGCGGTTGGCGACCACAGCTGCTCATTAGCGCGGAGGGGGGCTGCATCGCGTATCAGTGACACAAACGGCTTGCATTCTTTCCACGGAGCTTATCAGAGCTCCCTCTGCTCCTCTAGGAGCCCTCAATGGCGGGCTGTATGGTTGCATCTGCCACCCGGCCTCTCCCGCCCAGCGGTCTGCCATTCCGTATCTATAGTGGCACGGAACAAAGCCCGCCCAGCAATCGGAGTCGCCTCTGAGTCACCGCCAGCTCGGCACTCAATGAAATTTCGACAGCTATGGTGTCGCACTGACGCAGCCTTTGTTTACATTGTCCGAGTGGGGGAAGAGCGATGCTTGAATGACTAGCAGCCTAGGCTAACTACCTAGCTTATGATAATCTGATATCCTCACCGAACACCCTTTCCTGGCTACACTGCTGGCCTATTTCTTCCATTTGTGGGCTGTTTTTGGTCGTAAAACCCAAAGAAACAAAACAATATAAAACTCGAGGTGCATAAACACAAAGATTTGGGCCACTCCTCCTCCATCATGGCCAATTAAGTTTGGCTAATCCGAAAAGAATAACAAGTCCCTAATGGTGAGCAAGAGTGCCGTCAGTTGGACCGCAACTGAAGTGGAGTGGGGTGCTCGATGTGTGTTTACAAGCTCATGAGTAATCCCCCGGCTTCGGTCTCCGGTTGCCACGGCTGGCGTTTGTTTGTTTATGCCAACAATTCGCATGCCGGGCGGCGGAAGAGCAGTTGATCCGTCAAGCACTCATCGCAAGTAAACAATGAAGGAATCCGGCCAGATGATTTGCTCCAAGGGTTCCTATTCAACTGTCTAGAATTCTAGAACTCGAGTGTTTAGGCCTTCCGGTGGTGACTATACATCATACATATGCTATCCATTCACAGGGCGAATACGCTGGAGCGCGAGATGCGCGATCCGACCAGCATCTGCAACGTGGACTGCTTGCTGGACACGGTCTCGGCTTTGGTCCACGACTGCGACCACGACTCCCTGCGGCGTCTCAAGAACATCGAGCAGTATGCCAACAAATGTGAGTTCCACCCGCTCCTACTTCGAGCTCGGCGTTAATTCCCAACCCTGTTCCAGATAAACCCCTCGCCCAGCGAATCAACCAGCTGCGCATGAATGTGGAGGACTTCGACTTCATCAAGCTGATCGGCGCCGGAGCCTTCGGAGAGGTGCAGCTGGTGCGGCACAAGTCCTCCAGCCAGGTGTACGCCATGAAGCGGCTCTCCAAGTTCGAGATGATGAAGCGCCCGGACTCGGCCTTCTTCTGGGAGGAGCGCCACATCATGGCACACGCCAACTCGGAGTGGATCGTCCAGCTGCACTTTGCCTTCCAGGACCACAAATACCTGTACATGGTGATGGACTTCATGCCTGGCGGCGACATAGTGTCCCTGATGGGCGACTACGAGATACCAGAGAAGTGGGCCATTTTCTACACGATGGAAGTGGTCCTGGCCCTGGACACCATCCACAACATGGGCTTCGTGCACCGTGACGTCAAGCCGGACAACATGCTCCTGGACAGGTACGGCCACCTGAAACTGGCCGACTTCGGCACCTGCATGCGCATGAGTGCCAACGGGCAGGTGGTGTCCAGCAACGCCGTGGGCACGCCCGACTACATCAGCCCCGAGGTCCTGCAGTCCCAGGGCGTGGACAACGAGTACGGACGCGAGTGCGACTGGTGGTCGGTGGGCATCTTCCTGTACGAGATGCTTTTCGGCGAGACCCCGTTCTACGCGGATTCCCTGGTGGGCACATACGGGAAGATCATGGACCACAAGAACTCGCTTAGCTTCCCACCCGAGGTGGAGATAAGCGAGCAGGCCAAGTCTCTGATCCGCGCCTTCCTGACGGACAGGACGCAGCGGTTAGGGCGCTACGGCATCGAGGACATCAAGGCGCACCCCTTCTTCCGCAACGACACCTGGTCCTTCGACAACATCCGCGAAAGTGTGCCGCCCGTGGTGCCGGAACTGTCGTCCGATGATGACACCCGGAACTTTGAGGACATTGAGCGGGACGAGAAGCCGGAGGAGGTCTTTCCGGTGCCGAAGGGCTTCGACGGCAACCATCTGCCCTTCATCGGGTTCACCTACACCGGAGACTACCAGCTGCTCTCCAGCGACACGGTGGATGCGGAATCAAAGGAATCGAACACTGCGAACAGCGGGACGGCGGGGAGCAACAACCACGGCCATAGCCACAACCACCGCCACCGCCCGTCGAACTCCAACGAGCTGAAGCGCCTGGAGGCTCTGCTGGAGCGGGAGCGGGGCCGGGCGGAAGCCCTGGAGCAGCAGGACGCCGGACTGAGGCAGCAGATCGAACTGAGCACCAAGCGGGAGGCGGAACTGCAGAGGATTGCCGCCGAGTACGAGAAGGACTTGGCCCTGCGCCAGCACAACTACAAGGTAAGTGATGATCTAGGTTAGGAAGCAATAGCACCACTGACACTTTGTGTTCCTCCTTCCAGGTGGCAATGCAGAAGGTCGAGCAGGAGATCGAGCTGCGCAAGAAGACCGAGGCGCTGCTGGTGGAGACGCAACGCAACCTGGAGAATGAGCAGAAGACGAGGGCGCGCGACCTGAACATCAACGAGAAGGTCGTCTCCCTGGAAAAGCAGCTGGCGGAAATGGAGCAGAGCTATAAGGGCGAGACGGAGAACACGCAAAAGCTGAAGAAGCAGAACGCCGAGCTGGGATTCACGCTCAAGTCGCAGGAGGAGAAGGTGCGCGACATGGTCGAGATGATCGACACGCTCCAGAAGCACAAGGAGGAGCTGGGCCAGGAGAACGCCGAGCTGCAGGCTCAGGTGGTCCAGGAGAAGAACCTGCGGTCGCAGCTGAAGGAACTGCACAAGGAGGCCGAAAACAAGATGCAGACGCTGTCCAACGACATCGAGCGGACGCTGAGCCGGGAACAGAAGGCCCAGGAGGACAACCGGGCGTTGCTGGAGAAGATCAGCGACTTGGAGAAGGCCCAAGCCAGCCTGGACTTCGAGCTGAAGGCAGCCCAGGGACGCTACCAGCAGGAGGTGAAGGCCCACCAAGAGACAGAGAAGTCGCGCCTCGTTTCCCGCGAGGAAGCCAACCTCCAGGTGGTCAAGGCCGTCCAGTCTAAGCTCAACGAGGAGAAGTCGGCCCGCATCAAGGCCGACCAGCACTCGCAGGAGAAGGAACGGCAGCTGAGCATGCTGTCGGTGGACTACCGCCAGATCCAGCTGCGTCTCCAGAAGCTCGAGGGCGAGTGCCGCCAGGAGTCGGAGAAGGTGGCCGCCCTCCAGTCCCAGCTGGACCAGGAGCACAGCAAACGAAACGCCCTGCTCTCGGAGCTCAGTCTGCACAGCTCGGAGGTGGCTCATTTGCGTTCCCGCGAGAACCAGCTGCAAAAGGAGCTGGCGGCCCAGCGGGAGGCCAAGCGGCGGTTCGAGGAGGATCTCGGCCAGCTGAAGAGCACCCACCACGAGGCGCTGGCCAACAACCGGGAGCTGCAGGCCCAATTGGAGGCAGAGCAGTGCTTCTCGCGCCTCTACAAGACCCAGGCGAACGAGAACCGCGAGGAGAGCGCCGAGCGGCTGTCCAAGATCGAGGATCTCGAGGAGGAGCGCGTCTCGCTCAAGCACCAAGTCCAAGTGGCAGTGGCTCGCGCCGATTCCGAAGCCCTGGCCCGGTCGATTGCCGAGGAGACGGTGGCCGACCTGGAGAAGGAGAAGACGATCAAGGAGCTGGAGCTGAAGGACTTTGTGATGAAGCACCGCAACGAGATCAACTCCAAGGAGGCCTCCCTGGTCACGCTCAAGGAGGCAGAGGCGGAGCTGCACAAGAAGCTCAGCCAGAAGAGCGCCGAGTGCGAGGACCTGGTCCAGCAGCACAAGAAGCAGCAGGAGGAGCTGTCGCAGCTGTGCGGCAGCAAGGACGAGGAGATCGCCAAGCTGATGGAGAAGTGCAAGAACGAGGTGCTGCTCAAGCAGGTGGCAGTCAACAAGCTGGCCGAGGTGATGAATCGCCGGGACTCCGACCAGCCCAGTAAGTATTCTCTCCATATCCTCGGAAGCCTTAACCATTTTCCCCATCGCCATTCCACAGAGCAAAAGAACAAGGCCCGTTCCACCGCCGAGCTGCGCAAGAAGGAGAAGGAGATGCGCCGGCTACAGCAGGAGCTATCGCAGGAGCGCGACAAGTTCAACCAGCTGCTGCTGAAGCACCAGGACCTGCAGCAGGTGTACGCCGAGGAGCAGCAGCTCAAGCAGAAGATGATCATGGAGATCGACTGCAAGGCCACGGAAATCGAGAACCTGCAGAGCAAGCTCAACGAGACGGCGTCGCTCTCCTCCGCCGACAACGATCCCGAGGATAGCCAGGTGAGAATAGCCGCTGCGTCCGAACACACAAACACAGACTCACACTCAAACCCTCGCCCACACCCACACCCACACCCGAACCCACACACATGCTCCTGCTGCCCCGTAAACCCCCACTGGGAATCTGTAGCACTCCTCTCTGCTCTCCCTCACACAGGACTCGGTCTTCGAGGGATGGCTGAGCGTTCCCAACAAGCAGAACAGGAGGCGCGGCCACGGCTGGAAGCGCCAGTACGTCATCGTCTCCTCGCGGAAGATAATATTCTACAACTCGGACATCGACAAGCACAACACCACGGACGCCGTGCTCATCCTGGACCTCAGGTCGGTAGAGCCTACGGCACCCACTGATAGTTCTCCCTGACTCTGAATGCGTTCCTCCCATTCCAGCAAAGTGTACCACGTGCGCAGCGTCACCCAGGGCGATGTCATACGCGCCGATGCCAAAGAGATTCCGCGCATCTTCCAGCTGCTGTACGCCGGCGAGGGCGCCTCCCACCGCCCCGACGAGCAGAGCCAGCTGGACGTGAGCGTGCTGCACGGCAACAGTAATGAAGAGCGCCCCGGCACCATAGTCCACAAGGGTAAGTAGGAGGACAGGGTGTATCCCCAGGGTGTCAATGCTCATCCGCTCCCTTTTCCAGGTCACGAGTTCGTCCACATCACCTACCACATGCCCACGGCCTGCGAGGTGTGCCCGAAGCCGTTGTGGCACATGTTCAAGCCGCCGGCGGCTTACGAATGCAAGAGGTACTATTCCGCGTGTAGTCCGTGTGGCAGATAGACTTTATATTTCTTGTGGCACCTCTTCCAGATGCCGCAACAAGATCCACAAGGAGCATGTGGACAAGACGGACCCGCTGGCGCCCTGCAAGCTGAACCACGATCCGCGCAGCGCCCGGGACATGCTGCTGCTGGCCGCCACGCCCGAGGAGCAGTCCCTGTGGGTGGCCCGCCTGCTGAAGCGTATCCAAAAGAGTGGATACAAGGCCAACTCGTCGAACAACAACAGCACCGACGGCAGCAAGATATCGCCCAGGTAAACCACGCTCCAGGGATTCCGGGGACTCGAGCCTGAACGTTGCAGCAGTCGGAGTTTCCAATGTGCTTTCCGTTACTAACCGACTGACCCCCAAAAAACCCCCAAAAGAAGTTGTGGCTTTCGTATTGTATTGTTTCTAATCCCGATTGGTATTTGTCTCTTTTTTCTGTATCTCTTCCTACATCTCGCTGCTAACCTCATCCAATCATCGACCATCTATCTATCATCCACATCCACATTCACTCGCCAACCATCCCAATTGGCAGCCAATCGACGCGATCATCCTACAAGCCGTACGCTGTTAATGTGCAACGCTCCGCCACGCTGCCAGCCAACTCGTCGCTGAAATGAGCTCCACGCCGGGCCATGACACGCCACGCCACGCCAGCCGATGCCAGATTCCAGATCCTAGATCCCAGAGTCTCAGCGAGTCTCCTGCAACGCAACAGCAACAGCAACAGCAACTGCAACTCAACTCAAGCATCTGAAATTAACGCTCTAAACCAACACATGCTACAGTAAACTAAAATATTTTTTGAGTAATTTACATGGAAACCCCAAAACTAAACTCGAACTCAAACTCAAACTTAAATTCAAACTAAAACTAAAACTATAACTAAACCCCAACTAAACCGTACTCGTCTAACCAATTTCCTAACAACAGAAACCGATTGATGAGAGAGGGCAACAACCCGTAGCGAGTTCGCCAAGAAAACCATAAGAGCCATAAGCCATGAGTTTGTCACCTAGCCGTACTATATGTATTCTAAATATAAATATAAGTACAAAGATGGCTTGCACAACGATCAGATAGAGCTGTACTTAGCTGTAAGTTCAAAGTTCAAGCCAAGTCGAGAGAAACAGGCGAAAAGCTTGATGCCTTGTAAGAACGTGTATGTGAGTTTTTTTTTTTTTTGATACCTTTTATATATAATACATTATGCATATTGTTGTTGTTGTGTAGCGAATACGATTGGCCAAACAAACATATTGTTCTTAGTTGTAGAAAACCAACAAACAAACAAACAAACAAACCAACAAACAATATATTCGTAGACATATATAAAGTGACACACTTCCTCCAAGAGCATATCCTTTAAGCCACATGCGAGGCCAGCAGAGTCGAGCGATCGAGCAGTCGAGCAACCAACAAACTAGCGCTAAGTTAAAGCCACTTTACAAAGCTTTAACTTGTATTCCATTTAATGAACACTCTTTTTTTTTACAATCAGCATACAACTAGAGTTAAGGCACAGAAAGCGAAAGCAACCCGAAGCGAATATCAATCAGCAGATACTTAACGAGAAAGTAAAATAAATGTCCGGTACACTGTCCGGGTGTTCAGTTCGATTATAGATTGAAGGTGTAGGTTTTCCAGGGCCCTCTCAACAAGTCCCTGTTCGAAGAAGTAACTCTCGCCATGGGCGGACACAGACAGGGGTCAGACAGGACAGAAGTATTCATCGAGAGTAGCTATAATTAAAGTAAACTAACCGACAGAGGATGAACTACATAGAGTTGAGTGTGTAAAAGGCTACGTCTAAGTATTAAATATCCAATATGTTCTAGTTGTAAGCTAAACAAGTTATTTATTCGTATCTATGGTTGATGGCAGCGAGCAGCGAGCAGCTTAGCACTCTTCGACCTCTATGATTTCAACATATTCCATTCGTTTTGATTTACATCCTGTTCCGAGTCCTTAGTTTCTTTCCCCCCGCACATTCAGCAGAGTGAGGAGAGGCCAGCGAATTGCATTTAAAAGATATAGACTTCGGCGATGAGGTATCGGCGAACAGATACAGATACAGATCGACTATCGGTCATCGATTGCGCTCCAAAGTCCTGATTCTGAGCTCGATTTTAGATTCTTGAAAACGAAGCTGCTTTCTTTTTACACAATTTGTATTTTATTTGTACTATTATTTTATATTTTTATGATAATCACTCGTATTACGTTTATGTTTAATTCTAAACTCCTAGTTTAACTGCGCGTCTGCAATTGCATTTTGTCCTCGAACCGCCTCGACCGGCAAGCCCCCATGGAATTGCAAGCGTCAAGCAAATAAAGTAATGTGTATAAAATCAGCACCCCCCCTTTTGTTTTACTTATCGTTTTTCAGCCCAATTTTGAGTTTTTTATTTTTATTCCCCAATCCGCAGAGGAATGCCAACGATGAGACTGCCCCACGGCCTTGTATTCAAGAGATATAGCGGCTAGAAAATGTACAAGTTCCAGGAAAAGCAATAAACTAGATACAAAGTGTTTTGTACTCCTTGTAATCTATAAGATTTAAGCAAAGAAAAGTAAAGTCTGAAAATAATAAAAGAAAAAACGTATACGTAAGAATAAACCCAAGAGAGAGTGTGTATTACTTTACGGGGGATCGGAAAAAAGTCCAATGGGAAATGGGTTCGACTTTCCAGGATCGGGCATTTTCACTTCTGTCGAAGGCCATATCCTTGGTCATTTTTAAAATATCCTCTTAGGAGACACACTGATGTTATTGTAGAAAGATTCCACACAAATCTGCATCAAAAAATGGGAAAAAATTTTTTTTGCCATTTTTGATGAATTTTTATGATGGTACCCCTGGAAAATTTTCGAAAAATCTATCAAATTTTAGTTTACCAGTTTTTGATGCAGAAAGCAAGTACTCGGAGTGCTAAATTCGGAAAGGTAAGCCATTCTGGGATCAGAAGCTTACAAGCTGAGTTATGATCTTAAGAAGCTATGAAAATATCACTTTTTTTATGTTCTACCTATAGAAGTCCTAGAAATGCCCAAATCTTATATTTTGACTTCTCTCGAAGATCATATCTTTGTCAATTTTGAAGCGATCCTCAAAAGATATACACCGACGTATTTATAGAAAGATTCTCCATAAATCTGCATTAAAAACTGAGAGACAAAATTTTTTTCCATTTTCGATAAATTTTCATGATGACCCCTTGAAAAATTTGAAAAAATTTTATAAAATTTTAGATTGCCAGTTTTTGATGCAGAATGCAAGTACTTGAAGTGCTGAAATCAGGAGGGTATACCATTCCTGGATCAGACATCCATTAGCCGAGTTATGATCTTGAGAAGCTATAAAAATATTACTTTTTTCGTGGTTAGATATTTCAAGTCCTGGAAACCCTCAAATCGGGAATTATGACCCAAATTAAAGCCCATATCTTCTTCAATTTTAAAGCTATCCTTGAAAGGCACAAACCGTAGTAATTCTAGCAAAAATCGCCATCAATCTGCATTAAAATCTGAGGAACAATTTTTTTTAAGATTTTCGATGAATTTTTATGATGGTACCCCTTGGAAAATTTTGAAAAAATCGATAAAATTTTAGTTAGCCAGTTTTTGATGCAGAATGCAAGTACTCGAAGTGCTGAAATCGGAAAGGTATACCATTCCTGGATCAGACACCCATTAGCCGAGTTATGATCTTGAGAAGCTATAAAAATATTACTTTTTTCGTGGTTAGATATTTCAAGTCCTAGAAATCCTCAAATCGGGAATTATGACCCATATTAAAGCCCATATCTTAGTCAATTTTAAAGCTATCCTTGAAAGGCATACACCGTCGTAATTCCAGCAAAAATCACCATCAATCTGCATTAAAATTTGAGAAACAATTTTTTTTTACGATTTTCGATGAATTTTTATGATGGTACCCCTTGAAAAATTTAAAAAAATTTTTTAAAATTTTAGATTTTCAGTTTTGGATGTAAGAAGTAAGTACTTGGTGCGCTGAAATCGGAAAAGCATGCCATTCCGGAATCAGACATCTATTAGCTGAGTTATGATCTCGAGAAGCTATAAAAATACAACTTTTTATATGTCCCACCTATAGACGTCCTGGAAATAAGCAGTCTTATATTTTGACTTCTCTCGAAAGCCATATCCTTGTCAATTTTGAAGCAAACCCCAAAAGATATATACCGATGTAATCGTAGAACAATTCCCCACAAATCTGCATCAAAAGCTGAGACAAAAATTTTTCAAAGATTTTTGATGAATTTTTATGATGATTCCCCTGAAAAATTTGAAAAATATCTCTAAAATTGTAATTTTTCAGTTATTTAATGCTTCAGAACCTACTAGAAGAGCTGAAAACGGGAAGGCATGACATTCCTGGATCAAAGTTCTAGTTACTGAGACATGATCGTGGAAAGCCTTTGAAAATTCGAGAAGAGGGATTAGGTTTCGGATTTTCAGTTTGGGCCTCGAGCTTTCAAGTAACCTACATAAAAAGCGAGAAAATACAGAAAAGACAAGACATTTTGGGTTTTGTGTTAATTGTGCAATCATGGGATAACTGAAACAATGGAAAGTCTGGCGCGGAGGAGAGAACCCCAGTGGTGGCAAGTGAGCTCAGTACAAAACTGGATTTGACTTTTTGGGGGGGCACTATCTTAAGGCATTAATCTGGCCCCGGAATACGTGCTGGGCTTGGAAATGTGGCCCAAAAACAAATCAGATTTTCCATCGCGTCCATTTGCATGGCGATTTGCATTTGGATTGGACTGGATTGGATTCGGTAATGGAGCTCTCTGGGCCCCGAATGAATAGGGCATGGAGCAGAGCCATTGTCTGTCTGAATATTTTAATTTAATAATTTAACGAGTTTTATGTTAATGCTGTGCTTGTGATATGGGTCTCTTTCTCGCTTTCACATGCAACCATTTCAAAAATGTATCTACATCTGTATCTCCATGTTGCTGTATTGTTTTTTCATCTTTTTTTTTTTGGCATTTTGGCTGACATTTTGTAGTTCAAGGTGAGTGGCCTGATGGCTGATGTCTGCTGGCTGATGGCTGATGGCTAATCGAGCTAATTAGCATGGCCCATAGCCAAGTGCAGGCTACGCCCTCGGCAGCGGCACGACCCTCGGCCAAAAAACCTCCACACCTGCTTCGCCGGAGAACATCTGCCAGAGTTCACAGCGACCGTTGGCAGCTGGGCGTGGAAGATTAATTAGCACCCATCAGCTTTGTCACCCATTAGTCGCTCCTCCCTCCTGGACCAGTCAGCTCTCCTCCATCCCCATGCCCAGCCGCAACCCCTGCCTCCTCCTGCCTGTTCCTCCTCCATATTCATGGGGTCCAACTAATCAGTTCAAGGCCGCAGCTTACCCACCAAATATGCATAAATATTTCTGGCTTATCAGCTTTTACAGCTTTTTAATTTGGCAGCACCACCACCGCATCCGTACATACCTTGACTGCAGCACCTGGCCAGGTCGGTCTCCAAATGGTTTCCTGGAAAGAGAGAATAGTTCAGATATTAGTTTCCGACCACTAGACTGGTGAATAAGACTCGGTTTCCATGGAATCTGTCTAAGATAAGCCCACAATTGCTTCCAAGAAGCTTAGTTTAGTCTCTTTCTAAGATTAGTTCTCATACTAATACCCTTCTTAGAATTAGGAATATCCAGTAAGAGAGAGTCCTTCGAACGGTATAACCATTATCATAGTTAGAGCATTCAAACTTCGTTGACCATATCGACTGGTTATCTTAAATATTTGGATGCTTTTTAATTTCCAAGCAAGAGATTTACATGCGGGTCAGATGCGCCCTGGTGGCTTTGTTTTTGGCCCGCCTGGAAAGGGAGTGCGGCGAGGCGAGGTGTCTGGGGATGGGCCGCCAAATCGGGATTTACCAGACCAGATCGGCAATAAGCCAAAACAACAATTGGCCTAAAATCAATAAATTAATTAATAAAATATACAAATTGCGAACGGCCTGACTTGGCCCGGCCTGGCTTAGCTGCGAGACTTGGCGCGGATTGGGTTCGAAAAACCTGTCATAACCAGAGCCCAGGCCCGTGACAAATTGGCTCCGAAAAAACCAGAAGTGCTCCTGCCCGAGAGAGCTCGGGCCAGCATAGATATACTACCATTTACCATTGAGGCAGTGGCAAAGATTGAGGCTTTGAGCGGAGGTGGAGCATGGAGTTTGGAGTGGATATGGGCGGGAGGAGGTACTGCTGGGGCTGCAGGGGTGGGCAGGAGGGCGCAGTGCAGGGCGTTCGGGCCGCTCAGGCCGCTCAGACCGCTCCGCTCCGGCTTGGTCTGAACCTGTTGCTGTTGCCGCAGTCGACGTCGAAAATATCGGATTGGATTGGATGGCCTGGCCTGGCCGTAGGTTAACTGTGTGCACACGGCATAAGTAACGTTCAGTCTGCCTCTAGAAGTCGATCGTGATCGTGGCCAGTCAGTTCAGTTCAGCTGGAAGCCGACAACCGAAACCGACACCAACACCGTCACCGTCACCGATACCGAAGCTGAAGCTAAAGCCTCACCTCGTCCCTCCCAGAGAGATAAAAGTGCTATTTTTTTCTAGTTTAAGACCAAGCGCGCGCGTTTCGAGATCACCTCAAGAATAAATAATCCAAAATAAACCGAAGCATCCACGGATAAGCCCACTTAGAACAAAAAACTAAGACAAAATGAAGTACTTCAACATGTGAGTGAAACCTTTAAGTTTAAATGGAAAGTCCTCTTTTTGTTTTTCGTCACATATCCTAAAGGGTTCAGAGACCCGAAGGATTAACCTTTTTTTTCGAGTGATCTTCGAGTTTGTAGAAATCAGAGTCTTCTGTTGCGTCAAGTATGCACATTAGCAGCCATCGTTGCATGTTGCATGTCGGCGTGCAACCTTTTTGGGCCACGACAACTGGCAACTGGCAGGTGAAAGCCTGAATGTCTGAATGCCAATTTGAACTTTAAACCCGAGAAGCAAAAAGCAGAGCCGCAAATGCCAAAGTTTGGTCATGACGACGACGTCGTGGCAGATGAAGTTGTCACGGGACGAGCGGCTGGCATTTGCCGGCAAAGAAATGGCAAAGTTAAGTCCCCAGGCGGTCAGTCGCCAACTCGGGTGACATCTCGAGGCTGCAAGTAAAAGTTGCGAAAGGCAGATGCGTTTCAAGGTCGCCAGGAGATCGTCAGGGCCTCTCCACGAACGACATCCACTGTCAGCTCAGAAATGGCGAAAACCAGCCAGTGAGTTCGATGGAACCGCTTCTGGTGCGTGCGATTTTCTGGGCTGCAGTTGTCAGCTGCAGCAGCAAATTAAGTTTATTGGATTAATTACCAGACGTGGCTGCTGTTGGGGTTGTCTTATAAATTAACGGTTGCATTTCTAATGCGAGCTGACAGACAGACCGCGCAAACACCCAGACTCGCACAGAAATATCTGCATAAATGCAAAATACACGGCTGTACTGTGTGTGTAATGTGGCGTTGTCTGCGGGAATTAATCACCTGGGAACCGGGGTGGGGGGCGGTGTGGAGTCGCGGAGGGGCGCCAGATTGACGGCAAAATCAGGATTTCAGTTTAGTTTCGGTTTTATTATTATTTCTTGGCTTTTGGCTCTCGGCTGGCCCGGCTGGCCTGGCTTTTTAGCCCGGCCGCATTATGCAATTTGTATTTAAAAGAGATAATACCCGTGCACCTACGCGTGCTGCCGCGTCGATGGCTGGCGCGCCATCTCGAAGATTCAAGGACTGCGCAATCTCAAAATTGGCCAGGACCGAGCCAGGCCAGGCCATGCCAAACGAAATTCAATGTAAGCCGCGTAAAAACATAAACACAGCTCTGGGCCAAATCAAAAGACTTAGGCCGCAAACTCGCTCGATTTGGCATGCAGCCAGCGCACAACAACAACACTCACCGCCTCACCGCCTCACGTACACCGTGATACAATGCACCGTTATTGAACCCACTTGCCTTAAGCCACTTAGCTTTTTTATTCATTTAATTCAGCGCTCCACGCCACTCGGCCCGATGCGATTCAAATCGAGGTGGCAGACATAAAAACAGTGAGGCAGTTACGGTCGCATTGAATACGAATTTGAATCCGATTCGGTGGCCAATGTGCACGTTTGGCCCGTAATGGGCGCCGGGCCAATTAGAAGCCGTGCCTCGACTAACTAGGACAGCCGGAGCGATTAAGGAACCACCCGTGCCGCATATCAATTGTCTTTCATTTCACACCCGGTGCATGGCATTCTGGTCATCGGCACATCCGTATCGGATCGGCACTAGGGCTCAAAGATCAAAGCCAAGAAGACCATTAGACAGCCAAAGCCTTGCAAAAAGTATAAAGAGTACAAAAACTGGTAGAGTAGGAACAATCCAAAACAAAATGAGACAAATTAAAAGTCAAGCTACTTTGTTGACCAAGCTCTTAAAAATAAGACGATCATCATAGTGGTGGTGGCGATGATGATGGGCGGGGGATGGCCAAGACGATGATGATGATGCTGCATTAAACAAGTGTTTCCGCCTACCCCGACGATGGCGAGATTCTCGCCAACGCGATGCTTATCATAAATTTGCAACTAATGTCGGCTTATATAACCGGCTGACGGCACAAAAAAGCGGCTTACAACATGCGACTAGAGAAGCCTAGGCATCCCATCTACCCATCTACCTGTCTGGGCTCTGCCTGGCACATCCGTCTGGTGTCTGGTGTCCCATGTCCCCTGGGTGTGGGCTTTGTATCCCGTTGGCAAAACCGGTTTGCGAAGAAGCTCCGGGCCCTAGTAAAATGTCAGGCCCAGGTTCAGAGACTGGCAGGGGACGCGGAGTAAGTTCTATTAAATATAGCCATTATATCACTGAGTTCCCCGAACTATAAGTATTCTTACATTCAGAAGAAGCAACGCAATTTCTGGGCCTTTTATTTTTTGGAAAAATAAAAGCTAAACACTTAGCTCGCTTGTCGTTTCTGGGCGCGTCTGTGGCAACAGGTAGTGGCATGAATAATGATTTCGACTCCTCAGCGGAGGAGCTCAAGCCGTTGGAGATGCCAGACACGCACCCACAACGTTGTGGCGGGGGCGTACCGCTGCCGTACCCACGCCTTTCACCTTTTGCTGTTGCATAATTCGCACTGAACTGGGCCAATCCCAATCAGCTGACCCCAAAATCAGAAACAAAATAAATAAAATGCAGCTCCGTTCAGTTAATAGAGAAGAAATGGGCTTGCGAGTTGTGTGGCGGTGGCGGGGGAGGGGGAGGGGAAAAAAAAGGTAAAAAGAAATAAATAAAATGGCTAAAAATAAAACTCGACTTGGCTTGCACATTTTACCGTTATTGGCCAATAGACGAGTGCTGCTGCAGTGCAGTTTGCACTTAAATTGATTCTGGCGTGGTGCTGGCTTCCAACTGGTTTGCCACTTTGTTGTTGTTGTTGTTGTTGTTTTCTTTTTCTGTTGCCATGGCTGTTGTCTTTTGCATAAGCACCTGTTTCCTTTGGCCAAGCTCACGCCTCGCTCCCCCTCATCTACCGATCCCCCAAGGCCCCCGCTCTTAAAAGACCGAGCAGCGCCGCCTAGGAAAGAATTTCAAAACGAGTTCGCTGCCTAAGTCTTTTGTTTTGCATAAAATATGAGCAATCAAAAAAAAACAACAACAAAAACAACAACGGGCAAAACGCGAAAAAGCACAAAACAGTAACAGAGCAACATTCGAAATCGAAATCCAATTCGAAATCGAAAGTGAAAAAACCCGTTTGCCTGACCTTTACACATTAATAATAGTTAGCACATCTCCGACAAAAAAAAAAAAGGCATTAAAAAAAACTAACAAATCTTACAGGAAACCGAGTGACATTCAGCAGCTGGCTGGGCTGGCTGGGCTGGCTCTTTTGTTTTAATTCTTTTTCTTGTGAAACGTGTTTATAAATAAATTAGCTATTTTAATTTGAATCAGTGATGTCTTTTTTTTTCAAAGAGAAGACATTAAAGTCATCATATTTTTAGGCCTATTGTATGTGCCTGTTTTCAAAATGAAAAGATGATATACCATGCCATTGAGATCAGTTATATTTTTAGGATCTTAAAGCCACACCACCCTTCAAAAGTACTCTCCCCAATTATAGTCTAAAAATCTTAATATTATTTCTTTAATTTGCGAGAAAGTACAGTTTAGCATAATGCATATATATCGTTTATTTCGATACCGGGCTGGGTACATAGATTTACGATTTCAGGTTCTGTACGGAATAACCCGTCTGACCAGACCTGATCACTTTCAAGCACCAGATCCCGCTCCAGCTGGGAGTCACGAGGACTGGCAATGCCGAATTCCTGTCTCCTAGGAACTGACTAACCATGAATTTATTATTAATATCGTCTCTTCTCCCTTAGCTGCCTGCTCTTCATCTGCTGCGTCCTGTGCTACAGCCTGGTGGCTGCCCAAGAGGAGGGATCGCCGGTGTCGCCGGCAAAGAGGATCGCCGCCCTGCGCCGGCCCGTTGGCAAGTCCGCCAAGACCACCACCACAACCACACCGGCTCCGGCGCAGGGCGATGGCGCTGGCGAGGGCGAGGAGTACGACGAGGAGCTTGGCGCCGAGCAAGGCGAGGAGGGAGACGAGGCGGCTGCGGCAGCCAGCTCCACCACCAGCACCACCACAGAGGCTCCCAAGAAGGTCGGACCGGTGATCCGGCCTTTCCGCTCCAACGACGACTTCCTCAACTCCCTGAAGCGCCGGCAGGCCAACGCCAAGAAGCACCGCTCCGAGAAGCTGCCCACTCCCAGCAAGCCGGCTAAGGAGTCCTCCTCCGCTGAACAGGAGGAGGCGGCGGCGGCCCCAGCACCCGCACCAGCCCCCAGTCCCGCCAAGGGCTACAAGGGCAACTCAGCACGTAAGTGAAGCTAAGCCTCTGAAGATGTCTATGTTCTGACTCTCGTTTTTTCCGCCCGATATAGTAAGCCGTCGCAAGCTGTCCAAGCCCGGCAAGGCGGCGCCCGTGGAACAGGTGGAGGACGCTGCCGCCGAGGAGTCGGAGCAGCAGCAGAAGGAGGAGACGAAGCCCAAGCGCCCCATCGGCCGCCTGGCCCTGCGGAAGCGCAACTAAGAGGTGCCCCCACACTCCAAGCCCCACCACCTTCACTGCCGCCCACTACCCGCCACATCCCTCACCTCCAACTGAATCATATGGCTAGCTATGTGGCAGCCCGCTCTGCCCTTTAGTTCTTAGTTCGCAATTGATTTTTTGTGTATTGTATAAAATATATATAATATAATGTTATGTTATGTAAACACGCTCACGCCCACACCAGCAACACCCAACACCCGGTACCAACACCCTACCCGCCCCATCCCTCATGTCCGGCCACGAGGGCCCATATATTTCCGGAAGTACATGGGCACCGCTCGGTGCGCTCGGTCCCAATTATATATTGTTCACAATCAATCCATCAAACAGTAATAAAATCGAGAAAAGTACTTTTCGCATTTAGTTTTATTATAAATTACACGGGTGAAATCGGTTCGTTAAAAAAAAAAAACAGATCGGAACGGAGCTCGATGGCTACACAACTTCTTAAAATTTCGTAGATAAAATGGGGAATGTTTTTGTGGTTCGATCGGCGACTCAACAGGTCCCGCCGTAACATGGTTACCGCGAGAGTATAGTATGTTTATAAATATATGTTTCAAAAATATGCAATATTATAAGGCCCTCCATAGCCCCGTCTCTTTCGACTTTGCGTTCGCCTCCTGGGTGTATGTATATATCCGTCTCTCTCCGATTCGTTCCATCGTTGCTTCGCTTTGCTTACAAAAATATAATATAGATCTGTGTATAAAATATATATATATATCGAGTTTAACATATCTCTTAGCGCACTATTATTATTCGAACAGTGTTTATAGGCAGGTTCCAAAATCGTACACGCTCACGACACAGACCGACGTTTGACAAGAACAGAGAGCGAAATGCATATGGTGTATATGTGGTCAGTACATGGTCCTGTCGGAGGTCGGCAGTCGAACTCTTTCCGGGTGTTTCGGAGAGTGCGTGGAAGGCACATTGCTTTCTCTGAAGGATACTCGAGGGGCGGGAGTAGGAGTGGGGAATGTGTGTTTGCTAGAATGTGCTGGATGGATGTGCTGCCGCTGCCGGCTTCAATGACTTTACAATGTTTCGAGCGGGTTAAGTACAGTTGCCAAGCTGAATGTTAATACTAGTGTTCGTCCCTTGGCGCCGCGGTGCCGGCCTACGGGTGGTGCCGTGAGTTCCGCATCAGCGGCACCAGCAGCGACGGCGGCCCCGCCTGGCGCAGGAACGGATGCGCCAGCAGCTCCGCCGCGGTGGCACGCTGCGCCGGATCCCGCACCAGCATCCTGTCCAGGAAGGACTGCAGTCGCGGCGACACCTTGTGGGCGTTCTTCAGATTCGGCGGCTGCATGTCCCGGATACGGCGCATCGCCTGCAACGGCGGCTCGTTGAAGAAGGGCGGCTCGCCGTCCACCATCTCGATGACCATGATGCCCAGCGACCAGATGTCCACTTCGGGTCCGTAGGGCAGGCGGGAAATGACCTCCGGCGACATCCAGTATGGCGTGCCCACCAGACTCTTGCGCTTTGGCAGCTCCTGGGAGACCTGGGCGCAGAATCCAAAGTCCGACAGCTTCACGCGCCCATCAGCGGCCAGGAGAATGGAGTCCGACTTGATGTCTCGATGGATGACGCCCTACGGTAATCAAGAGCAAGAAAATTGTTTAAAAGCTGGTTGCACAGTTTGCGGTTTTCCCCTTGGGACCGACGGCTGCAACTGCCGTTCCAGATGCAGCCCACGCCCTTTCTCCCAGCCACTTATCGTGTTGCAAGTATCGTGGGACAAAAATGCCAGAGAACCAGGCCCCCAGAACACTCTCTAACAAAGAACAAGAGCCACTTCCCGCTGTGAGTCACACACTAACGAGATTTCTTTTTTCGATGCGACAGGTGTAGTGAGGCGAGTGAGTGGTTTCGGTTTGGGGTAGGGCCTGCACGTGCGATTTCTCTAGCCACGTTTTGGGCGTGTAACTCGGGCCAGTGCTCCACTGTGCAGCCCGGCGACAGTGGAGGTGGCGGTAGCGGTGACAACATTTAGAAATTGAAACCAAAGCGTCGCGAAAGCGGAGGGCGAAGAAAGCGCCACAAATGGCAATGTCACAAAGAATCGAATCGAATGTACAATGGGCTGGGCTGGGCGACTAGGGAGGCTAGGGGGACTGTGGCTGTGGCTGGGCCAGGGGACTGCTGGTCACGCACCTGTGAGTGCAAATAGGCCAAAGCCTTCAAGCACTGCTTGCAGACAGTGGCTATCTGCTCCTCGTCCATCCGCGAATGGGTGACGATGTCGGTGAGGGCGCCGCCTTCCAGATACTCCATCACCACCCAGAGCTCGTCGTTGACCAGAAAGCTAGAGTACGTCTCCACGATGTTGGGGTGGTGGTAGTCGCGCATGATGACCACCTCGTTGAAGAGCAGCTCTCGGCGCTGCTGCTTGCGCAGGTCCATCTTCTTCACGGCCACCTGGCGACCTAAAAAGCATTGTGATGGGTTACACCTCGTCCAATAAGCTCGTCTCGACTATATGCAGGACTTACCTGTGGACTTGTCGGTGGCTATGCAGACAGTGCCTGTCGATCCCTCGCCGATCTTGTTGAAGTGATCCAGGTTCTCGCGGGGATCACCGGCCGACACTACCATCTGGAGCGCGGCGCGGAATTGCTCGTGGGTGAGGCGTTGCTCCTGCTTCGGTTGCGCTGCGCCCGCCTGCTGGGCGGCCGTCAGGTTGGCGGCACTGCCCGCTCCGCCGCTTGAACTGGAGGCGCGGGACGCCGACTTGGCCAGGTGGTTGTGTGGATGCGGATGGGGGTGCGGGTGCAGGGGATTCAGGTTCTGATCGCCGCCGCCAGCCCCTGGTTTGGAGGGGTACATGGGTGGGAATCCGGGGCCGCCGCTGGCATTTCCATTGTTGGTGTGTGAGTGGGTGGATCGTGTTCCGCTGGCCACCGAACCCACCGGGGACGTTTGCTGGGGTATGGACCCGGGCGGGGCCAGGTTGCTGCGATACTGCTGATCCGTGCGCACGGCCAGCGGCCCGGTGACTGAGGCTCCTGCTCCCCCGTTGGCGTGTGGATGCTGACTCGGATAGAGCATGGGATGACCCGGCGGCTTAAATGCTCCACTGGGCGCTGCGCCCGCTCCCCCAATCGAGGCGGTCTCCTCCTCGGGCACCGAGGGCGGCACATTGGCCACCCGGCGCACTCGCGGCGGACTGGAGCTTCTCAGGGAGTTGGATCTGGCCACGTGCGATGTTTTCGGAAGTATGATGCCTCCACCGCCGCCAGGCTCGCCTGGCATCATGCCATGTTGGCCCATCATTCCGGGCATGCCAGGACCTGGCATGGGCATCGGAGGACCGCCCGAGGACATCATCATCGTGCTGCTGCTGTTCAGCGATGTGGTGTCCGCCTTGTTGTTGTTGTGGTGCGGACGCACGATGGTCTTCAGGTCGAGAATCTCCGTGGGCGTGATCTCCGAGGGATCCACCAGCGGCAGGGGACGGTTGGTGGACTTGAGGATCTGGTTGTTGCCCACAATGGAGGCCCATTGGAGCGGGAGGCCCACATACTTGTTCTCCCGCTTGTCGAAGCCCGTGTGCACGCGATGCTCAAAGTTGCTCGGCATCGAGATCAGCGGTTTCTTCTTCTTCTTTGAGAACATGTTGGAGGTGGTGGTGGCTTCGCCCAGTTCCGGTCCGAGCCGCTATCCGATCCGAGATGGTGGTGCGCCTGGTAGTGGCGACTTTTTCTTTACCGCCCTTTGCAATAACAACTGCCTTCCAGACCTCGGACAGCTCACAGACACTCGCACACCAACAGGCACGCACACATAGCAGCACAGCAGACGCGACTGGGGAACGGAATTCGGGAAACTGGAAACGACCTGCTGGAAAGCTGCAATCGAATCCTCGCCAGCGGCAATCAGCACATTTCTCAACGGCCCCGACACACGTTCTTCAATTACAGACAGCACAAAAAACACAATTCGATGGGGGGCGGAAAAAAAAATAAACTAAAGAAAATAATTGCCGATGCCAGACACTGTGGTGTGACCGTATCTCGCTTGCCCGATAACACCGACAGCACGGGCCCAGCAGCCTGTACTCTGACGGGGGTAACTTTTGGCGCCCACGGCGAAGGTCACACTCGCTTTTAAAACGTGCTCTTTTTCAAAGTTTTCAAATCTTTAGGAATAGGAATAATTATCAGAACCCTTTAATAAAACACAGCGACATATTCTCTCACATATTTATGTATTTCTGTCGTTTTTAAATTATCATACCGCATATATTTACTTATTTACATTATGATACCTTCTCTCGAACTTAGATTCTTCCGATTTCCGTTCTTGATTCTTAAACATGATCAGTTTAAAATTATAATAAAATGATTAAAGTTTATCTGTTAAGAATATACGTTTCTATTCTGACCTCAAAATAATTCCCGCTCGCTGCCACCGACCGACCTGTCTCCGTGGCCATATAGGTTTGTTGTTTGTTTACGTTGCTAGATAGTTGTTTGCCTTAAGTTTTGTTCCTCATATTGGTTTCTCCGATCTCGCTCCTCCGGCGGCCGTGATGTGTGCCCCTCCTCTCCGGACACATAAAAAATATTAAATCAAGAACTAACATTAGACTCCCCTGCAACCGGGCCCGTCCTCCTCCCGATCCTCGATCCTTAGCCACTCGGCGTCTCACACACCCGTTGCCACAAAAAAATTGTCTAATCAAAAATGCTTTACTTATATAGGTTTATGCTAGACTCCCGCGCGTCCTGACAGCTCTACAATTTCACAAAATAATTAATTCGTAATTACTGTGTAATAATTATAATTAATACAAATAATTTATATATGTATACAATGTATGTATAGAAGCACACATGTTTCAAATAATTAGCGTTACAAATAGATTACAATTTACAGATCGGTGCCGTTGACGGCTTCTGCGACTTCTTTAGTTACATATGTCTTCCACGACCCGTTGCGGCCGTATACATACACGTATATATATATATAATTATGTATATATAGATATATGCGTTACAAATCAACAAATTAATAAAAAAAAAAAATTATATTCGTATTAAATATAGACACGATCTGGAGGGAGCTCGAACCGCCACTCGCACGAATCGTGTTTAAAACAACAGTTTCACTTTAAACATAACTTATTCAACTAAAGTGAAGATTTGGAGGCAGGAGGCTGCTGCTCCACATCCTTGCCTACACTTCCTCTTCCTGGGCTCCATTTGGCCTGTTGATAACTCCAGTGTCCTTAATTCCAACTCCTTTGTGTCCTCTTCTCATCTTCTTTCAGTGTTTTGTGGTTAACGAATACGATTTCAGAGGGGGTTCCGGTTCAAAATCTTCATATCAGGTGTTAGTCTCGGTGTTCCGGCTCGGCGTTGGGCGGGCCTTCGATTCTCTTTGAGCGGCGCACCAGCTTGTATCGGCTGAGCATCGGGTTGTGTTCGGAGCGAACGGCAGGCTTGGTGTTCCGATCTCTCACAAAGGTTCTGTGGCGACAATTCGGACTATTGGAGGTCTTTGCGTGGGCGGCCATACGCCTGGTGACGATTGTGGTTGCTAACGGCGTCGCCGGGGGAGGGATGGCTCCTTCCGATGATGGTAATTCGTCCGGCTGCGCCTTCGCTTCGGCCTCCTCTCCCTTCGCCTCCTTCGCTTCTGACCCACCGGACGCTCCTCTCACAAAACGGTACTTGCCCATGCGCTGCTGGAGTCGGTGGACCAGCTGCTGCCGCTCCACCTGCAGCTGTTGTTTCCGTTCACTAAGCCGGCGACTAAGTCTCTGAACCATAGTCCTGGCATAGTTCGCATCCTGAATCGGTTTAGGTTCCCGCCCATCCGTAACACCTACTACTTCGTTTACTCCTGTTTCCGTTTGTGTTTTCGCCGATCCCGATCCCGAGCTCCCTCCTAATCCAACGGCTGCCGGAGCACATGCATGCGCAGTTGCTATCTCGGCGGCCGATTGCGATGCCATTTCTACCGGGGCGTGTTGCGACGCATCGTCGTGTGGATCTTGCGACGCGTCTGCGAGTTCTGGGCTGGTTTGCCGGCGGTCGGCGGATTGAAGCTGTGGATGGAGAGATCAGGTCAGTTACTGTTCTTTGGAGTGGGCTTTCGCTAAGACACATGTGGACACCTGCAGGCCAGCAGGCCGTGATCCTTGGGGGATGGCCAGAACGATAAAGGGTTAGCTCAGAGGATAAAAAATAAAATGGAGGCGCGCGGCGACTGGATGAGACACAAAACAAACACAAATCAATCTCTGGGTGAGTAGTCTCTGATTAAGTTACAGCGAGACCGGGCTGGGCTGGGCGAGTCAGCAGTGCTCCGGTCTCCTCCGATTAACAAACAAAAAAAAAACAAACAAACTGAACAAAACAAATGCCTTAGGAATAGTTAGGGTATTGAATGCAATTAATGGTTAATAATGCTGTTGTTGTGTCGTTTCTCGTGTGTGTGACTGAAGGTTGGCCAATTGGGGGGTGGGGGAAAACAGGAGTGGGTGCAGGTGCTGGTGCATCTAGCATCCCTTGATCGCTAGGCTGGTGGACACAGATCCCCACCGGATGGGTTGGGCTCGGGCTCATACTTACGCAAAGATATTGGCGGCTGGCGCTGTGGCACCGGCGCTAAATTGGAACGGTGCGTTGGCATTCGGCGTGGACTGCAAAAAGAACATTTTCGATTTGTTTGCCTTGGTAAGTTTGAATTTTGCAAGATAATTTTATAAGCATTGGTTTTTGTTTTCTTTTTTTTTTTTTGGGTATTGCAATGTTGTACGATGTGGTGGTCTTGGTGGTCGGTTATTAACGCAATGAAGGATATGGATGGAGGATGGATGGATAGAGTGGTGGTGGTGGGCGGGTGGATTCGTAAACTCCTCGCGGTGTTCGTGTCGGTGTGGTCTTAAGATTAGGATTAGAGTATATATATATATGTGAAGAAGCAAGCGGCGTGCAAATCTACTCGGTCTACGTGGCACAGAAAACACACAGAAGCAGGCTAAACATGCTACTAATGCTACAACGAATGATGCATGAATGAAGGCATGAACAATGACACAGCAGGAGGGTGACTGCATGGCCACAACGGGGAGCTCTAGTGGACTCCCCACCTGGGGCTGAGCTTCCTAGCCGTCCTACAGACACTGGCGATCGTAATCGTGGTGGCGCTATGCGGTGGTGTGTGTGTGTGTGGTGTGGTGTGGTTGAAGTTAGCATTCGGGTGTCTTGTGGTTAATCAAGTCTGCAAACTCTGGTCGTGATTGGGCATTACCTGCATCTGCATCTGCGGCGCTGGGGCGCCAAAATGAAACACGCCCGCTCCGCCGCCCACGGAGGAGATGGAGGTGGAGGTGGAGGAGCCGAATCCTCCAATTCCCATTCCCATATTGGCAGATCCAAATCCTCCAGCTGCAAAGCCGCCAGTGGCCAGAGGACCTGTCTGCGGAGCCGTCTGCGAAGGGCCAAAGTGGAAGACACGCGACTGCGCCTGCTTCCGGTCATTGACCGACCACCAGTTCATGTCCGATTCGGATTCGGATACATATTCAGATTGGGATTCAGATTCAGCAAGTGCCATTTCATGTCATTGATTATTGTAATTGGTGGTAGTGGTTGGTAGTTGGTAGTGGCGGTAGGACGTGTCCGTGGTCAGTTCGGAGAGTGGACAGTACGGTGGTTAAGAGAGATACGGATTGCCCAGTTGGCGCCAGGAAGGTAGGAAGTTAATAGTTTACATTACGTTTGGATCGATAGATCGATCGAGGTGAGTGGAGTGGAGGGCATGTGGGTAGTAGTGGGTAGTAGTGGGTGTAGTAGTGTGTGTGTATAGGATAAATAAAAGATAAAAGAAAGGAGAGAGAAAAAATACAAAATAATATATAAGTCAATGTATATATGTATAGTGAGAAAAGGCGGTCGGTCCGACACGGGGCGGTCCGCAAAGGGGCGTGCCGTGCCGGGCCGGGCCGATCGATCATGGCAAGCTATCGCTATTTAGTTGGCATGCAAGATACACGGATATACGGAAATCAAGAGATCAATTACGGAAATATTCAACGGACAGCTATGTACGTGGGCTACAACAACCGTAACAATCGCAACTTTGCATGGATGAGAAGTGAGAGGTACGGATACTGATACTGATACTGATCGCGCATCGCGCATCGTGCTCTGCTCTTCCATCGATTCGGGACACTGCCCGGGGGATACTACTTACATCACCGCCGCCCATGGTGGGGGCTGCCGAGCTCGCCGAGAAGTTAAATGCCTGCGGGGTGGAGGCCGTCACTCCCGTGAAGTTGAACGTTGGCTTCGGCGGTGCATCGCTGCTGACTCCAAAGTTGAAAGGAGCTCCGCTCTGTTCCACCGAGAAAGAAAAAAAGGAAAAGCTCTATTAGCAATCCGGTACATGGACTAGGAGAGGATTAGATGGAGATGGGGACTGTTACCAATAATAACCGATCGTTGGCTCTGCGCATCTTTCTTCCAAAGTATCAGAATCACTAACTCAAATACTAAGTTCTAAGTCACTTAAGCACTGACTAGTTACTAGTAGTAACCACTAACTCAATGCCAATGTGATTGATCCTAAGGCTCTGTTAATCGATTTCCGATTATGCAGCCCTGAAGTCTTTCCCTACAGTCCCCCATTCCCATTCCAAAACCAAACCAGGTAAAGCAAGGCATACTCACAATGGAGGCGGCTGCTGGTGCTTCGCCAAAGTTAAATGCAAGCTTGGCGCCCGACGGCGCTGAGGTGCCTGTGGTTCCTGACGCGGCCGCTCCGAAGCCGCTGCTGGTCACTCCGCTGCCGAAGACCGGCGCCGCCGCCCCAATGGGTGTGGCGCTGGCGCTGCCAAAGATGTTGGCAGAGGCGGGCGCGGCTACAGCGGGCGTGGCTGTGGCTCCCGGGTTAACCATCGAGTTGCCGACGTTCCCAAAGACCTGGTGCATCGGACCATTGCCGCCCAGGCTGAACGAAGGGGCCGGAGTGGCGGCTGCCGTGGTGGTCGTCGATCCGAAGGGGGAGCTGCTGGTGGCCGGTACCCCGAACATGGAGCTGCCGAACGTGACCGATGTGGCGACGCTGCTGGGGGCTGCCATGCTGTTGGCGCTTGTGGTTGCTCCATTGCTGGGCCAGCCGCCAAAGGTGGGTGCCACCGAGGTCGTGGCGGCGGCAGAGCCGAAAGCGAACGGCTTGGATGGGGTGGTCGCCAACGCTTCCGACTTCTTCTCAGCCCCGAAGTTGAAGACCATCGGAGTCGGGGTGGTGAGAGCGCTGGAGGTGCTGACGATGCTGCTGGATATGCTGCTGGTTGAGGTGCTCACCGAAATGCCAAAGATCGCGCCCATGCTGGTGCCAGTGGAGACCGTTGTTGGGACCGTGGCGGCCGGGGCAGCTGGTGCCGGTGGACCCTGGCCAAAGAAGAAGGTCCCTGGGGCGACCGCTGGCTTTCCAAAGTTGAAGGTGGGAGCCGGCTTCGGGACAGACGTGGCTGCTGGCGCCGGGTTAGCACTGAAGGTAGTCGTGGTTGAGGTTGCGGCTGAAGTGGCGGCACTTGCACCAAAGCCTCCAAAGCTCAGCGCGGGCTGGCTGCTGGTGCTGGTTGTGCTGCTGGCGGCACTCGAGGTGGCGGCTGTTCCGAAGCTGAAGCTCGGCTTGGCCGGAGGAGCGGCGGCGGTGGTGCCCGTCGAGCTGGACACAACCGAAGAGGAGGCGGCCGGGGATCCGAAGCTAAACAGGCTCGGAGTCGCGGTGACGGCACTGCTCGTGGCCGTGCTAGTGACATTTGAAGTGGTCGGTGCTTTGAATACAAACTGGCTAACTGGAGACGGCTCCGCTGCTGCCACTGGAGCAGGAACTGCGACTTTGTTGGACTCTACTGGCACTGCCACTGGTGCCGGTGTCGGTGCAGGCGCTTCCTTCTTGTCATCCTTGAAAGTAACCGCCTTTGGCTGCTCCACCTTTCCGAGGCCGAACGAGAATGCCGGCTTGGCTGGTTCCTGTGGCTTCTGGCCACCGGCCACGTCCTTTGCGGCACTGCCCTGGCCAAAGCCGAAGGCGAACGCAGCCGGGGCAGGAGCTGCGGCTGCGGCTGGAGCAAGCAGAACGGCTGGCTTCGATGTGGGCACTTCCTTGACGGCGCCAAAGCCAAAGCTGAACTTGGGCACAGCACTGGCTTCGGTGGATGCCGAGGAGCCGGTGGTCGCCGGGGCTGCGGAGCCGGGCCGGGCCTGCTCGCAGCAGATGCACTTCGCGCGGGAGATGTCGTTTTGCGCCATGCACGTGTCGCAGTCCCAGTTCTGGGCCTTCTGCTTGGCCACCAGCTGCTGGAAGCCGGAATCGGCCTTGGGTGGCTGTGGTGCTCCGAACTTCAAGGCTGGGCCACCGTTGCTGGATCCGCTGCTGATGCTAATGACCGACGGCGTCGATGAGGACACCGATGACGACGACGACGAGGAGTTTGAGTTGCTATTGGAGGCAACGCCCTCGCTGCTGTTCCCCTGGGGGCTGTTGCTCACATTTCGGTTGGGTACCTGGCAGGCGACGCACTCCGTCGCACTGGACTGGTTCATCACCAGACACGTCTGGCACTCCCAGGTGTTGGCCTTGGGCTTGAAGGCGGCCCCGAATCCGGACCCAGACAGCGGAACTAGTGGGTTCGACGGCGGCGGAGCTGTTTTTCGCGGCGTCTCGCAAGCGACGCACTTGGTGGCCTCCTGCTTGTTGGAGAGCATGCAGGCGTCGCATTCCCAGGCACTCGACGACTTCTTGAAGCGATCCCCGAATCCGCTGGCGATTGGCACGATGGGCGGATACGGCATGGCCACCATTGTAGCAGCCGCCGGCTTCGCACCTGGCTTCGGCGACTCGCAGGCTACGCACTTGGAGGCCTCAGACTTGTTCCGGACCAGGCACAGGTCGCACTCCCACTCGGAGGCCGACTTCTTGAACTGGTCGCCGAATCCGTTGATGGCTGGCGTCGTCGATTGTGTCTTGGCCGGGACAGTCTCGTCCACCTCGTCCGAAGAGCTTGACGATTCCGAGTCACTGGACGAGTCGTCTTGCACCGCTTCCGATAGGCCAGAAGGTGGCTTAAATTGGAAATAACGAGTAGGGTTCCTCCGACGGAGCGGCGCGATCAGTTCTGCCTCCAGTTGGGTGGGTGTGGGAAAGCTAAACTCCCGTGGGTGGGTGGGCGTCGCCTTGGAGGATGCATTGCCGTTTTGAGTTACATTCGATGACGGAGCAGGTTTGGCTTGGACTAGATTGTCTCTAGACATGAAGTTGGACCTCCTGTTAGGATCCTGAGAAGATGGAGTCGGAGTCGGGGCTGCAGACACCTTGAACTGCAGGTCGAACTTGGGGGTGCTGGCCATGGCCGGGAAACTGATCTGCGGCAAGTCGAGAGGTCGGGGAGCCTCCTCCAAGACCTCTGAGGGCTGCTTGCGCGTCTGATGGGAAATCTTTGAGCGCATTTTGTTGGTGTGCTGACTGTGCGCCTGCTCCCCCGCGGATGGCTGTGGGGCATTTGACTGGCCACTGCTGAGGGTGTTCCTGTCAGCGCGCACAAGATCCCTGGAGGTCTGTGTTACTCTGTGAAGGCGGCGCCGCTCGAGCAGCTGCTGCATCGTGGGCACCAGCAGTTGGTTGGAGCGCAAATCCTCCAGCTCGGCAACCGGCGTTTTGGGTGCGGGGCTGTCGCTGTTGGCTTCAGTCATCGCGTATGGAGTACGCCGCTGGCGACTTTGGTGCTCCCTGAGGGTGCTGCCCATCCGCTTGGCGTCTATAAGCGGCGTGGAGTAGCTGTCCAGCAGGCTGAGGATGCGCTGTGTCGTATTTGATAGGTTGGCGTTCCTACTTTGGGTATTGGCGTTGGCTGATGGTGCTGTTCCTTCTTCTACTTGGTTGCTATCAGTGTTGCTTGGTTTCATATCCACCGGCTTCAGTCCGTAGCTGATGCCTCCCAACAAGACCTGGGCCGGGGAGCTGCGTCCCGAGTTGACGGCCAAGGTCGAGGAGGCGGCCGAGGAGCTCAAATTGTTCTGACTGAAGACCCGGTTGTTGGCCGCATTGCCTCCGAAGGTGGTGCGTCCCTGGTAGAAGGGTGAGCTCGAAGAGGAGGCGGTTGGCGAGGCGGCGGCGGCGGAGGCACTACGACTTAGCAGTCGGCTGTCGCTGAGGGCCGAGGTGCTGCCGTAGATGGAGGCGTTGAAGCGTCGGCGCCGGTTCAGTGAGACCAGCGACCAGCTGGAGTTGTGGCGCGCCGGCTGCTGGCTGCCCGCGGTCGTGTTCAGCCTATTGAATATGGACTTGGAGCTCTGCAGGTTGCCGTAGAACTCGAGGTTGCTGTTGCTGCTGCGCAACCCGTCGTTGTCGCAGTTCTCCTCGTACTCGTTCAGTTCACTCTCGGAGTGCGAGTCCCCGATGGCGCCCACTCGCCTGCTAGACTTGATGACGTTGTTGTTAATGTTGTTGGTGTTGTTATTGTTGGATTTTGTTATCCCCAGCAACTGATCTTCCTCGCCCGTTCCAATGCCCAAGAGGGCCTCCTCGTAGTTGCGTTCGGTGGGCGCGTAGTTGCCCTGATGGTTCAGCGCCAATCGGCCCTTGATCTTCGTCAACAGGGAGGAGGAGAGGCTGTTGTTTTGGCTGCCGCTGCTTGTGCTGCACGGTATATTCAACGAGCGGCGTATGCTGCAAGGATGAAGCGGATTTCAAGATCAAGATTGGATTTCTTTTGTGGATTATTATATATATCGTTCGACCCAACGACTCTTTGCTACGAGACTACGAGTAATGTGATATTTCCAAGCCTACTACAGTAGAACTGTTCTCACCTGTGGGGTACTTCCTCGGTGGCGGCCAGGAAGTTGTAGGCGGGCTCCCGCTGACGCTGGCTGGCGAACTGATTGAGGCGGGTGCGCCGGTGAGGGCCCTGCTGGCGCTGCTGACTGCTGTTTCGCGACTTCAACAACTGTGATTCGGTGGCGGCGATGGCGGGGACTGGAGCGGCTGGCGTGGAGGACCCTAGGGGAAGCCTTCGCATGTTTGGCAAAGTGACGGTGGTCTCCAGCTACAAATGGTTACAAATGGGCCGTGAAATTCAGGTTAGAATACTAGGCCTAGTAGTAGTCTACACTCACCATTTCCATCCGACGACGTTTGTGCGCTGGCATGGCTGAGTTTGGCTCGTCATCGTCATCATCCTCGTCTCCCTCCTCCTCCTCTTCTACCTCCTCGTCGTCGACGTCCTCCTCGGAGCCATCGACGTTCTCGTAGGGACCTCGTCGGGCGTCCAGTCGCTTGCGCAGCTGGAAGACACTTTCGCTGTACTCACTGCGACGGGTTTGCTCGTCCTCCGCCGCCAGATCGTGCTCGGCAATGTTATCCGCCAGGGCCACTTCCTCGTAGTTCAGGCCCTTGGCATCGCCCACATCGAAGCCCGCGGGCGAGTCCTCAGCACCGCCGTCGGCCGCCAATTCGATGCGGCAGCGACCTCGCTTCCGTTTCTGGGCGGTGCACCCGTTCGGCTGTTGATTTGTCAGGAAAACTGGATCCGCGCTAGACTTTGACGAGGGAGAGAACCACCCGCTCAATGACGAGGGTAGGATGCTGGAGACGCGCTTCTTCACTTTGCCCATGATCGACTGGTTGGGAGGATAATCACAAAAGTTTATAAAAAAAAAGCCCTCTGGCGGCGCTTCGAGAGAAACTGTACTACTACTCACATTATTGTTGCGGCCTCCCGCCGAGGATTCATCCTCTTCTTCGGGCGACTCCTGAATGGGCGCCAACGGATGCTGCTGTTCGCCCGCCGCTCCCCCTCCCGCACCACTCTCCGAGGACAAGCCGCGTTGCGTCTGCTGTCCGTCCTCGAATTCCGACATTGTGTCAACCTACTTCTGGTTCTGATTTTCTGCCGCCACAAAAAGATGCGCCGCGCACACACTGTTGCAGCAGCAAAATAATAATTGGCTCACACTGTTTCAGCGAGCGCGTGTTGCTGTTGGTGAAAATGATAAGGCTAAGTTCGCTTTTTTTCAAACTATGTATTTTGCGCGGATTTTGCGCGAATTTCACCCGACATTTCTTGCCATTTCCATTTTTTTCAACTTGCGCACACACACTCGCACAATCACACGTATGCACACGCTTTTTTTCTGCCTTTTTCCGACACCTGGCTTCTGTGCATACCTTTCACATGTATGTTGCGTCACTTATAGTGCGGTAAACTTCTCGTTGGCACTTTGTTCAAAACTCTTCCGCAATGTATAATATTTTTCACTTTTAGGGAATTGAATAAAGGACAAACCACGCTAAAATGGATGGCTGACAGTGTTGCCGGACGGCGCGTGCGAATTTCACGAGTTTCACGTTTTGGTATAATTTGGTATAATTTTAGTATAAAAATACTGAATACCAATTTAAGTACATTTTCAAACCGGTTATTACGTTTTCTTAGTAACTACACTTTATATTGTCATTTAAAATTAATTAAAACTATTTTTATATCTAATTTCAAGAAAAAAAAGTATTCGATTAATCGATTTTTTTGAGCAGGCCACTTGTGAGCTGAGGTCTGGCAGCTCTGCATGTGGCACTCTGGCAACTTTGGGTTGGGTTTCTGCATTAGAAAAATAACATACATCGGAAACAAAACAAAGTCCGAGGCTGAATGTTTGCATAAATACACATTCAAATCATCCGGAGTCCGGCAGCGGAATCGGAATAGGAATTCAGTAGTCACCGGAGTATTGCGGAGTTCCGTTGGAGCAGCCCATCCTGCCCCACCAGCCGGAGCAAAGCAACAAAAACAAAGGAGAGAGGAATTTGCGTTTTAGTGGTTTTTCCGTCGCAACTGACGCCAATCCTACGCCGTAAAACCAAAATGGTCGAGCCTATTTTCGAGTATCAATTCCGGTTGATCCTCATCGGGGACAGCACCGTGGGAAAGAGTTCGCTCCTGAAATTCTTCACAGACGGCAAGTTCGCCGAGGTTCGTATATCCTGTCTTTTGTCCCACTGTGCGGGGTGGTTATCTGACTTGGTCCACTGTGCGCCAGTGTGTCAAGTGCGATCGAGTGCGCAATGTGGGATGCAGTCAGTGTGCGTCAGATTACATAATTAAGTAGACAAGGGGCGCAGGGAGTCGTCGGAGCGAGATGCTGCCTTAGTCATGTGTGCGCTATATATATATTCACCTATCTATTTAAATATATATATATACGTATGTCTGCTGCTACCTGATAATGCAGGGAGGAGCCAGGGCCGAAAAGGCGCGCGGTTCAAACAGTGACGAGAAAAGAACACACCAGATGGAAAATCACGTCTTTTAACGCTATTTTTTTACCCTATTTCAGCTGTCTGACCCCACGGTCGGTGTGGACTTCTTCGCCCGCCTTATCGAAATGAAGGACGGCACACAGATCAAGCTCCAGCTGTGGGATACTGCCGGACAGGAGCGCTTTAGGTCAATAACCAAATCTTACTACCGAAACTCTGTAGGCGTGCTCCTGGTGTACGACATATCCAACCACGCTAGCTTCGAGCACATACCGCTGTGGATGATGGAGGCCCAGCGTCACATCGAGCCCCACCGACCCGTTTTCGCCCTGGTGGGCTGCAAGCTGGACCTCATCAATGCGGGCGGGCATCGGGAAGTGACCACGGAGGAGGCGTCCACGTTTGCCAAACAACACGGCCTGCATTTCGTAGAGACATCGGCCCGGAGCGGTGCCAATGTGGAGGAGGCCTTCCGCATGGTCACCCAGGAGGTTTATGCCCGAATTCGGTCGGGAGAATACAAGGCCGAGGACGGCTGGGATGGTATAAAGTCGGGTTTTGCGCGGCCGAATAGCCTGGACTTTAATCTCATCGTCGCCGATCCGGAAAAGTCCTCCTGTTGTTGATTAATTCTCCTGATCCCTAAACATTGTATCTATGGTTTAGATTCGTTTCGTTTTGTTCGTTCGAGTCCATCTTTGTTGATTCTTTTAACCTTGTTTACAAATTATCGTCTAGTTAAGCAGAAACACCAAAACAAGACACGTAATATATACAATCGAGTATATATGTATATTGTATGTACAATTCGTTTTCCGAATTAAGTTTAGTTTCGCTCTTAAGTTAAGGACTAATCACGGTGACTCGATTGAGTTCATATATATAAATTGTAACAATATTTTCAAATTATTTCGAGAGTCACTCCGGGAGGGAATACGTAGCCGAGTTTACGAACTCCTCACTCATACCATACACAACACATAACATTAATATACGAAGGAAAAACTATACACCTACTTGAACTTGAAATATAAACGTTTTTATTAATACATAATAAATGGCTGTTTTTGGTAGAATAGTCTTATCTATAAGATACTTCTTTTATGGAAGGAATTTTAACTATAGAATCTAGTAATCCTTTGAATCAAGTGGGCTGGGAATTTATAATCGTAAGAAGGGAGCATTTTTTTACTCGTTGTGGATAGTCAGTCATCATATTTGTTGGCTAATAGTTGATAGTTTCTGATTCAGAAAATAATTATTCGTTGGTAAACTATTCGTAAGTAAACTTCTTAACTTTAAAAAATCATGGACTTGCATATTCTATTTTTGAAAAAGTCTAAAGTTTAGATCTTATCTAGAGCGCGCCACTTTTGATTTGCCCTTGGATCGCTTTCCAACACTCGATTAGTGCTTATCGGGCGCTAAAGTAAAAAGCTATCGATTCGGTGCCATCACAAGCACACCTCGTCGCACGTCTCGCTCCTCACTATCCGCACAAAAAGCACGAAGCGCGTGCAGCTTGAAATTTGTCAGATTATATATATTCCGGATAGGATCTAGGATCGGACAATGGGCAACGTGCTAGCGGCATCATCATCCAGCAGCGGCAGCAGCTTGGGCCTGGGCCTGCTCGAGCCGGTGCCAGCGGAATCCGGCGGCTCCAGCTCTTCGTCCTCTTCCACCTCCCCCTCGTCCGCCTACTCTCCGGCGGATTTTGGTGCGGCGGAGAAAGGGGGACCGCTCGAGAACCCGGGAACCGTCGAGGATTTGCATAAGAAGTGCAAAGGTACGTGAACTTCAGTCAGAAAAAGCCACAAAAAAATCTGATGACATAACCTACAACATGTGAGAGGGACAGAGAGAGGGATAGCGGTGTAGAGTAGGGGGGGTGGGCAGGGGGGCGTATTTTTCTTTGATTATGTATTATCAGCACACGGTGTGTGGTGTATGCTTTCCATTCCCCAGATCTCCAGGCCATCACCTTCGAAGGCGCCAAAATCATGCTCAACAAGGGACTGAGCAACCACTTCCAGGTCTCGCACACCCTCAACATGAGCAATACGGTGCCCAGCGGTTATCGCTTCGGCGCCACCTATGTGGGCACCACGCAATACAGCCCCACGGAGGCCTTTCCCGTGCTTCTCGGCGATATTGATCCATCTGGAAACCTGAATGCCAATGTCATCCACCAGTTATCGCCGCGTATACGCTGCAAGTTTGCCTCACAGGTAGGTGGAGGCCACCAATTGGCGCCAAATCGTTACTAACACGGTTCTTTTCTAATGCCGGCAGGTCCAGGAGTCTAAGATGGTGGCCTCACAGCTGACGACCGACTACAAGGGCACCGATTACACCGCATCGCTGACGGTGGCCAATCCCAGCATATTCACAAGCTCGGGAGTCATCGTCGGCCAGTATCTACAGTCCATTACCTCGTCCATTGCCTTGGGCGCCGAGCTGGCTTACCAGTTTGGCCCGAACGTGCCCGGCCGCCAGATTGCCATTGTTTCGGCTGTGGGTCGCTACACGGCGGGCAATTCGGTATGGTCCGGCACCCTGGGTCAGAACGGCATGCACTTGTGCTACTACCAGAAGGCCAGCGACCAGCTGCAGATCGGCGTGGAGGTGGAAACCAGTCTGCGAATGCAGGAATCCGTGGCCACGCTGGCCTACCAAATCGATCTGCCCAAGGCCGATCTCATCTTCCGAGGTAATACGTTACTTTTATGTAAATGACAGATTTATTTCAACCTCTGGCTTGCAGGTGGAATCGATTCCAACTGGCACATCTCGGGAGTGCTGGAGAAGCGGCTGCAGCCATTGCCATTCACGCTGGCCCTGAGTGGCCGCATGAACCACGTTAAGAACAACTTCAGACTAGGCTGCGGGCTAATGATCGGCTAAACCGCATCCAACCACACACCACACCACACACACACACACAGAAGGGCAGATAATCCCACTTCAGCTAGCCACAGAACCCCCAGCACCCAGCCAATCACCTCCTACCTTAACTCCACATCATCCGCAGACAAAAATCAGCCAGGAGGTGCATACTATATGGATTCAGCATATACACAGCACATCTGGGTAACCAGTCAAGGGATGGCAAGAGGGATCTTTGTGACGATCTGTCGTTTGTGTATATTAGAGTTGTATCAGGGATCGGGGATCCTAGGATCTAGGATACTAGCCTACCACCTACCCAGTGTGTCGTCCGTTGTCCGTTGCCTGTTTTGCCAAAAGGCCTTATATCTATATCTACATCTACCCGTATCTGAAATCCCTTAGAACAGAGTCGTTAATGCGGAGCTCCGTAGTTCAAATGAGAAAATGGAAAATGAGAAAAATATTCCACAATTAATATACATAATATAATACATCTTTTCACTTACACCCGATCACACACACACACACACAAACACAATTGTACATTTTAAGTTGCTTCCTAGAAGAGAGACGAGGACGAGGAGAATTAAGAGGAGTACGCATTTATTTTAGATGATGAAGATCAATCAAGGAACCAGCTACATCTCCCAACTGAACTATAGAACTATAGCCGATCCGCAGCAGCCGTATAAATGCGTATGAGAAATACATGTTATAAGCTTAACTACAAATTGGTAACAAACTGCTTTAAGTTTATGATTTAAAAGATTACGATTAGTTCTAATGACAAATGACCTTTGTTGAATCAACTTTTATTACCTTGGATGGCGCGAGGATGGGCCGATGAGGACGAGGAATGTTGTGAGGGGGAAACCAAACACACATACATGCAAAACACTGAGAATCAAGCCCAAGAATATGTTAATTTTGTGAAGTAATTCATTTACCTTGTAATTTACCCGTTTCCCTAAAAAAAAAACAAAATAAATGAAACAAAAAAAAAAAACAAGAAGATGACAGAATAGGTTTTAGTAAAAAAAAAAATAAACAATTTCAAAAAGAAGTGGAGTTTTCTCTGGGTTCGGGAATGTTCTCTCAAAGACCACGTAATGCTCCGGAATCGGTCGATGTTATCTAAGAGATACATATGTATGTGTGTGGGTCGTGGGGTAATCTTTATTAGCTTCCAAGTCACTAATTAGCCTGCTACCCGAACCCTTTTCTTATCAATTAAAGATGGGTCAAGCTTTAAAACTATATATATGTACATATTATGCCCTATCCCTGTCTTATGTCTCTGAAATCTTTATGAAACTTGTGTCATATTTACTATTTTGAATATTTAAGCCTTTGGCAGCACATGTTTACAAAACCCAGTCTCTTTTTTACAATTTTCTCATTTGTAGATACATATTTGGTAAAAAGCTTGTAATTTAAGGCAGGGGAAGCTTAAGGATACCCTGTAATGCAGTTTTTAGTTCTTAGAGGAAGTTCTAAAAGGAATATTACAAATCTTTGGGTATAGTTGTCTTGTATCTTGATAAATACAACTCTCAGATAAGTTTCAGCTCGAATCCATTATTAGGTTTTAGATTAGAGTATTATCTGGGAACTATTAGAACGTTGTTTTAAAGGGATTTGTATGGAACTAGTCCCGTAATGTTACTGTTCTTAAGTATCTCATATTATATATCTCTCAGAAGAGTTTCATGTCCATTCTATCTTTAGGATTCAGTTCTCCAGTATCTTATATAACACACCTCTCAGATAAATTTCAGTTCGATTCTATCTTTAGGTTTTAGATGGAAAGGATTTAGGAGTCTATGTACTTTACCTATTATGAGAAGTTCTAATCTAAAATTTTATGGTTCTTAGAGTTCAGTTCCTTAGTTTCTTATATAATACTCCCCTCAGCTGAGTCTCAGGTCGACCCTTTCCCCAGATACCCTGGATATTTGACAACTGCGAGCACTAAGTATATGCAAGCAAACTTTGTTCAATCAGCCAGAGAAATGATTTTGCTGTTGTTGTCCTTTTGCAATATTGTTTAGATAAGAAAATGTTGCCGAGTCCACACACACAAGCCCCGACACTGTGGCCCACATGAGGGGGACTCGCTGCCTCGCTTTTCCGCTTTTCCCTTGCCCCACCGCTGTCTATCAAAATGGTTTTTGCAATGCACATTTTCTTTTTCGTTCGCCCTTTTTTTGCCAAATGCAATTTTGAACTTTGGCAAAAAGCGGCCCGCTTTAGGAGAGTTTTCCTTTTGCAGCACCACCACCCCTGTGTTTTCCCATGCCGGTTTTCCTGCATTTTCCGCTACTGTCTCTTTCCTAACCATTTTTGCGATAAGCAGGACAGCACAGCAGCGACTTTCATATTTTGCGCAATTTTTAGCGCTTCCTTTCCTCTAAAGGAGCCTTCATGTTAGTGGGCTGCACAGAGAGAAAAGTCCAGTAGTTCGAGACTAACAAGATAGGGTTTTCAACTCCTTTGGTCTTGGAACTTTCTCGCAGTGTTTATGCATTATGTAAGCCGCGAAAGCTGTTTTCCAATTCAATTGCTCCGAAAAAAACCCCGGAATCCACTCTCACGGACAAGACAAAGGAAATTTGTGTCAAAAGTGGGGCCGGCCCGGCCGGAGGAGGAGCAGCTGGACCTGGACCCCAGGGATCAGATCAGGAGGCCAGCAAAAACTCATTAACATATAAAGTAGCCGCGCAAAGTGAACAGACAAATCTGGTAACTAATTACGCAACAGACATCCAGGCTAAGGAGCAGCACACTGGAGATGCAGAGACCAAAGTCCTGTCTCGAGGACACTGACATGGCTCATAAGGCAGCTGCACGAGTGGCTGGGAGAGCTCAAGAGCTGGCCAAATTGCTCTTGGTCAGGATGAGGGCTTGCTGAAATGTTTATCCTGGAGCGCAAAGAGTGCCGGACGAGGAGGAGCTGGTTTTGCGCGTAATTAGCAGCTCATCCCCATCCTCATCCTCATCCTCAGCTCTTGAGCTCTAGAATTTTTATTGTTTAAGGGATGGACTTATTTTAATTAAGTTAAAATAAGACATGCTATAAGCCCGGTTCGAACAACAAACCCTCTCAGCTGTTTACTGGCAACAAATTACAAGCGGAGCGAGCGAAATTAATGAACTTTAAGCCAGGACAGCTGGAGGATGGAGGGACATACTAGTTCTTCCAGAGCAAGTGCGTGAGCAATTGTCTTCTGGCAGTAACTCAACTTTGTTGGTGTGCTGGCTGGGCTCCATGGCTATATGCTTGGCATATTTACGCCAACTTTAGTTATTTGAATTACGTGACTTCGGCAACAGTTCCTCGCCTGGAACTCACACAAACACCTCGCCGCTGCACCCGCTATATATTCCTATATATCCCATACACGTATACACCCCACTAAGCTAAAACTTTTTCCAATTTTTAAGCATACACCGAGGACTTTTGCTGATGACTCGAAAAATATAATAAATATTACAATATCTGACTCTCAGGCTGGATAGTTTCTGGGCCGAGACCTATGATTTGAAAGACCTAATTAACTCCAGGGAAGAGCTCCATGTATAACCCTTTATCAGTTCCATCCTTCGACCCATCCTAGTCTGTTGTTATTGCTATTTTTGGCTTCGAGTTTCTAGCCTTAAGCCAAATAAGTGTTTTAGCCGTCATGCAGCAGATAGGCGGACAGGAGGACATGGGAGTGGCAGTGGTGGGGGGGTGGGTGGTGGGTGGTGGGGGTGTGGCACCCCCAAAGACACGGACTTTGGCGTCGACGTAAACGTTGTTGCAGAAGCGGCTAAAGAAGAAGAAGCCGAACCGGAAGTTGCCACGACAGCTGCAGGAAGCTCTAACTCACTTACCCAAACAACCAAAGCGCGCACCTTTCATGTGTGTGAACAGTCCGGGGCAAGTGACTAGCAGCTCGGAAAGGACTCGGATGGTAGTGGATACTCGGTGCCATCCTACCATCCACCATGGTGCATGTGTGTCTGGCCACGTTTATGGCTGTGAATTGTTGAAAGTTAGCAATAGATTTTTAACGGAAGTTGCACATGTGCGCACGTGTTCCCCAAAATTCTCGGCCCCTCGCCGGCCGCACCTCCTCCTCCTCCTCCACATCCACATCCTGCTACATCCTTTGTGCCCTCTTTCCACGCCACACACCAATTCATTCGTCTTGCCGTCCGGCCCCCAAAAAATATTCGGCTTAACTCCTGGCACGTTGTAATTAAGGCTTCTGTCTCTCTGCGCTTGTGTGTATGTGTGTGTGTCTCTGTAAGTGCAGGAGTGTGTTGTGTGGGGCGGACGGGGGCGTGGCACATCATCATCATTCAAGCGCAGCAAGATTAGACCAACCGATTATGGCCTAGGACACAGCAAAGAAAACTAGGGGCCTTTGATGAGTACTAGCCCGATAGCCCGAGAAAGTATGCTACAAGAAGTCTGCAGGAGTATCTGAGTACCGGGTATCTGATAGTTGCGGTAGTTTTTCACCAAACTAGATCTGCGAGGTGTATATCATTTCTTCCAGTACCTAGCCCACCTAGCCACCTCTCACCTCGGCTCCATCTTGAACTGATTTTTCTGGCTCTGGCTGCGGATTGCGTGTGCGCGTCTACTTAACGAAAATTTATGTCTCTACTGCCGCTGACATATTTACCACTTTAACACAGCTACTTGCGGCACTTGCCCTCCACAACCTCCAGAACCTGCGACTCCTTTTGGTCAATTATGAGGTTCTACCATCTCTAGCCGGTGCTTCTCTGCCGGCAGGACTTCTTTTGCGGCGCGAATTTCCATTTCCCCCCCATTAAGATTCGTGCTGCGGGTCTGGCCCTGTCAGCGCCGGGATTCGGGAGTAATTTAATGGAAAAAGCGGCAAGGATCTCCGCCGAGGCGGTTAAGCAGCTTGTAATGCATAATGAATGCGAACTGATGCCATCGCAGGAGCATTGCTCATACGCCTATTTGTCACTCCTCGAGAACAAGGCGCGGACGCGGGAGGGCGTGGCACTTGTGTCTTGTGCTTCTTGTGGCGTGGCGGGGCTGTTTGTGAGATGTGCGACAGCGCGAGCAGACAGTATCTGGCCCAGTCGGCTGCCATTTGCGCCTCAATTAGTTCATAAACCTGACAGGGACAGGCGCCACCTGGTCTTGAGGTTCTCCCCTCGAGACCCCCTTTATTGAATGGCTGTTAAGGTGTTTTATGTTTCTGACCAGCAAGACCATCAATAAAGAGTCCTTTTTCGAGGCATGCAGTTCTCAAATTAGTAGTCCTTAACAGGACTATCTGGCACTCTGTCCAGTCCCCGAAAGGATCTGCAGATGAGTGATACAGATTGCCAGGCATTGTTTATCCTTAGGATTTATTATTATTTTGCATGTTACTCGCTCCGGAGGACTGTGCAGCAGCTTGGAATGCAA